AGTTTAGGAAAAAGCATATCCCCAATTTTCTACAATGCTTTTAGGAAGATAAACACTAAAAGACAGTCTCTTGATTATTCAAGACTTATCAGTGAAGGAGAAATGAGTTTGCATCCAATTTTTATACAAGCCGAGAAAAAAGTGCTTGAATTCTTTGACAGGTAAATATATAAAACATTTCCTTAAGTATGATAGATCAGAGCATTGCTCAAAAGGTGCATATGTTGGAAGAGACTTGGCATCTTGAACACCATGCATGACCATCAGCAAACACCCACTCAGCAAACAAATTCAAAATGAGTCACAGATTGCTCAAGTCATCACCCAGCAGAAACCTCATCACCACATTCAACCCTAGCCTTCCTTTCACCACACACAGTTGCCAACAGCGCATAGCAAGTGTTATTGAAACCCATACAACTGTAATAATATGACAGCTCATGAGATATCAACGCGCTAAAGGGCCATACCAGCAATTCAGAGTTATAGCCTTGACTTGATGGTTCATGTTTGCTTCCGCGAATAGATTTTTACGCACGTCAGGCACAAAATACACTGCAATAATTTTGCCTCGAGCCAAACGAAAAATTTAGCGGGCGGCACGCCCAAGATGCTGCGGCATACCCGTTAGGGGCATACACAACGCGATATGGTATACCAATAGTCCTCGTCGCAAGTGCGCAGGAAACAATTGTTGTCTGGATGCTTTCCGTACTGCTCAAACTCTGTGTCAGCAGCACCCGATCAGCAGCAAAAGTTAGAAGTGACGAATAGCGTTCAGTGGATGAGACTGGGCACGGAGTCATTGGAATTGGTTCAAGCATCAAATGCCATTTGAGCAAGCGCAAAATACTGTATGAGGTTGTCAATTTCTGCAATTTTGGGGCCTGAGCTGAAAGCAAGACGACTTAACCCCCACTTTTCTCACCGGATTTAGCTCACTTTAACTTGACAAAACACGGCATATTTTTCATCTTTGTATAATTTACAACAGTTTTTATTTAAGCAGCATAGAAGTCATGCAGGGTTAGATGCATGGCGCAGGCGCTGGACGCACGCGCCTCTCCTGATCGGCACGTGAAGGCGCCCAGGGGCGGATCCAGGATTGTGCCAAGGGGGGCACGCAACGCTGTTGGCCCTTCCAAAAAACATATCTCGCATTCCGGTCATTAAATTTTAAGATATGTGGTAAATGGTATATATATATATATATATATATATATATATATATATATATATATATATATATATATATATATATATATATATATATATATATAAATATGGAAACCCATCTCACTGTGTTAAAGCCGGGCATGTTACCCATGCACATACATGGAGCCCATTAATCTTCTCCAGATCGTTAAATCTCGTGATTTGGAGTCAAAATGTTAACTCTAGGTTTTTCGGAAAAACAAGCAAAATGAGCTCAACTTGGCTTCTAAATAGCATCCAAACCAAACACGGACTCGATCTTTAGCTTATTTACGGCTAGCCGGCTGGGTGACGTTATCAGCTGATGACTGGTTACTTATGTATAATTTTTATTTGTTATGAACGTGTACAAAATATTCTACCATGCAAAATATGTTAAGAACATGATGCACAACTTTGATAAGCGTCACACATTCAATCATCTGGGGAAATGACACATGCGACGTCGGAGGCATTAAAATTACCTCCGACAACTGTACGTAAAAATTCATCGGGGCAGATACGACTGCTGCTCTGAGGCTAAGGCACCAAGGCTAATAGGGACGGAATCTGACCGATCATGGGTGCCCTGCGAAGCCAACAAAGACGCTCCTGTCAGCAAGTATAGGGTCATCGGGGCAAGTGAAAATAACTCAAGATCAACGTGATGTTGGGATCGGTAGCACTCCGGCAGGCTGACATAGAAGGCCCCGGCCAGAGCACAGGACCCCCTGAGCAAAGGGGAATTATGCAAGACCATGAATTGATACCGCTGTGCGATAAATAGTGTCCGGGCAGGTTAACAAAAAGAGCCGGATAGAAGTGAAGAGTCCTCCACAAATGAGATCAAATGGAAAGAGCCCTCGATCAAAGAATCGAGTGTGCATCGAGCATCGAGTCTCTCGGTACCTGACCTTATATGAGCTCCAGCAACAGCGCAAGGCCCTCCGAACAAGTGGAAAAGCCCAAGACTAATATGAAGGGCTCCTGAGCAGCTGAGTGTGCCCTGACATATGGGGCCCCGGAAAGAACGCATGGAGCCTTTCAGGCGAAGGGAAGAATCGGTGGAGGACCCCTGATCAATCAAGAGTACCCGGGCGTGGAAGCAGGTAGTGCCCCAACAGCAGCGTTGAGATCATGTACGGAAAATAGAAAAATGTCAAGAGATCAAGGCAACGTGGAAGGCTCCTCGGCGATAGATTGACCAGACAAGTGGACATATATGGGCCGGGCAACAGCGTGCGGCCTCTGGAAAGTATAATGAGTTCCACTTTTTCAATCAATCACCACCCTTTCAATCAGCAATGTTTTAAATTTGCTTGCTTGTAAACTCTTTACTTTTGTTTGCAACCGTTCTATGCCGTCTTTGGCCCAAACACGTCCAATTTTGTTGCGTTTTTTTTTTTTTAGTAGAAAACTGCGTCCGTTCAGCCGGTTATCGGCCACTTCGAAGCCTATGGGTTCCCACTGCATGGCCCATGGGGCATGGTCCTGTGCTCCCCCCCCCCCCCCTGTTCCGCCAACGGCAGCTTAATAAATGGGGCTCGCCAGCAACATAGAACCATCCATTCAAGTAAGACGCACTCAAGACAACGTGGAGGGCCCGGAGTAATCGAGTGCGCCAGAGCAGGTTAAAAGATAGCCCCCCTCCCTCAAGAGCGTAGGGCCTTCCATTTCAATAAGAAGCACCTAAAACACAATGTTCCACACTCAACCGCCGAACGATTGAGTGTGCACGAGCAACGTGTCAGCAGGGGCTCGACAAGAGCGTAAAACCCTTCATTCAAATAAGAGGTACTCAAAACCAAGTGCGGAGGACCCCCGAAAGATGGAGTGCGCCCGAGCATGTTGTCAGATGGCTCCCGTCAGGAGCGTAGCGCCCTAAATTCAAACACCAAGCGAACAAATGGGCCCCCGACAAGTGCGCAAGGTCCTTTATTCAAATAGGAAGTACCCATGACACATTGTGAGGCCCCGGGCAATCGAGTTTGCCCAAGCAGGTTAAGAAATGGGGCCTTCGACAAGAGAGTAGGGCCTTCCGTTCAAATATGAAATACCCAAGACACGATATAGAGGGTCCCAAACGATCGGGCGCGCCAGAGCATGTTAGCAGATAGGGCCCTTGTCAAGAGCGCAGGGCTCTTCATTCAAATAGAAAGTACCCGAGACCCTACGTAGAAGCCGCCCAACAATCGAATGTGCCCGAGCAGCTTATCAGAGGGGGCCACGACAAAGAACGTAGGGCCATCCACTGAAATAATAAGTGTTAAAAACCCGGTGCGGAGGGCCCACGGAAGATGGAGTACCCGAGCCGGTTATCAGATGGCCCCGATAGGAGTGCAGGGCCCTAAATCAAAACATCAAGATCCAGTATACAGGGCCCCCGAACCATCCAGTTTGGCCGACGAGATGAACAGAGGTGGTCCCCCACAAGTGCGTAGGGCTCCCATTCAAATAGGACGTACCCAAGACCCAATGTAGAGGGCCCCGAACGATCGAATGTGCCCGAGTAGCTTGTCAGATAGACCCCCGACGAGAGCGGAGGGCCCCTATTCAAATAAAAATTACCCAAGGCCCAGTGTGGAGAGCCCGTGGAGGATCGTGTGTACCCGAGCAGGATATCAGATGGCCCCCGACAGGAGCGTAGGTCCCTACATTAAAATACCCAATGTGCAGGGCCCCTAAACAATCCAGTGTGCCCGAGCAAGATCACAGATGGGCCCCTACAAGTGTGTAGGGCTCTCCGTTCAAATAGAAAGCACCCAAGACCCAATTTGGTGTGCTTCGAACAACCAATGTGCCCGCGGAGATTAACAGATGGACCCCCGACAAGAGTGAAGGGCCCTTACCAAGTGGCAGAGAACTGGAAGGCCCCTAGACCAATGTGGAGGGTACATGAGCATATCGTGAGTGTGTCGATAAGTTAACCGAGACTGACATAAAAGGCGCCCGAGCAACCGAGAATACTCTGGCAGGTTAACATAGGAGGCCCTGCAGCTATAGCGTGCGCTTCGCGGGTCCTTTACCCTTGTTTGCGACTGTTCTTGGTCGACGGCAAGTCCAAAGACGCCCAAGTTGCTGCGTTTTGTGTTAAAAAAAACTGCACCTGTGTCGGCCGGCTATGGGCCATCGGAGCCCATGGGCCTCTTCGGGCCCAAAGCGTGGGGGGGGGGGGCATGGCCCCGTGGCCTCCCCCGTCTGGATTTGCCCCTGAAGGCACCCCTTAAGAGCCAAAAGGGCCAAGAGGCCTTAGGGCGTCGATGGCGCTCTTCTATGGCGGTCATGGGAGGCGGCACGCATTTTGGTTGTGGGGGACGGGGCCGGGGTTAGCCATGAAGGACTTAGGTCATCCCCATATTCTGGAGCTTTTCAGTTTAAACTCACAAAGCAATGCGTGTCTTATGGCGCTAGGTTTGTGAGGTTTATTGCATCGTTTATCCGCTCAGCTGTAACGATCTGTATCTTGTGGTGAGAGCAATCATGACGTTGTTATGAAGGTAGTACGAGACGCCACTACGCAGACGGATCAAAGAAGATGGCCTTTGAGTTATGGTCATCTTGTACCCACGTTTTTGTAGTATTCCAGCAAAAAACATCGGGGGGACCAAGCCAAAATGGGGGGGGGGGGGGGGGCAACAGCAAAGTCGTTTTGTCCAGCACTACCCATTCCAAGTTTGATAATGCGGCGCAATGCCAACGTGGCGCGCTAGTTGATTTTGCCGATTTGCGCTTTGTTTATTTTTATGGTTGTGTGGGACGCGGGCGGGGGTTCGTCGCGGGTTGCGCTGGCGTTTTCTGGTGAGATTCCGTGGGATTGCCTGCATGCGTTATTGAGTTTTGTTTGGCGTTTGCCTTTGAACAACCAGATATAAGTAGTCATAGATCCATGGGTCCAGGTTTTGCGTTGAGTGTCGCAGGCAGTTACGGGATATAGTGCTAAAGCTCCAGGTGGATGGGCAGGTAAATGTGGCATGTATTCTTGCCCTAATTTGCGATCTTTGGTCTTCTGTAGATTTTCCTTGGTATGAATGTGCAGGTCCCCCCCCCAATACAAGATAACAGATGCTTAAAGAGGCATGGGAAATGCCAGCAGCACTTGCGGTTTGATGTGGCGTACATATGTATCAGTAATCTTGTCTTCCAAGAGTCCAACCACTGCACAGGATGCTTATGTGACATTGGTGCGCTAAAAATCACAACCAGTGAAAAAAATAATTTTTGAAATTGTGCTGCTTGTGTGGTCTAGCTCTAGATGACAGACAGTGATCTGCTGGCTCACCACAGTCACCAGCCCAAGCTGTCAGGAGAGATGAAACCTGGCAGCAGCAATGGGCAGCTAGCATGTTTGTGCTTTGTTAAGGTGTTGGTGGGTGCACATGTTTAGTTACCTGCTCTGGATAACATAATTCCCATTCTGTTTAGTTATGTCTGGATATCATGAGCAGGAATGACAGATTTGAACAACTGACAATCACATTTACATTGACCTCGATTGCTGCTTTGCTAATGGCAAGATTTGAATGCCATTATGTCATTGAAAGTCTGCACATTTTCTTGGGTGTGAAGTTCAGATGTTAGGAAGGTTTAGGTCTAATTAAGGGCAGAGCTGTAAACCACACCAAATGATCTTCAAGGTGTCCATTTCAGTTCAAAACCCACATAAATGTGGAATGCTCTTTAGCAGGCTTTCCACCTCACCAGTTGTATACTGTACCCAATAAAATCACACCAAGGTGTCAACAACACACAAAGTGGTGGTAAAATAGTGAGGGTCCCTGATGCAGGTGCCTACCTTGAAATGGCCCTGGCAGCCAGTGATAAAGTCTGAATTATTGCTATTAGGGTGTCAACTAGGGGTGCTGGTAGTGTAGTGGCTAACACATCTGTGTTAACCACTGCGCGTCTGGGAAACCAGAGGTACCGGGTTTGATTCCCCGCAGTGCCTGCCCTTCCTGCCAGGGTGAGAGGCAGGCAACGCCATATGGCCTCAGCAGCTCTGTGCGTTGTAAAGCCTCAATCATATGTGCAGGGTGTCAACTAAAGCCTGGCTCATCTATGTAACAATGTCTAAAAACAAGCAGGTCATGTCCAAAGTTGAAAATGGGTAGCAGATATTTTTTCCTGAGATGGAGTCATTGGTTTTAATATATTTGTCTCCAGGAGCCACACATATTGACCAGGTGAAAAGTGTATGGTAATTATTTTTAGCAAATTAAGAATAATTAGGTTCAGTAGATCTGAGTTAATATAGCTTTCAAAGGGCAGAAATGAGAAACTGAAGGAATCTGTGAAAAAAATAAGCCTCAGCTGTTCTAGGTCTCAGTTTTCCAAGAGCAAAAATGCATGAACTGCTCACTTGGGCAGTTTTGTCTCTGCCATTAGCCTCAGTACTGTGTTAAAAGCATGTATCTGTGAAATTATGCATTTTTGTCCTTGGAAATTGTGAAGAATTTGAAAATTATGTGTTAATTGTGGCATGTTTGTTCCTTTTCCTCATAATGGATGTGCTGCAGTCTGTCTTAGATGAAGCCTTTTGGAAGTGTTTTTAGATGAAGGTGTGTGTTGATCATCTTATGCTGGATGATATTGAGGAATGGAGGCAGTTGCCCTTCTACAGTTTTGCATATTTTTTGTTCAAACTCTTTCAATGGGATAGAAGGTTCAATTCCTGGGATAGGAGGCCATGCTAGGCATTGCCTAGTGGGCAAACTCTTACCCCCAGGACCCCACCACCCCATTGTGATCTTGCAGGTCAAGGGCAGAATTTCATAGTGCAAGCTCATGGCACAGTGATAGCATGATCTGTTCTGAGCTCTGGCTTGACTTGACTTTTGGCATGGGTGCTGCCACCATCTGCAGGCCATTCCAGTCAAGGGCAAATGACGAGTCCTCAAAGCGACTGGAACCTGTGCTGCCAGGGGTGGATGGATGGATGGAAGGCAGATGCTTTAACCAACAACTATGGGGATGGACAGACATTTCTAGCAGTCATGATCATTCTCAGAAACCATCCAGTCGCTTTCAAACCTTCAATCAATTTAGCGTGCTAAAGTGAGTTATCTTAAATAATAATAAAGTGAAATATCCTACTCTTTCATACAGGTCTGAAGACAGTTGCCCCAGTTTTAGATGGAAGGCCATCAGTTTTCACAGACTTCCCTTCTTGTGGTCACATTATCACATCACATTGTGGTCATGATATTACTCCCTGGTTCTGCGTTGTTTCCACTGATGTACTGGCTGTGACATTTAACCTGGTGATGAAGCCTCAGATCAATTTCCAATAAAGAACCTAAACCGAGTATCGGTGTGGGCGTACTGTGGGTCTTTGTGCCATGGCCATCTACCATCAATGGCCATCTCCTGGACAATTATGAAATCGCTAGTTACGCATGTTTGATGTTTGACGGCGTCATTATATCATGGTTGAAATTGATGTTCAGAAAAGAGGGAGCTGAAGCTGAGAACCGTGTTGAACGCCAAGTCGACGCTCGTAACACTGCGTGCCATCGGATCTTCGCGACGCACTCAGTCGCTGAGGCTGTTTGGCGTCGCCTGCCTCTCGCCCGGCAGGAAGGGCGGGCACCGCGAGCAATCAGACGCCTTATGCCTTACCTCTGGCATCCCAGACGTGTAACTTAACCACTACACTACCGGTGCCCCTGCTGGTGATACCGATGGGCCGTATCGGCAGTGCGCTTTTCGTCAAGCCGCACCGCGTTACTTGGTAATCCATGCTTTTCAATGTCTGTCAATCCACCTGTCATCAAACTACTATAATTTGTGCAATATGCGTATGATCCATATGACGCAGAAATTGCGATGACGTTTCAGGACAGCAAGCAGCACAATGTCGTATCCGCTGCATATTCAGGAGCATCCGATTCCAGGCCGACGCTATGCGAGATGTGGCCGTGGTGCCTATGAGGTGAGCAAGGCTTGGTCACGTATCAAACGCTGTCAGCGTTATTCAGCTCGAAGGGAAGTGAGCCTTGAGCAGTGTGCGGAAATGAACAGCCGCGAATGGGTATAACCTGCGTACCTGTAGCCAAACAGGTAAATTATAGAATGTGAATTTATAGCAGCCCAAAGACTCAAGTTAAGTATGGTTCTTTTAGTTAACAGTGCAAAATTTTGCACCACGTCTTTTACGAGAATGTAGGATAACATACATGCATTTAGAATATCATAATTCCTGCATAGACTCTCCACCAATCTGTTTTGAGCCTTGCTGGCATATCTTACCATCCTGAATCCCCCTCCACTTGTGTTTGTTTTGTTCGCCGACACGTGACTGGGGTGTCGTTGGGTTGGCCGGGTGAGGTCAACGTGTCACTTATATTGCAGGACAAAGTGGCCAAAATGCGGATGAGAGAAGACAACTATTACAAGGTGTGGAATGATGTGGTCCAGTACTATGACACAATGGATATTAAGACCAAATCGCATAGCAAATGGGCTTCGAACGAGTTCTTCGTCACAAGGTGCGTATCAGCGCCGGTGCCGGAGAAGTTTGAAGCGATGCACCGGCAATGGGATTAGATGCCTGATGATGTGTTTGGCATTGGTTAGATGCTCTGCTGCTATGATAGGAGATCTGTTGTCATGCCATCCCAATGCAGACTGACATAAGACGCATGTTTTGGCTGCTGACATGATCGTCGTCACTGGGAACGCATCTCAACGAGACACGTTGCGTCACGTATGTTGCATTGCAGCTGATGCGGTGATGCTCGATGCCGTTCTGTTGTGCAGCTATCAGAACTACTGTCAGCAGGAGCTGGCCAGGCAGGCCGACGCCAACCTGGAGGCGCGCCGGCAGAAGCTGAAGACCAAGCTGCAGCAGGAGGACGACGTGTATAAGGTGGCCGCCCGCCCAGCGTGCTGCAGGGCACGCGCTCGTGGGGCCCAGTCGTACAGGGCTCGTCTCGCCACTCAGCGTCCTGGCGGGCTGGGCGGCGCTTGGCGGCCAGTGGTTGATCGAACCCAGCCTGACCAGCCAGGCGTCGAGCGGGCACACAGTGGAGTGCGCGCACCAGTGGCGGCCTTGTGCGGAGCGTGGTGCGGTGACGGCCGTGCGCGCACCAATGGCGGCCTTGTGCGGAGCGTGGTGCGGTGACGGCCGTGCGCGTCCGTGCGCGGCGCATGCGCTGCGGCGACCGTCCCCGTACGGGCCATCTTGCTGGCTCTCCGTGTTTGGCGAATTCACCTCTGATGTGTACGTGTGCGTGCGCGTGTGCTTGTGTGCGTGCTTGTGTGCGTGCGTGCGTGCGTGCGTGCGTGCGTGCGTGCGTGCGTGCGTGCGTGCGTGCGTGCGTGCGTGCGTGCGTGTGTGTGTGTGTGTGTGTGTGTGTGTGTGTGTGTGTGTGTGTGTGTGCGCGCGTACGTGCGCTCGTGTGCGATCCATGCTTGCTCGCGCGGCGCTAGCCGCGCTGCCTCACTGGCAGTCTGCGTGCTGTGCCGATGTGTCCTGTCCTTTGTCCTTTCCCATGTCCTGTCCTGTGTGCTGTCCTGTGTCTTGTTCTGTGTTCGGTGGCCTGCTGGTTGTCGTTGCCTGCGCTGCGTGTCCGCGTTGCCGGCCGGCCGCTGGGTGTGCGCGGTCACTGCCGGTTGCACTCTTGCCACTCCTGCGCGCCGCCTGGCTTTGTGACGGTCCGTCCTGGGTTTGCGCGGCAGCTGGAGCTGTCGCAGCTGCCGCCGCACTGTCGGCTGCGCGCCTGCCGCTCGGAGATGGACGAGTACCGGCAGCGGCAGCAGCGCGTGGAGGCGATGCGCGCCCAGCTGGAGCAGGTGCAGCGTGAACAGGAGCAGAAGCGGCTGGAGCAGGCCCGCCAGCGGCTGCAGCAGCACTGGCGAGTCAACAACGCCGTCCTGCGCCAGGTAGGCGCGCCGGCGCTGCCCGCCCACCTCGGGAGCGGAGCCTGCTGCCCCCGGATCTTCTCACTCACTAATGGGAGCCGAATAACGATGCTCCTACAGCGTCCGCAGATGGGGCGGGGAAAGGACTGGGGGCTTTGGTATAGGCGGGAGGAAACGTTGATGAGACAGGGATTCTGGGAAGGTTTGCTCTCGTTTCCCCGGTTTATTACGTCAAATCTTCATATTTGAATCATATTGTTAAAATGCATGGTTGCAGGTAAAATGCAGGTAAAATGCATTCATCAGCCCATATGTATATAGATATGTTTATGTATGTCAAGGTTCCGGTGAGCATTGCTGAAGTCATTGTTGGGAAGCATACCGATAGATAAGATCTGAGGGACCACGATGTGATGCGGAAGACCTCGGTTGAGTACTGTTCCTATGTCCCACCAGGTTGAGTCAGAACGCTTAACTGAAGGTGCCAAGCTAATGTGGGAGCAGCAGATCAGGGAGAAGTTAGAGAGGGAGCGGCTTCAGAAGGAGAAGGATGAGGAGGAGGAGGCCGAGCGTCGGAGGCGCCTGGAGGAGGACAAGCGCCGGTTGAAGGAGGAGGAGGCGGCCCGGGAACGGAGTTTGCACGACGCCCAGGAGTTCCTCAAGAAACAGATGGACGAAATAAGGCAGGCCCACGGTCTCGTGACATTTCGTATGAAATGTGCCAGCCCCGGATTATTCACGCCTTGTTGAAATCCTATAGAACGTCTCTGTGTAAGTGCTTGACTCATGAAAAGGTAGATAGTTGTATTCATTGAAAGGCTGTCATTGGATGGGGTCGGTGTCCATTGCCGTGCGCCGGCACTGGGCTCAGTCGACGCAGTCTGTGCCGAGGGGAGGGGGTCTGATTGCCTAACGTACCCCTCCCCCGGGCAGGCAGCGGGAGAAGGCGGAGGCAGAGCTGCGGGACCAGGAGCGCGAGCTGCTGGACCGGCAGCGGCAGATCGAGGCGGCCATCGAGCGGCGACAGGAGGTGGAGCGTCGCCGACAGTGTCGACAGCTGAGGTAGGGCGGTCTGACAGTGTCGCCAACTGAGGTGGGACGGTTCGACAGTGTCACCAGCTGAGGTGGAACGGACCTACAGTGTCGCTATCTTAGGTGGGATGCCTTGCCTGTGTTGCCGGAAGACTACCAGTGGGAGCAAGCTGTGACACGCGCGGCACCGCTCCGTCATAAGCGAGCACCTCTCTGACATCGGTGTCAGGCCGGTGGCCCCAGCCGAGCTGATGTCACTGACCGGGCCTGGCGTGCCGTGCCGGCTGCTGCCGACCGTCCGTGACGCCGGCGCCCGCCGCTCAGTCTGTTCCAGGCGCAGCAGTGTAACGCCAAGCTGCGTCAGCGCTCGGCCCAGGTGGAGGACGCGCTGCGGGACGAGCGAGACTTCCTCGACTCGCTCATGGCCTCAGGTGAGGCGGGCTCGCGGCAGCCCCCAAGGCGGAGGTGGCCCTTGGAATACGCTCGGCGCAATTGTAGTCGGTGACGTTTCAGGTGACCTGCTGTGTGGTCTGCTGTCCCCAGTTACGTCCTCTTGTAGAGCGGACCCGTTCAGTGTTCCGTGTCTGCCTGCCAGCTTGGCAGCGCGTCTACAGCTCACCATGTGCAGCTGTAGACGGCGTGTACAGTCTGCTCACACTGTGCACGTGACGGCGTCAGGGGACCGAGACCGTCTGAAGCTGGCCGAGGCGGCCGAGCGGGCCGAGGCGCACCAGCTGCGGCAGGTGCTGCAGCAGCAGCTCGACCTGGAGCAGGCCAGGCGCCGCCAAATGGAGGTGCTGTTCAAGTGAGTCACCCTCCCTGTCCGGAGTCGGGGGATGACTCCGGCGAGTGGCGTGGCAGTGGGGTGCCGGTAGTGTAGTGGTTAACACGTCTGCGTTAACCACTGCGTGTTTGGGAAACCAGAGGTACGGGGTTTGATTCCCCGCGGTGCCTGCCCTTCCTGCCAGGGTGAGAGGCAGGCGACGCCATATAGCCTCAGCAGCTGAGCGCGTTGTAAAGCCCCAATGACACACACGAATGGTGTGGCGGCGTCACGGATGATAACACCTCGCGATCTAGACATTTGCCTGGGACCAGCGACATTATTGACGGTGCGGGGCTCCTCTGGCTTAAAACTACACTGTCAGTTTTCCTTTCCCCGAGTTAACTGATCTGTACCGATCTAGATGTGCCATGACCCTGCGTGAAGATGGTGTCCGTGTTGCCTGTAATGTCTCCGTATATGTATGGTGATGGAGCGGAGTTGGTTTAGGGCCGGGCGGTCGGGGACCTGCTCCCCAGAATGCAGTGAGTGGACGAAACAGTCGGGTGTGTTGTGTCGACTGCGTGACCCCATGTCTCCAGTGAGGAGGCTGAGCAGAGCCACGTGGCCGGCCTCCTCGCCTTACACTGCCTACGTCCCCGCAGTGTATGTATGTGACGCGGCGCCGTCTCCCCGCGGCCCTCTCTTACCCCACCTCCCCTCCCCCTCCCCCCCACAGTGAGGAGGCGGAGCAGGTGTGGCGGCGACGCGAGGCCGAGTGGGCGCGCGAGGAGGCGGCGCGCCGCCGTCTGGTGGCCGACGTGGTGGCCACCTGGCGGCAGCAGATGGAGGCGCGCCTGGAACAGTGTCGCGCGCAACAGCGGTGCGAGGCCGAGCTGCGCGAGACGGCCGCCGCGCAGGCCGAGCAACAGGGTCGCTTCGTGCAGCAGACGGAGGAACTACGCCGCCAGCGCCAGGCCGAGCTGCGCGACAGCTGGGGTCGACAGGTGCGCCCCTCGCGCTGACCTGGTGGTCTGGTGGGGCGGGCGGGCTCACGACAGGGACCCGCTTGGACGCTCTCTTGGTTGCACCCTGGTGATGGATGCGTTTGGGGCATGTTTGTCAATGTTGACAAGGCGCCTGGATGCAAGCGCACAACGCTGCCTCACCAATCTTGTTTGATGCGACGAGTTTCTGTCGGTCTGGTGAACAAAGTGTCGACGAGTTTATATCGGTCTGGTGAACAGTGTCGACGAGTTTCTATCGGTCTAGTGAACAAAGCGTCGACGAGTTTCCATCGGTCCGGTGAACAGTGTCGACGAGTTTCTATCGGTCTGGCGAACAAAGTGTCCATGAGTTTCTGCGGGTCTGGTGAACAAGTGTTGACTAGTTTCCATCGGTCTGATGAACAAAGTGCCGGCGGTGTTGACACGGAGGTCTGACCGCGGGCAGATTGAAGAAAAGACGCGACGTCGGGACGAGCAGCTGAGGGAGGAGCAGGCCGACCTGCAGGAGCAGCAGCAGCACGACCAGCAGGAGGTCTGCCGGCTGCGGGAGGAGCTGGACCGCATGCAGTTCGAGTCCAGGTCCTTTAATCAGGTAACCGTCGGTGTCTCGGCTCTGGGCGTAGCCGGACAGCAAACCCGGTGTTCATAGCTCGTCAGAAATGACCAGGTTGCCGGCCGGTATCCTCTGTTGGTAAGGCTAGGCTGTTGGCGGTCTGTCGCATTTCCAGCAATGCGCAATGTTCCGAACATCTACCAGTGAGTGGTGACGGAGGGGCCCGATGGTGCTCCAGACGTCGTTGTGTAAGTTGTCATGTTTAAGTCGTGGGCTGACCGGAGGGGGCGCCTCTGTTGCAGTATCGCGACCACCGGCCCACCCGTAAGCTGGCCTGGTGAGACGTCCTCCGCTGTTCGGACCGCCGGCGACCTGTGGATCGGCCTGGTGGGCCCGGCCGCCGACCTGTGGAGCGGACCGGTGGTCCCGGCCGCCGATCTGTGGAGCGGTCCGGTGGTCCCGGCCGCCGACCTGTGGAGCGGACCGGTGGACCCACCGCCGCGGGCGCCGCCGCTCACACCCAATCGTTACGGGATCTGGTGCCTTCTTGTGAACGCTCGTAGACCGCCAGAAACGCTGTGTTGGAACGTATCTCACTGCCGTTTGCCTCGGACGCTCCGTCCGCCGTGTGGGTGTGGTCGGTTACGGCGGGAGCGAAGTGGATTAGTGTGGTGTGTGTTTGCGTGATATTTACGCCTGTGCCGACGACTGAGTGTGAGCAATGCTCAAGGGGGCGTCACGTGGGTAGGTGTTTGCTGCGTGGCCTTTCGCCACGTCCATGGCGCGGCCTGGTCGCTCGATATCCAACAAAGCCGGTCGCGGTCGGTGATGCTCCAAAGAAAAAATCCCGAGGAACGTGGGCTTACGAAATAAACGGTTCCGCATATTTTTTCTCTGGAGTCACGTATGCGCGCCGAGAGACTGCATGGCATGAAGTATAGCAGACCACGCCAGGACCTGGGGGCGAGCTGCAGATGGCCGCCGTGTCCCCCCCTCGTCGAACTCTGCATCGCCGACCGCACGACACAGGACGACTGGTGCCCACGCTAACCTAACAGAGTGGGTGTCTCATCCGCTGGTCCAGTCACGACTCCGCAAACAGCACGCTATCAATATCCCATGTATTACCTTTGTTATGGACGTAACACAGTTAATATGTAAAATACCAGATGCCGCCGTGAACCAGCTCCGCATATGGCACGGGGTTAGTCCATAGTTCAGTAACGCGCCGCTCCCGGTTGGCACGCGGGCGGCCACCGAGGACGGGCGTAATCACATTTGTACTGGTGCAATATCTACAGCAACCGACCCGCACGACGCGCACATTATTGTCTGGAGGTACTTTGTACTCGGCGCCTGGCGCACGTGGCTCCGTGCGGCACGCGAGCGGAGGGGCGCCACCGCACGTGCGCATCGGAAGGCAAGACGAGCGCACACGGGGCTTAACTAATATCACAACCTGCTCGGCGCGCAGGCAGACGACGGCGCACCTTAACTGAGGGGTTAACCTAGCTATCGCTGGCGGACACGGCCGGGCCGGCCGTCCGCGCCGACCGCTCGGCGGGCGCACGGCTCGCGGCCGCGCGCCCGCTGACCGCCCGCGGAGCTGCCTCCGCGGGGCTCCCTACCGCTCAGCACCACACACCCGCACGACCGAGGCAAACACACCACAACGCTCCTCCTAAGGCACTTGACGCACGGCCAACGGCCGCGCCACAGAAACGTCGCCCGCTGGCGTCCGGAGGCTGCCCGGCGGCGAGGGGACGGGTTACAGGTTATACGGCCGCGCGCGCGGCGCGGCACGGTTAATGCTCCTAAAACCCGGCGGCGCGCACGGCCGACGGGCCGCTCCGCCGCTGCCCCGGCCGCTCCTCAGTCGAGGCGCGCGGCCGCCGGTCCGTCAGTCGGACGCCACGCTCGCCAGCGGCGACCGCTCAGTCCTCGATCCGCTCCGTCGAGTTTTGCCGCGAGAGCGGCGGCCGGCGGCGGTGGTCGCAGAGCGCGCGCCACAGTCGCAGCTCCACGCCGCCCCTGGAACGGACGATAACACGGCGGTCGCAACACAACAGCCGGTGACACGAGGCCAATATCGATCAACACAGATAGTCAGCTCCCGCCGCCGGCAACAGCCGGTGCGGGGTAGAGTCGGCAGGGCCATGTAGCGCATCGCAAGAGTATGACAAGTACGGGAAGTAGAGATAAGAAACTGCCTCGCGATAGGCATCCCAGCTCCTTCACCTTGTGAAAAGGCGACGCACACGTTGGGAGCAGGGCGTTGAAAGCAAACAGATACAATTACTTTCCACTTCTCACCACCGGCTCCCTCCCCGTATGTTCATCTTATATCTAGCCGCTATTAAACCCTACAGTCTGCCCCAAATCTAGTGGCTCGGGCGACACCGCGTCTTACGTTCCAGGTGCACATAGTTAGAGTCACGTGCTCCAGGTGCGGCATTTTCCGCCATCAACACCGGATGAACTTATCAACTCGCTCGCCTCAGATGGCTTTCTCACCACTTGCGTCAGCCATCACAGGGGCGCCACTTCTGCACAGTGGGGCCGCTCTCAGCGTTGGCCCCGCCGCCGGCTGCTCCCTCCCCGCCGCTCCCACCCTGTCCCGCCATCTTTCCGCTCTCGCCACTCACCTCAGGTGAAGACCGCGAAGGTCTTCTCGCGTCATCATGGCCAGTACATCCTCCAGGCGGAAGCCCTCGTTCACGAACTGCCGACAGACAGGCACGCGGCCCGTCAGAGCGAGTCGCCGCGGCTCACGGCGACCGTACGGTCAGGTGGCGGCCCGGGAGGCCGAGATCCATCCCCAAAGCCCCGCGGCCCTATGCATGAGCTGGCTGGAACCTCATGCGGCGTTATAACGCCACCTTAGAAAGTCGGTAAGCGACAGACGATACCACCGAAACGGTAACCAGCCCGCACTGGGGAGTGGGTCAGCACAGCACGCCTCCGAAAAACCAAACGCCACGACACCGACCCGACCCGCAAAACATAACTCCCGGCCACCTCCTCGGCACCGGCGGAGATCTATGAGCAGCGTCGTGGAGGTATACCACCGCAGATCAGTACAGTGTGCGGGCCAACGCTCTGGCCGGCGGCGCTCACCCGCGAGACGGTGAGGTGGTCGGCGCCGTGCTCCACCAGCCAGTCCACCAGACAGCCGTCCGGGTCGGCCGACGGCTGCACCTGAATCTGAGGCGCCGCCGCCAGCTGGCCGCCGCCGCTGGGCGGCAGCAGCGGCGAGCCGGCCGCGATGCCCGAGTCGGCCACAGACACCTGCGAGCTGTACCTGCAGGCGGCGGCGGTACTGGACGGTCAGACTCCGGGAGGGGTCGAGGACGGTACGCACCATAGAAGTACAGACACCTGCGACCTGTACTTGGATGCGGCGGCACCGGACGGTCAAACGCCGGGAAGGTACGGGGGGGGGGGGGGGGGGGCACGCCGTACGGGAGGAGTACCGACACCCCCGAAATGTGCCCGATTGCGGAGGCGCCGGCAACCGGCTGCACGCCAAGAGGAGACGATGACATGTGCGGGGGGACGAGACAAGGGCACCAACACTGGTGCGGCGGAGGTCTGAGTCCCATGTTCTCTGAGCTTCTGACGATCGACTCTGCGTATCGGAATACACTCATCTGAGTCCTGAACAGCGCCGCGCCCCAGTCCCAGCACCACGGTGACACTGAGGCCTCAGCACAGCAGGCCAGCGCTGACACGTTTACCAGCCGCCCCGCCAGCGGTCCACATGTGGTCAGCTGACCCCCGGGCTCCCCGGCGCCGCCACTCACTCGGTGTCCTGGCGCTGACGGGCGGCCGGCTGGCTAGCCGACAGGCTGCTGAGCACCTGGATCTGGAGCGACCTCTCCGACAGCGTCCAGCGCAGCAGCTCTCTGTACTCGCGCTGCGACTCCAGCAGCTCGCTCAGCAGGCTGCCGGCCGAGGGCGGGGCGTCAGCGGCCGAGGGCTGGGCGTCAGCGGCCGGGAGCGGGGCATCAGCGGCCAGGAGCGGGACATCAGTGGCCGGGAGAGGGGTGTCAGCGGCCGGAGGCGGAGCGTCAGTGGTCGGGAGCGGGGATTCAGCGGCCGCGAGCGGAGGGGGCGTTATCAGTCGAGAGGAGGAGGGACTGTCAGCGACCAGGAGCGGGGCGTCAGCGACCGGAAGCGGAGGGGGGCACTATCAGTCGAGAGGAGGAGGGAGTGTCAGCAGCCGTCTGCGCTGCGCCGCACTGTGGGATCGGACGGGACGTTTGCGGCCGAGAGCGGCCCGCTGCCGCCGCCGTCATGATCGGCGGCAGCGAGCTTGAGAGGGTCGTTGTGGGAGTCGCACTGGCGTTGGAAGGCTGTTACGACAAGCGGACAGCACACGCTCTATCACACATCCGACAGCAAAAGGGCAGGCGTGGGATGAACGAAGCCTGGGCACAAGACCCCACCCGCCTGCCACTCACATATTTCAACAAGACTTGGCCGACACTCCTCTTGATTAGCCCGAACAGCGGCACGCACTTCCGAAAGCTCAGGTCAGACCCAGACACCGCTCTCGCTGAGCCCACCAACGCACCTACGCCGCGCATTACACATCCCAGAGCAGAGACATTGCAGCGCGGTACGTCGTCGCCATCAGCCTGCCACGACTAACCACCTCTGGGCGCACCCTCGGTCAGCTGCCCCATGGCTCGACCCGACCGCGTTCAGCGCCCGCTCACCGTTTGTTCTCGCTGCGCAGCCGGTGCAGGTCGGCCAGCGTCTGCGGCGTGTACTCGTCGTGGCGGACCGAGTTGATGGTCGACACACCGCTAGTGCTGCCTTCCCCGCCCGCGCCGGCGCCGCCGGCGGCCGCGGCGGCCGCGCCCTCTGCCGGCGAGCCGGCCGCGTCCGGCGCGGCCAGACCACCGGGGCCGGCGGCGGCCGCCGCCGCGTCCGGCGGCCCCACCACCGACTCCTGGTCGCCGCCCAGCAGGTTGGCGCCCAGCTCTGTGGCGGCAGCACGGTCACGCGTCAGAGGCGGCGCTCGCGGCGGGGACAGTGGCGGCGGCAGGGACGGTGGCAGCGTCAGAGGCAGCACTCGCGGCGGGGACAGTGGCGGCGGCAGGGACGGTGGCAGCGTCAGAGGCGGCGCTCGCAGCGGGGGCAGTGGCGGTGGCAGCGGTAGGGACGATGGTGGCGGCAGGGACGGTGGCGGCGGCAGCAACGGTGGCAGCGACAGGGACGATGGCAACAGCAGGGACGTTGGTAGCCCCAGACCCGCCTGGCAGCGCGGCGGTCGGAGAGAGCGGCGAGCTCGTGATCAGATCCGACCGCAACGCGAAGGATTCCACATCACATGGCACCAGATGGGTGCACATAGCGCGAGATGACTGACGTAGAGGACCTCATCAAGGCAGCAGTGTTTGTCGATGAGGTTACTATTATTTTTTTTTAAAATTCGCACAAGTCTTCATATTCACAAACATCAGTCCCATGACGGTATTGAGTTTGTGTTGTAGATTCATTGATGGCATGAAAGGAACGTTCACTCAGGCGGTGAGAGTTATGCATTTTTATCATATTAGCACAAGACAATGCACTTCCTTGCTTTCTTGAGTTTCTCCGTCCGGGCGTTATGCAGACTGCAGCGTCAAATTTTCCCGCAGTACGCCATTCTGCAGACTGCAACAAAGACTGGCAGAAGGCTAGTAAGCGTTGGGTTCGCGGATGAGACGCAGCCCAGCCGGCCAAACTCGCGATGTGACGGTCGGCGTCGCTGGTCGCAGATTCCGCCGGTCCTGACCAGTCCCCCCCCCCCCCCCTGACACGCTGTGGTGCTCTGCCGGCCGGGCTCGCTGGCCACTCCCGGCGCGGTGCCGGCGGCCGGGAGCCAGCGGCGGGGCTCACCTGGCGACAGGATCAGGATGGCCATCTGGATGGCGCTGCGCACCAGACTGTCCAGCGCGAACATCCAATGGGGCTTGATGTTGTGCGACCGGAGGGCCGTGTTCACCTGCCGGCGAAACAGCGCCGCCGCGTCAGGACACGGGATCACAAGCAGGGGCGGCGCCGGCCGGCGGCGGCGAGGCACGGCGACACAGACGCAGACGGCACGGGCCAGCAGGGGGACGTGGTGACCTGCGGGGTCCCCATGGCCCGCACAGCGTCCAGGCCAGGGACGCCCGGCGGCGGGACACGCAACTGTGGCCTCCGGGCGGGCGGACCCGAACAATCGGGTTGACACCCGCCTTAGCAGCTGGGAGTGTCACTCGGCGACAGCCTCTGATGGCTCCGGGACTACTCCAGCTGTGATAACTGTGACGCGGGTCGTGGGTGCAATGACTGCAAATTACTCGGTGCTCAGTGGTGGTCATTCTCATCGGAACACAGGCACCACACTCTATCGTTTTGAGCGCAATCGAAGCAACTGGCCAGGGAGAGGACGAAGCGAGGGCGTGGTATCAGTCTGTACTTCTCCGAAAACATCATTGTTGGAGGTTTCACGTCCGACCTAGATTTCCCATCAAACGAATCTGTCACCTTAATACACCACATTAATACACAGACCTGGCAAATCAAAGCGCAAACATCGCACATATCTGTCACACTGGCGCACGCCAGTCCCACCCAACTACACCGCTGTCGTTGCTTTAGAATAGTTTTTTTCCGTAAGCCGCTCGGCGCAAGCAATTGAGTTTGAACACAACCAACAATAAGCGGCCGAGGCGGCGCGGCCGAACGCGTCGGTAGCAGGGGCAATGGATCAGATCGCGCTAATTACCGCCTCCTGGAAGAGGTAGAGCGCGCGGTGGATCTGGTCCATGGCGCGGCCGTCGAACTCCAGCTCCTCGCGCAGCGTATTGATGGCCGCCTCCAGGGCAGCGCGGTTCTGTTCGGGGATAAAGTCGCGCAGTCCCTGCAGCAGCAGGGTCAGCTGTTCCTGGAACAAGAGGGAGGCACGCGGTCGGAGGCCGTTCGGCGCAGGCAGGCAGGGTGGACGCAGGACAGAGACATTCGTCGGGACACAGACGCTGGGTGCAGCGACAGCGCCGAGTCAGACCGCTGCACAGAAGCCGGGCTTGCCGTACCATGTTCAGCAGGATGGGTCCTATGCCCGGCTCGTTACGGAGCGCCGGCAGCCAGACGTCCAGGATCTTCTGCTGGTCCTGGGACAGCACCTTGTGCAGCGTCATGCGCCGGTGCGAGTCCTTCTTCAGCAGGTAGAAGCCGTCCTCCTGCCACAGGTATCGACATCAGCTGGGCGTGACGACGATAGCAGGTCAGTGACCCGCCATCCATGACAGCACCGGCGGCATCGACCGTGCGATACATGGCCGCCGAGCGACACTCCCGCGGCACTACAATGGCGGTAAAGCACCGCCACAGAGCCCGGCCCGCGGCACTACAATGGCGGTAAAGCACCGCCACGGAGCCCGGCCAAATCGCACACAGATCACAACACGGAAACCCGATAACACTGCACTTCCTGCCGATGGGTTTCCAGCACGGCGGAGGGGACCCCCCGCGACCGAGGGGGTGTACGCGTGTGCGGCGTCAGCCGGGCCGAGGCTCCGCCGCGCGGGGTCATACCAGCTCGCGCGGCGAGTCGACGTCCGGGCTCATGAAGCCGATCGACGAGTTGCGCCGCATCATCACCGTGTCGTCGAACTCGGCGCTGCTGCAACACGGCGGCGGGCCGCGTCAGAAGGCGGCGCCGCACACAAGACGCCATGCGATGCGAGATAGGTACCACCGCAGCAGCACGGAAGGGAGGGGGGGGGGGGGGGGGGGCGGGCGCCAGTGCTGATATCTGGACGCGATACGCCGTAAAGCGGACGGAGCAGCTCGATATGGAGAGGGTCGGAATGCGCCGGCCCGATAAAAGAACAGCTGTCAAACAGCACGTGACGAACGGATTAAATTCTCAGTTTGTTTTTACCATGATGTGATTAGGAAACATCGCACGAAGTCGCTCAAGATTCAATCCAAAACTCAGCTCGGTTTTCAAAAACCTGTACCAGCCAACCACCTAGGGGAGGGGGGACCTGTACCAGCGAACCAACGCTTCCACCCATGCTACATCAAGAACAGAGCAGAGCCCCTTCCCAAGTGGAATGCCACCGGCTACAGCCAACCGGACCCACTCGCGCTACGAGAGCACTAACACCGCAGCCCTGACACGACCAGTGTCGCCCAGCCCACAGAGCCATGACTGAAGGTGACAGGGCCGAGGCTCGAGAGGACCACATGCAGCAGACATGTCCCGCGGTCCCGCGTGCCAGCCGAGCGCCCGACCCTGTGCCTACCTGGAGAAGGAGAGCGTCGAGCACGAGGCGGGAGAGCCCACAAGCATGGCAGCCGTGCCCGACGGCCTGGCCCCGTACGAAGCGCTAGAAGAGGAAACAGGCCGGTCGGAGGGTGGCGTCGTACACTACAGCGTTAGTCGCGTCTCGACAGTTAGTGCCATGCCGGACAGGGACGCGGGCCGACGGGCCGGCCCGGCAGCACCCGCCAAGCCAGTCCCAGCGCGCCGTGCCAGGCATCGGCGTCACGCGGCGCACCGGCGCTACGTGCTGTCGCGCCGCGGCGCAGTGGAACGTCAGGCGCGGCGATCCAGGATGCGAGAGTCGAGATGCCCAGTCCCGTGCAGGAGAGCGCTCAGAGATGGGGTCAGTGGATTGCAAGCGTCTAAGGAGGGCTCTGGAACTGGGGTCGGCTCCCGCCCATCATGAGTAATTCCACTGTGCGCTTTATCGGCACAAGGCCTGAAAACCTGTGTCAAGCCGAAGTCTCACATCACAGATGGCGTTGATGACTGCCAGCATCGTCAGAAATACGAGTAAGAACGAGCGTCCGAGCACGAGAACCACAGCCACGCCAAAGGCGCCTCGGCGGCCGGCCGCGCGGCTCGGCGAGAATGGCCGGGGCCGTCACCCGGCCGGACGTGACGTGACGGCCCTCCGCTCCGCCCACGACACGCCACGGCCGGAGGGCCGCGCTGCTCCCCCTCCCGGCCGACCACGACGTCACGCGAGCCGGGCGGTGGCGGTGCCGGGGAGGGGCGGTCGACCCCGCCCCGCCGGGTCGAGCTTCCTCCGCCCACGGCTTCGGATCGGCGGCCGGAGGCCGGACCGTGCCGGCTGTGACGTGGAAATGACCGAAGCCCCCAGCCGTGAAAACTACAGATGAATTGGCGCTATGAGTGGAGGCGTCTGGCATACGCCAGACGCGCATCAGTACCGGGCCGTTCCGTCGGCCTCAGATCATGGGAAATTCCTAACGAGCCATAAGTGGAGCCCTCTTGCAATAAACACGTCCGCTGAGTGCCGTGTGGCTGACGGTTACAGCAACACCGCTGTCGAACCGCACAGAAATGCGGTGGTCCCGACTGGGGGTGGAACTGAGGGGTAGAGGGTCTGATCAACACGGAGGAAACCCTGAAGGCAGCGCACTCATGGCAGAGCGGGATGGCGAAGGTGGATGGGGTGGAACTCGATGTCCCGGCCACCCGTGTGACGGATGTGCACCAAAACCAGGCCGCTTCGCCGACCTGAACAGAGGTCGTGGGCAATTCCAGCCGGCCGTATCCGGTGCACCCTTGCACACGGCCACGGGCACGGCGCAAGGAACAGCCGCCAGACGACGCCATGGGAGCGAACGGCAACGCGGTGGTCCCACTCGGGGACAGTCGGCGTGCTGAGTACTCGAGCGCCGCTGTCACACACAGAGCACCCTTGAAGGAAAACGACATAACTCAAGCCGCGCGCCCAGTCGCAGCGAACGGGTGGCACGGCATCCGTAGCCGGGCAGCACGGTTTCCCTGTCCGTGCGGAGGCGGCAGGGCCGCGGGAGGCCAGCCCACGAGCGCCCCGCCCCGCGCCCGGCCGGCCGGCGGCTGGCGGTGTTTACCTGGGGCCGGCCGTCTCTTGCCGCAGCGGCACAGGCGAGTGCCGGCCCGGCAACGGCCAGCGGAAGTACACGTTCACCATGTCCTCCGCGTCGTTCACCAACAGCAAAGGCACGTCCGCCGACGACCGCATCGTCGCGCTCTGGGGTCGCACGTGACCGTACGTGGCTGTCTCGCGCGGCGGGCTTTCACGGGGGCCGGCGGCCGGCGCTGGCTGGCCGCCACGCCGAGCCAGCTGCGCGCCGACCGATCACCGACAGGCCACTAGCCTCACACCGGTCGGCGGGCCGTCGCTCGGCTCGGCCCGGCCCGGCGCAGCCCGGCTCCGGTCGGCCGTCGCTCGGCTCGGCTCGGCCCGGCGCAGCCCGGCTCCGGTCGGCCGTCGCTCGGCTCGGCTCGGCCCGGCACAGCCCGGCTCCGGTCGGCCGCCGCTCGGCGCGGCCGGACGCGCACGACTGCCGGCCGGCCGCGGCGCCGCGCGGCTCCGCCTGAGTCAGCCGCGGCCGCGTGCGGTGCGGCGGCCGGCGCGGCGCCGCTGCACCGGAATCGTACCGTCCCGCCGGACCGGGACCACCGGCGACCCGCCGGCGACTGAGCGGCCAACCGGGTCACTGCCCGCCCACCCCCCACCCCCCTCCAAATCGTCTCATAGCCGACCCGCGCCGGAAGGGGCCCGGCTGTGACGTCAGGCGTGCGTGGCATTCCGCGCGGCGGCGGCACGTCTCCGCGGCGTGTGTGTGACGCCCAACTGGCTGGGCGTCACGCCCGGTGTCATCCGCGGCTGGACGGACGCGACAACCGACGGGGACCGGCGGGCCCTCCCGCTCCCATCCCGGCCAGGCTGAAGAGACGTGGGACGTGGCGGAGAAAACAGACGCATTGAACTGCTGATATGCCCAGCGGTGACTGAACGTTTCGCCAGTACTGCGCAATAATTCGCCGTGAATGCTATATTTACTCTGCACCCAAGAGACGCCGTAAAACAGGCGGCTGATTGCAGCCGGAGCTGGAGAGCGGGCAGGGAGGGAGAGTTCGCTATCGGGTGATCAGCTGTGACGCACGTGGACGGTTCATATTCGACGGTCTTCCCCATTAATCTGCCGGGGCGACGCACGGCAGCTGTCGCACGCAATCATGCACCAGCGCATGACGTCACTGGAGCAGCCGGCGCCGCTGGGCCGTGTTGGGCCGGCAGATAATCTCGGCCATTTCCACGAGCGTCGATGGCCAACGCGACCTCGTTCCGGACGGTTCTTCAACTTTATGAATCCGGGTCAAACGGCGCGCCCCAGGCGAGCACCGTCAGTCGGGCCGTCGTCATGCGCCACAAGTGTTTAGCAGCGGCTGGCGTCCGAGGAGCGCAATCAGCGTTCGTCGGAGCGACAATGCAGTCGGCGACCCTTCAGACAGCCGCCGCCGGACGAGGCACTCTTCAGCATTGCCGGTATGTGCGGACGTCTGGCGTCTGGACCAGCTAATCGGATTATGATGGGAGCCGAAGGTTAGCAGCCGGTGGACGGTCACAGTGGCGCGCGGGCGCGCACGACCCCAGACCCGCGGCTGCAGCGACAGACGCAGCTCCGGCGAGGCGGCTGAACTTGCTGGCGCTCCGACACACTGGACGTCGATGCGGCGCCGCCTACACAGAGCATCGCAAAAGCCATGGATGACGCTTAATATGGTATCGAACCTAATGCCCCCTCCGCAGAGGGGCACGGCCAGCTTCCCAGCGCCGCCACCTCCCGGGTGAGCCGGGGGCGAGGCGGCTGCCACCTCCGGCCGCCGTCTCCGCACTGCGGGAGCGGCGCGGCCGGCGCCGCGGGTCGGCCGCCCCCACAGCTGGCGCCGGGCGCCCCGCCGGCGGCCGAGTCGCAGCCGGCCGGACGCGGGTTGTGTTTGCGCTCGGCGAGCGCGGCACAACACATCACAGCCGCTAATAGCCCGGCGGCCGGCGGCCGGGCCGGCGGAGTCGGCGCCGCGCGGGCGAGTCGCGCCGTTGACGGCCCCCACCGTGTCGGGCCCCGCCGCCGCGAGCCCGAGCCTTCAGGCCTGCGCGTCGCCGGCCGCCCCGCGCACCGGCCGCCCCTCGACCGAGTCCGACGAGTGCGTCAGGCGCCACCACCAGAGAACCCGACACCATTGTAGAACTGCAGAAGGCTGGCATCACCGGAGCGGCCATTTACAACTGACCGGAAGAGCGACTGGTGCCGTCAGACACGCTCCCGCCCCCGGCACCGGTGAAAGGTCTGGTCACTCGTGTGTGCAACTAGCTGGCAGTCAACCAACAATACACCGGTGCCCGGCGGCAAGTCTTCTAACGCTGTCGTCATCACCAATCCCACAAAGACCACAGATAGATCCACTGGCAGCATGTGGCATTACGGACTCTGTCTCCCTTACCCTTGAATTTCCCTGCTTCATTTGGACTCATTACATCACACACGACGTCAAACGGACAGGTCAGATGAGATACATCCCGTAAATTATCATTGACAACACCAGGCACAGTCCCCCTGTCCAACGCCACTGCCACAGGTCTTCACACGAACACACGCCGCTTCCACGAGCTGGGCGGTGGGTTCGCGTGCGCCGGCCGACAGCGGCCGTTCGGCGGACAAGGCTGGCGGCCTCAGTGACCCCGAAGCTCTCCCGGCCGGCCGGCCGCTGTACACGGCGCCCTCGGCGTCAGCCATCATCCCGGCCGGCCCCAGGCCCCGCCGGCCGGCACAGACCGGCCCCGAACGGTGCTGGACGGGGTGGATTGACGGGGCGGTCTGGGCACAGTAGACACAGAGGCTGGCGGGTTGGACACAGCAGACACAGAGGCGGGCGGTCTGGCCACGGCAGACACGGAGGCTGGCGGTCTGGACACGGCAGGCAGGGAGGTGGACACGGCAGACACGGAGGCGGGCGGTCTGGGCACGGCAGACACGGAGGTGGACACGACAGACACGGAGGGGGACGGTCTGGACACGGCAGACACGGAGGCGGGCGGTCTGGACACGGCAGATACAGAGGCGGGCGGCCTGGACACGGCAGACACGGAAGCTGGCGGTCTGGACATGGCATACACGGAGGTGGACACAGCAGACACGGAGGCGGGCGGTCTGGACACGGCAGACACAGGGGAACACGGCACCCACCGCAGGGCTGGTCTGAACAGTCTCCCGGGGGCTGACGGTCTGAACATGACATGTGTGGAAGTCGATCTGAACATGATAGTTGGGCGCACTGCTGTCACTTTCTTCACATCTGACCTTCACTGCCAAGGTAGCACGCTAGTGCTAGTGCCGCGAAAGTCGGTGATTAGCTTACCTGATCATCCTAAACGGAAAGCATGAAAAGTAAACACAATTAGGTCCCAAGAAAGCGGTGAGCTGATCTCCAGCGGACAACAGGCACTCAGTTCAGACACCCAGTCCTTCTTGCGCCGATCCGATGAACTACATTACGACCACCTGCCGCTGACCGCTTCCCGCGGCGCGCTTTTTCGGCCAACTATTAGTGGATGAGCCCAGCAATCCCGATGACCTTAACCGATGTGATGCGCATAACTGCCGATTATCCCTTGGGCTAAGCTCCGCAGACTCTGGAGGGCATCAAACCCAGTCACCATCGGGCCTGCCTCCCCTGCCCGCAGCCGCGAGAGACGCCAACAGACGGTGGAAAACGGAATCAATCAAACGTAACAACAGTCCCGGTCTCGCCGACAGTGTCCACGTCGGGTCAACAGTACGCAACAGTCACGGTCCCATCACAGACGCTGTTTACGAGAGGGCCCACGGCCGCTGGTACTAAACGAAAGCAGGCGGAAGTGCAACATAATAAGTTCAGAAGCACAGCTGCTTGGTCTGATGACGGTGATATCGGGGCTTAGGGGAGCGCCAATGTCCCAGATGGACACCGGACTCGATCCCTGAGGTCCATTCCACCTCGGCAAACCGCCAATATGCCCATGTTGGAGACACTTGGTGAGTCCACAGAGCCACTGCAGAGTTGGGTTGCATGTAGCGCATTCGACTTGACAATGACGGGACGAGAAACAACAACCCCGCCGCAATGTCGGGAACGACACGCATTCGGATGACGGTCCGCTTGCACCGCGCCATGCTGGAAGCGTGTGATGAGCTTCCTCTTACTCAACTCCCGTATCTACACACCACGGCTGTGCTATCGTGCGTCATGACCCAGAACAGACCGTCGATGCCAGACGGCGCAATGCATCCCCATTCACCAGTCCAAATGCACAAAAAATGTACACCAGTCTGTGCCCGCATCCAAAGGCAAGCAGCATAACCAATGCAACGCAAGAGTGGGGTTAGGCCTACTTAACTGGCTGGCTGTACAGGAGGCATCCTGATCTAGCCCAAACATTCCTGATAACGACTTATTGTCCTCGTGACAAGGAAACGTAATCAGTGACCCACCTGTCCCCCGTGTGCATGACACGAGGCAGAGTGCCCGTCATGTGAACGTTAGATAGACCACCGCGCGGTCAACTCATGATGAACTTGAATTCAAACGGACGGCCGCGCAGTTCCCTGCCTTCCAGCCCGGGTCGAGAGTCGCCTGTGGTAAGCGTGTCCTCCACACTCCCCATAGGCCAGCAGGCGTCGCGCGTCTACCCCGCCTCCCGGCGGGGGCCGGGCCCGCCGCTCCCAGCCCCACCACAGGGCCGCCAGCCCCTATTACCCGACTCCCAGGGGAAGCCGACCCCCCCCCCCCCGCTCCCAGCCCCACCACAGGGCCGTCGGGCGTGCCCGGTTCCCATCAGCCCCCAACCCCTACCTCCCAGTGGAGGCCGACCCCTGCCGCTCCCAGCCCCGCCGCAGGGCCGTCGGGCGCGTCGGCTGACCTGTCGTCGGGCGACGAGCCCAGCCGCGGCAGCAGCGAGCGCTCCTGCTTGTTGACGCGGTCGGCCGGCACCGAGACGCTGCGGTTCAGCTCGCCCATGTTGGCCGCCGCCGTCATGGAGAGGCGCAGCGTCTTCTTGCGGCCGTGCCTGGCGGTGAGCAGAGGGGTCAGAGGCAGTGGCCGCCGTGGGAGGGTAGGCGATGCCAAACGGATGACCGGCCGCCAACAGGCTGGCCAGTTTGGCAGCACCACGGACGGACGTCAAACGCAGGTGGACACCTCGCGCCGGTCATTCGCGGAGGGCAGGGGGACACTCTCGAGCAGGACCACAAACGTAGATGGGAGGAGAATGAAGCAAGCGCTGGAAGCCCCAACACATCGGAAGAGATGCAAAACTAAGCGAAACACGGCAGGCCACTTGATCAGCTTGCACTGCTGAGTCTAACCTACAGATGCACCCGCACTTCACACATCCCTCCTCCAGACGCCCCCCCAGGATCCGCGTTCAGCCGCATCCCGCTCCCACATCGTCCCATGACCACATCAGCGACATCGGACTCGGACGCCGCCCCGGCCGCTGACTCACTCGTTGATGAACGGGTCGTCCAGCAGCACGCAGGCTGTGGCCCGCTTGTCCGGGTTGGCCTCGAAACAGCTCAGCAGGAACTTCTTGGCCTTCTCGGAGAGCGACTCGGGCAGCTGCGGGTGCATCTTGTAGAAGCCCACCTGGGACCAGAGGGGTGTGCTCGTGGAGAGGCTGGCTCGTCGCGCTGGAAACCCCCCAGTCAGGAGCGCCAAACACCAGCCGGCACCGGCCGTTGACCCGTCAGTTACGGCTCGCCATCAGGTGTTAACGTGATGGAGCCAAACACCAGCCGGCACCGGACGCTGACCCGTCAGTTACGGCTCGCCATCAGGTGTTCACGTGATGCGCCAAACACCAGCCGGCACCGGCCGCTGACCCGTCAGTTACGGCTCGCCATCAGGTGTTCACGTGATGCGCCAAACACCAGCCGGCACCGGACGCTGACCCGTCAGTTACGGCTCGCCATCAGGTGTTCACGTGATGGAGCCTGTACTCAACACCTCACACATAGACCGGCCTTCGCAGCTTTCCCCGCATGTCCACCTCGGATCGAAGCCCGTCGCCCCGTTCCGATCCGGAGCGCCGCCAGCTGACCACGTACCTTGAACATGGCCGCCTCCGGCGAGCCGAGCTCGATGAAGGGCGGCTTCCCGGTGGCCATCTCCACCACCGTGCAGCCCACCGACCAGATGTCCGCCTGCCGAGACCGGCCGCCGGCCGGGTGGTCAGAAACAGCGGCGCCACCCCCAAACGGCCCGGGCGTCACGCCGACAATAGCATCACGGCGGGACGCCGCGAACGAATGCCTACAAACGGTGTAAAATGTGTGGAGGATGTACCGATTTTGGGGGGTAGGGGAGGGGGACGATGTGATGGGCGTGCAGGATTAGAGGAGAGTCGGGCCCAGCACCGAACGTGAGACAGGCACCGCGACGCGACGACAAGCAGCCGGCGCCTGGGTCAGACATACGATCGCCATACACGTGCAACACGTGCAATCCATCAGTTCTCCGCCGCCGTGACCACTCTGAGTGGGCAGTCGCGGACAGCGAAGCGCACGGCCCCGCATCGGCAGCGTCTCTCGCTGGTGACCTGAGGACGGGTCCCACACCGCTGCGCAGCGTCCTCGCCGTCCTCTGGCCAGATCCCGAGCGGTGGTGACGTACCGGCGCGCCGTATCCGCGCTGCCCCTTGTCGATGACCTCCGGCGCCATGTACTGCAGCGTGCCGGTGAACGTCTCAGCCGTGGGGCACAGGCCAGCTAGCCGCTTGCTGGTGCCGAAGTCGGAGATCTTCACCATGCCGCTATACGTGTTCACCAGCACGTTGTCGCCTGCGGCCGGGTGAGGGCGGCCGGGTCAGAGCGGCCGGGGCAGGGCGGTCGGGTGAGGGCGGCCGGGTCAGGGCCACCGGCCGGAGCAGGAACTCCCAGCGGGATGGTGCCGTCCACAAGCCGGCGACGGGTGCCGTCCGGCCGCCACGCCGGCGGGCCGGCCACTCCCAGCGGGGTTCTCAGCGGCACACGGTGCGTTGGCCGGCACACCGCGCGCGTGGCAGCGCTGGCATGGCGTCCCGCTGGTCCGCACAACCAGCCACACTGGCTCTGTCAGTAATGTAAGCTTACAGCGGCCAGCCACGTACACTGGCGACGTGTCTGAGGCTTTCGCTGCTTGGTGCACGGTGGAGGCAGAATACCGCTCGTCCACTTCGCCGTTGTCGTGGTATTATAACAGTATCACACATTCGTAATTTTACGGGGAACCACGACGCCCACGCCACCCATTCAGACATTGGTGCGAAAACCGTCTTATCGCCTGTATTTGCCGCGATAAGAGCAGAACTGCTAAATAAGAGCAACGCCTGCCTGCACGGCAAACGCCGCCGAACGACCACGCCGCCTGCTTTGACAACGTGGCGGGTTGTGACCTTCGCACATGATCACGTGATCCGACCTTTGATGTCGCGGTGGACGATCTTCTGGTCGTGTAAATACTTGACGCCCTCCAGGATCTGCTTGGTGTAGTAGGCGATGGTGGCCTCGTTCTTCAGCGGGCCCCACTTGAGCTTCAGCAGGGCCGACAGGCTGCCGCCGGGCACCTGCGGGCCCCCGGTCGCCGACCGTCAGCGACAGAACATGACGTCACGCCGGCACTGACCCAGCACGCTGCAGCCGCACCGGGGGCGCCGGCACGAGACACGCGGCGGCCGGCGCCAGCGCACAAACACACGCCCTGTCGCGAGCCCACGCCGGTGTCGACACGGCACGTGAGCGCGACAGGCGGGTGCCAGCGCTCGGCGTGCAGCTGCGTCACCATCAGCCGTCACGCACGCGCCGACATGGTCCTCAACACTGGCCAGTGAGTCCCCCGCCAGGAGCGTCGCCGCCTCCGGGCACAACACAGCTCCGGGCGGGTCCCCGGCCACACGGGCAGAGGTCGGTCCCTGCCCAAGGTCGGGTTCACGGGCAGAGGTCGGTCCCTGCCCAGGGTCGGGTTCGAGCCCCAGCGAGCGAACGGCGGCAAGCTATGACAAATGACGGGGCAGGGGAGAGTCAGCCTCACCTGTCAGCGGGCAATGGAAAGAAGTGAAAGAATCAGACCACTTCTGTGGCACACGCAGCGCGCTCATGCTACACCAGAGCGTCACCAGCTTTCGTTAACACCTCAATGCCCCTCGCACGACGAAAGTGCTCGCTGCTCACCTCTTCCATGAATATTTTGAAGAAGCCGTCTTCAGACACTGATCCCAGGTACTGCACGATGTTCCTGTGGCGCAGCTGCTTGTGCAGGTTGATTTCCTCGTGCAGCGGCTGCACGTCACTGATGAACACCAGGAAACAGTGCACCGTCTTCAGTTTCTTCAGACACAATATGATGTCTTTCAGTTCACTCGTTACCCGGCTTCGAACGTGGAGCTCTGTTCAGTCTCAGGCGACAGCACGCGTACAAACCTCTCACGACACAAATCCCCTCGGCGTTCACAAACAACAGCGACGATCGCGTCCGGTTCCGAGCCAGTACCGCCTGCGTCTGGCTGGCTACCGCAGCCGACCGGAGGCCCGCGGAGGAGCCGCCGGCGGGACCGGCCGCAGCCCCACTCACCCGATGTTCTTCTCGGGGATCTCCTTGACGGCGATGCGGACCTGGGTGGTGAGGTCGCGCGCCGCGTACACCACGCCGTAGGTGCCCTTGCCCAGCACGATGCGCCGGTCCTGCTCGTCCGCCTCGTACTCGTACTGCGGACGGAGCGCGGGGCGGGGTCAGCCACCGGGCGCGGGTTTACGACAGGGCACGAGAGAGCGCGGCACGCCCATTCCGGCGCTTTCCAGCTCATCCGACACGACACCGGGCGGCGGCCTGCCACCAGACGCCCCTCGGGCACGGCACGGCACGCAGCCGGGCATCACTGGCCGACGGCCGACGGCGGAGCCCCACGCCGCCAGCGGTCTCAGGTCCGGGCGGCGATCCGGTCCCGACCCGCCGCCAGCACCGAGCCCCCACCTCGCACTGACCTGCGGCGCCGTGCCCAGCGTCACGTCGTTGCCGAGGTCGGTCACCATGCCCTCCATGTCGGCCGTCATCTGCAGCACCAGGTTGTAGAAGCGCTGCCGCAGCGCCGCCGACGGGAAGAACATCTGGAAGTCGTCCGAGTTCTGGTGCACGTACAGGAACACGCACCGATCGTCCCGCTTGTACTGGCTGAAGCGGAGGGCAGGAGGGGAGTGGCGTCAGCCCGGCACGCGGCACCGTGTACCGGCCCGACACGAAGCGCTGACGGGGCGCCGAGGTCCAGGTGTCTTACGGCGTGCTCAAAGTTGAACAAATCGTGATAGCGGAGGAGCTGGGCAATGGCTTCAGGATGCCGCTTCTGGGAACTGGCACCATGAAAAGTCATTGTACGCCGCGAACGGCCCGATGCAGTATGCTCCTCACGCCAGACTGAACAGATCCACGATTGTGTCAAAAGGTTGATTATATTAAAGTGCGGTCCAAATAACCCACAAATCGAGGTACATGGGTCCCCGATTACATGTGTGGATGCGACCACTCCCCAGACAAATATCTCTCGAAGGAACCAAGTCAACCATGAGCAGGCTCAGCACCAATGGCTGCCCTCCACTGTACCTGATGCTTTTGATATGGGTCGCCTCCAGCACGAACTCGTGCACGCGACGGCACCTGTCCTTGAGGCTATCCAAGCAGAGGTTGGAAATATGCATGGCCGACGTCTCCGCGTCCAGGTTGACCACCACGTAGCTGGGCATGTACTCCTTGGTCGGCTCCAGCACCAGCACCTGCCGGCGGTGGCGGTCGCGTAAACGCACCAGCGGCCGCTCCGCCGCCGGAGACGCCGCTCCAGAGACCGAGCGCGGCTCCGGCAGAGACAGGCCCGCGGCTCCTGCCGGGACAGGCCCGCGGCTCCGGCCGGGACAGGCCCGCAGCTCCTGCCGCTGCTCTCGGCCGGCTCGTGCGAGCCAATGCCAGTCGGCGGAGCGTCAGCACACGGCGCGTCGACCCGCACTGCCAGACCAGTGTCGACACAGGGACCATCCGTCCGCGCCTCCGACGTCATCCTACGTCATCCTACGACCACGCAAAATGAATGTGAAGCGGGCACAGGTATTGTGCGGCCGACGTTGTGGACTTTTATACAGTCCGCTCAAATGTCCTTGGGTCAACACAGCAGCGTGGCTCCTTCGGGTAACCCATGGCACAGCAGGGACAGCAACAGTTTGTGTATAGGTATCTTACTCACCGGAAACCGAATGGTGTTCACGGAGGCCTCGTCGACAATGCCCTCCGAGAAATAGTCCATCCAAAAGTCAAAGATCTGCATCTCAGGCACCTTCTCGTTGTCTTCGGAATGCTTCCGAAACTTCTGAATAAGAGTAATATTCCCGATCGTTGATTTCAAATACCTGAAAGGAAAGCACAATAATTGTTCGCATTGGGAAAAATTAACGGATCCTGCGCTCATTAACATACGTTAACTTATCACTTTACGGGCATCGTTTGCGCCTTTGGGAGCAAACTAAAAAAATGCGTTGTTTCTGGGTTCAATTGTTCCGTGCGCGAAATGGAGCCGAATCCGTGAATGCAAGGATTCCAGTGACCAGGCATGACAGCCATATCAGAACTGACGCTGCCTGACCTCTCAACGGGATGCACCGCGCCGAGAACTGTCAAAAACGGACACCGCCCGGGCAGGACGAAACATTTCAGCAGAAGTGGGTAAAGTACCTCATTTTCGAATAAAAGTCAAAATCTAAGAACACGCAGAGCACAACAGAAAAAAGAAAACACCGCGGTGACATACAACGGTGCCTCGTTCACAACAACTGGGGGCGGAAGTGATCTCGAACAAAACGACAGCAAACACTACCCACCAATTAGGGGACTTGAGTTTGAACATGCTCTCGGCTGCCTGTATGGCCTTGGAGTAGTTCTCGGCCAGCACACTGATCTCGAAGAACGTGGCGATGTCCCAGTAGTCCTGCAGGGAGGAGAGACTTCCCTTCTTCCCGATCAGGTTGTTCAGTGTCATACCTGCCGCACAGACCGTTCTCAATCAAAGTCGACGACCGTGGCTTCTGGCGCACGCTAATGGGGGATTGGGATGACGGCAGCTAACGCCGTTTGCTGGCGGACGGCCGCTAGACCAGGCTAGACCGCAGTCCACGGTGGGCGATCCAGTCCCCACACGGAGACACAGCCCGCCAGGATCTGCCGTCTAATACATCGGATCGGTGGAGCCAACTCAGCAGCTGGGGAGCCGCACAGCGACGCTAGGCGCTGGGCGCAGCAGGCCGCTGGGCGACACGTCCGTCTCACCAGGCCGGTGAGCCGATACCCTTCCGCAGCCCGCACCGCCCCAAACCAGCGTGCAAGCAACACTGCGCTCACGTCAGTGCACAGGAGCGTTCGCGTCAACACGGCCCCCGCCCGCGACTGGGCGGTGCCCAGACACTGGCGACAGACAAGTCCGGCAGCCGCCCGTCCCAATGCCGCGTCCCCCCCCCCCCCGTCCCCCCACGCCCCGCACGTACCGATCTGCTGCAGCTCGCGACTTTTGGAGAATTCGTTGCCGGCCACCACCAGCAGGGTGGCCAGGTTGACGCCGGCGTACTCGTTGGGCTGCACCTCGAAGCCCTTGCGGTACCAGTGGATGGCGTTATCCAGGCTTTCGGCGTCCGAGTGGCCCGACTCCACGAAGATATCCTTATAGATGCGGCCGCACAGGCAGAGCATGTCGGGCACGTGGTTCTCGGTGCGCTCCAGCGCCTCGCGGATGACTTTCAGCGCCCGGTCGCGGTCGTTCTCCAGCTTCCGTCTGCGGGGGGCCGGGGCACGCCGGTCAGCGGTGAGCGGCGGTCCGGCGGCACACGACTCCGCCGGGAGCGTGCGCTCCCCGCCAGGACCAGCGCGCACCGGCAGGCCGCCTGCTGACCGCCGAGGGTGCGCGCAAGGCTCGCTGGTGCCACCCGCCGCCCCGCCGCCAACACCCACCTGGTGAGGGCGAAGGCGAACAGGTGCTGAATGGCCACGGGCGAGGTGTACTTCTTGTGGTTGGGCAGCGTCATCAGGTCATCCACCAGCTTCACCATGGCGTCGTAGTCCTGCCGGAGTTCAGAAGCGGTGACGACACGCCGGTCACGGAGCCGCTCTGGCAGAGGCATGCCGGCAGGCACGCACCTTCCCAGTAAACGTTCGCTCCCGCTCTGGGTCGGCGCCGGCAACACTCAGACATACGGCAGGTGCTCCCGCGACCCAGTTAGAGGCGGTGTTTGGCGTTTTGATGAGTCGTGTGAGTGCGCGCAGGACTGAGACCCAAGCTCGTGATAGATAGAACATTAAACAAGTGTCTCATCATACCTTAGAATTCGGGGCCAAACCGGTATAGACCTTTCAGCGCTAAGGTTTCGTCAATGTCAGCTATGCGAAATGACACTGGCAAAAACACTGAAAAACGTGCAGGCACTTTTAAGACTTTGACCAGAATATCAATCCTGTTCATTATGATTTCCATCAATTCATTTCAATAATTCCATAAAACTGTCATCTTGAACACTGGCGCAAAAGAAGACTTAAAAGTCGGACGACAGCCTTCTGGACATTGTTTTGGGGTCTATATTGTTACCCATTTTTGTTTTTGGGAACGTCTTGTTTTTGGCTCAAATTTAAGACGTAGCATAATACTTCTTGTTACTTTTCTTCTTACATAGCTTTAAATAAAGTTTCAACAAAACGGCCAGCTTGTCTTGTAATGACAGATGTGACGCGAGTACAGCATCATCAGTAAGGACGAAACCAAAGGAAAGACACTTAAGATACGTAAATACTTTGCTTCCTTTGCAAAGGTGATGCCCATCATAACACTAGCATGTCCCATCTGCTCCGCAGTCGAGGCAAGGCTGGGTATTGACTTAAGTACGCTACGTCAGCGCATTCGAGGAGTAATGCCAGTGCGGAGACATCATTCTTTTCAGTGAGCATGAAGAATGGCGGCTTGAATGGTTTCGTTGTGAACATGCTGCAGTTTATGCGCTGTCTGAGAACCCGAAGAAGCATCAATGACCCGCGTATGACGTAAAGACCCGTCGGGTCTTTTTGTGCATTGCTGAGCAATCATCACGGCAAGTCACTTGTGACGGCGAAAGCGCGAGGCAAAGCAGGCGACAACCACTACTGAGGGTTGCTTATTGGCTGCTATTAACCACCGTACCAACCAGTGATCCGTGAACTAGCACAGGCTGTGTGCATTGCGGCTACAGCACAGTGCGTCTCATTCAGGAAGGTGACGTGCGGCTACAGCACAGTGCGTCTCATTCAGAAAGGTGACGTGCGGCTACAGCACAGTGCGTCTCATTCAAAAAGGTGACGTGAGGCTACAGCACCACGCGTCTCATTCAGAAAGGTGACGTGCGGCTACAGCACAGTGCGTCTCATTCAGAAAGGTGACGTGCGGCTACAGCACCATGCGTCTCATTCAGAAAGGTGACGTGCGGCTACAGCACAGTGCGTCTCATTCAGAAAGGTGACGTGCGGCTACAGCACAGTGCGTCTCATTCAGGAAGGTGACGTGCGGCTACAGCACAGTGCGTCTCATTCAGAAAGGTGACGCAATCGGCGCCGAGCTGGCGACGGGGCGCTGCTGCAGGCATTCCGAGACCAACAGAGCATGCACTGAACGCCCGGCGGGCTCCAGCGCGGGTCGGCCCCGCGGCGGCGTCATCACAGCGAGAATGCTGCGATGCCGTGGCGTGTGTAACGTGCATACGGCAGACGTGACGTGTCGGGACGTGACAGAGACGGGCCTCTACACGTCTCGCGTGCTCCACACGAGATGTGGTCACCTGAGAGCGGCTGATACCATCCGCGGCGGCGAGGGCGGGGCAGGCCGGGCCACGTTTCGGGGTTAGTCACGATGAGCGGTACAGCGTGGGGCTGCACAGACACCACGCTCAAGCCAGCGAGCCCGCGTGAAAGGCGAGCAGCCGTTGGGCGCGACCGGTCCTGTTCGGCTGGCCGGCATGGGCGCCCACACCCGCCCCAATTGATGACGCCAGCCGGATTAATGAAGCCAACAGCCGGCGGGCGGGGCGACATTACATGGGCGCTGTAAGACTGTGTGGCCCCGAAGCCCCTCCGCCCGAGCCGGCATTACCAGGTGGGCGCTGATGCCGCGTGCCCGTGATGTCATGTCAGCTGGTGCTCGCCAATGGGGACGGCTAGGCGGAACTGGCGTGACTCAAGCCGCACACGCACAGCGACGCGGGACGAGACATGTGATCCCGTTAAACAAGAGACCCCGCGGGAGAAGCCACCCGATTACACCGCCGCTGTGCAGGATGTGATCCACTGGCAGCCGTTCACCGCACCGACAGTCCCACGCGGGATGCCCGGGGTCCCCGACACGCCGACCGCGGCCCCCGCCGGCCCGGGGTCCCCTACACGCCGACCGCGGCCCCCGCCGGCCCGGGGTCCCCGACACGCCGACCGCGGCCCCCGCCGGCCCGGGATCCCCGACACGCCGACCGCGGCCCCGCCGGCGGCGACACCCACCTGGATCTCACGGAAGGACCACAGCATGTTGAGCACGACGTCGGCCGACAGGATGTTGGGGTCGTCCAGGCGGCGGCGCATGTTGTTCAGCGCCTGGCTCATGTCCTGGGAGCTGACCGTCTCGCGTGTCTTGCGCAGGTCGGCCAGGAACTTCTCCTTCATGTGCACCCTGGCGGCGCGGGCAGCTCGGCTCGGCTTGGCTCGACACACGGCCGCCGCTCGCTCGCTGCCGTGCTCTGGGCCGACGAGCCTACGGTTTACCTGCCCCACGCCCACAACCATGCCGCGAAGCTAATGGCTTCGCCAGCTACACCCGTCTACAGATATAAGCCATCGACCGGACGGCCGCGCCTGGCAGCTGGAAGGCAGCCGGCCGGCGGCAGCGGCAGTACCGGCCTGTCTCCGCTGGCGTCAAGCCCAGCCAGTTCCGCACTGGCCGGGCTGGGGCCGCGGAGCTCAATGCTGTCCCTCCGAGAACGCCGAGCAGCGCACTAGCCGCGCTACTTGGGGTAAGATGGAGGCCGCGCGACGCCCGTGGCCCGCCGTCCCGCCGACAGCGGCACATCCCCACCCCCTGAGCGACCTACACCGCGCCGCCCGTCTCTTTCCCTCCCCATCGCTTAACTGGATAACAGGCGGCTGCTGCATCTCGCAGCCCGCAGCCGACGCCCATTGACACTGCAATGTGACGCCACAGCCGCCTACACAAACCTAGCGGACACGCTCCATGCCCGAGGAGAGAGCGCCGCGCCTGTGCGGCGCGGCGGACACTGCCAGCTTACTTGGCCTGGATCTCGACCTCCTGCAGGTGGCGACTGAGCCGTATGGATAGCAGCTCGCGCGTCTCGGTCGTCTCCTCCGGCGCCAGTGCGTTCAGGTCGGTCACGCAGCACTGACCCTGGTCGTTGCTCCGATACGATATGAACACGTAGTTCTTGCACGAGGCCTGCCGGGGTGGCCGCGGCGTTGGACGCAATCATACCCCCTTCGCTATCGGGGCGGGGCGGGGTTGGACGTCGGACGGGCGGACGCTGGGCACGTGGCGAGCTGGGAAAGCCCACAGCAGTAACCGCTACACACCCCGCGGCTTCCGCCCATCACGAGCGGCAGTCAGTGCAGTTTTTCGCACCGAACCGGCGCAGCGCCCGGCTACAGACGCGGGAGGCCACCCGAAACGCGGTCGAGTGCCTGGCTGCACGTGCGGGAGCCCACCCGAACCGCAGTCGAGCGCCCGGCTGCACGCGCGGGAGCCCACCCCAGTCGCACAGTCGAGCGCCCGGCTGCACGTGCGGGAGCCCACCCCAGCCGCAGTCGACGCCCGGCTGCACGTGCGGGAGCCCACCCCAGTCGCACAGTCGAGCGCCCGGCTGCACGTGCGCGAGCCCACCCGAGCCGTTCAGTCGACACCCAGGCGGACTGCGGGGCTCCTCACGATCCGGATCCAACAGTCACAGACCCGCCCCAAACTATCCGCAGTCTACAACCCAGACCCCAGCCGCAAACGGCACGACCGCCAACAAACACCGACAGGCCAGCGCGCCGCCGCCCCTGACGTCCGACCGCAGCGCGCGTCCGACCAGCCGGCTCTGACGCAGCGCGCGCCCGACCAGCCGACTCTGACGCAGCGCGCGCCCGACCAGCCGACTCTGACGCAGCGCGCGCCCGACCAGCCGACTCTGACGCAGCGCGCGCCCGACCAGCCGACTCTGACGCAGCGCGCGCCCGACCGGCCGGTCACGAACCTTGAGCGGCGCCGTGATCTCGACGTTGTAGTCGAGCGTCAGCAGGATGTTGCCCTTCATGCCGAAGCTCTCGCGCACGCCCAGGTGGTAGAAGAGCGAGCTTTGCTGTAGCTGCACTGTCAGGTCCACCAGCGCCACGTCCGCGTTGTAGAAACTGTCCAGCACGTTCGTCTCACCGAAGTCCAGCTTCTCGAACTGCCGGCGCACGGAACACGGTCAGTGACGACAGCCGAATGGAGACCAAGACAGCCAGGGAGGGAGGGAGAGAAAAGGAGATGGAGGGAGGCAGGGAAGGAGACAGGCAGGTAGGCCGAGAGGCTGGGAAGGAGGGAGAGAGGAGAGAGAGGGTTACGGACAGGGAGAGGTTTCAGTGAAAGAATCTAACTAAATCAAAACTTTGGCGGTACTACAGGGACTCAGCTGAACTTTTGCTATTCGGCCTATCCGCATAAAATATGCATGCCTGGGCAGAGCCGTAGCTTGAGGAAAACGAACGGGAAGTTGGACCTCAAGCCAAAGCAAGACCTCGTCGGCAATCACGGAGCCTACAACGCAGGAGTACGAAGATAACCAACGCTGATCCCGGTGCAGCGACGGTCTATCATTTCTATAATCGTTTTCATAGCACTGGATCCGTCGGGACTATCCACATAAGCTTGAATCCCCAATATTTCTACAAACGTAAATGCACCATCATATCGTTCACGTGAAATAAGGTAATTGTTTATTGGTGTTTTAGGGCGCGTTAACCGCAATGGTCGTTTGCCACCCAAAAGAACGCATTTAGTAGCTTTAAACGCCAGGCATCAAGTTCCTCGATGTAATGGATAGGACACAAATGCTATTGACAACCAAGCTTAACAGGCGGTATGCTTTAACAAGCATGCCTTGCACGCATTGTTGGTCAAAGGGTCGCAAATTACGTTATAACTTTTTGACCGCTTTCGAACCAGCCTCTTCCGTGTTACACGCTGGTTGTGCTGGCCCACCCACTCCTCTGGTTACACTGTTAATCGCAACATATCAAGAAACAACATTTGTTTAAACCGTAGTCGAGCTAGAAATGCAAAACAAACAACGGGCGTGTTCCATGCCATGAGAGGTAGCCAGCGGCATCCAGCTTCAAGTGGGTAAGTTGTATTTAAAGGCATTGCAATGATTTGTAAGCACACCTGAGCGGAACGTAACATATATAACCGTACAAGATCTCTCCTTCCTCCCATGTGACGCTTCTGCTACGCCCCATCAATCCCCATCCCTCCACGCTTGACGTAATTCATGGACAACACCCTACACCTCCCTCCCACACACACCTCTCGCACACGTCACTGACTTAATGCACACTTCACGACTTCATGACATGCATAATCTTCGCTGTATATATCTTGCTCGGTGTCGAAGCTACCGGAACAACGCAAAAAAGACAGGAAGGCGGGCTGTGGACATTTGCATGTCCACAGCCCGCCTTCTGCACGATGCACGACACAGCTGCACGATGTTACACCTCCCTTGTCTGTTTCTCTTTTCAAAATATCTGAGCCCTTTTTAATCGCAAACAGGGGTGGCATCCACTTCGATCAACACACGTTCGGGTGGGGGGTCAAATTGACCCCCCCCCCCAGGGCTTTTTCCGAAGTGTTTTCCGAACTTTGCGACTTGGAGTTTGATCTTATTTGACCCGAAGGTCATGACTTAGGAGGCTCAAACTTTGACCTAAGTGAGTTCACGTGCAAGCCGGGCCGCACCCTGTGAATTTGGTGTTTCTAGCCCTCTTGGTTCCTGAGATCTCAGGGGGGGGGGGTCAAACTAACCCTCCACCCGAGCAAAGGGTATCCAACCGGCCACCCGGGCGCTTGTTTAAATAACAGATAACACGCATTGGTGCCCGTAACGCTGGCCATATATATATATATATATATATATATATATATATATATATATATATATACATATACAAAACTGCCTGGTCGTACAAGTGCTGTCCACCCAACATGGACTGGGTATCGGCTGCGACAGCTGTGCACATCAACATGTCCCTGTCGATGATTTCGATTTTAGGGCGCGACATCTGCTTGGTGATTCGGCACCCAGACCTAGTGTGATGAGGGTGATGATTTGGAGTTTTAGCGCGCGTCGACTACAATCGGTCATGCAGCCCCCATCCCATAAAGAAGTGTTAAAATGACGCGCACGGCACAGCGCCGGCCACCACCCCCAGCTGGCCGGGGCACCAGGGCGGCGCACGGCACAGCGCCGGCCACCACCCCCAGCTGGGCGGGGCACCAGGGCGACGCACGGCACAGCGCCGGCCACCACCCCCAGCTGGCCGGGGCACCAGGGCGACGCACGGCACAGCGCCGGCTACCACCCCCAGCTGGCCGGGGCACCAGGGCGACGCACGGCACAGCGCCGGCTACCACCCCCAGCTGGCCGGGGCACCAGGGCGACGCACGGCACAGCGCCGGCTACCACCCACAGCTGGCCGGGGCACCAGGGCGGCGTACGGCACAGCATTGGGCACCACCCCCAGCTGGCCGGGACACCAGGGCGGCGTACGGCACAGCATTGGGCACCACCCCCAGCTGGCCGGGACACCAGGGCGGCGTACGGCACAGCATTGGGCACCACCCCCAGCTGGCCGGGACACCAGGGCGGCGTACGGCACAGCATTGGGCACCACCCCCAGCTGGCCGGGACACCACGGCGGCGTACGGCACAGCATTGGGCACCACCCCCAGCTGGCCGGGGCACCAGGGCGACGCACGGCACAGCATTGGGCACCACCCCCAGCTGGCCGGGGCATCAGGGTGGCGTACGGCACAGCATTGGGCACCACCCCCATCTGGCCGGGGCACCAGGGTGGCGCACGGCACAGCACTGGCCGCTACCTCCAACTGACCGGGACACCAGGGCGGCGCACGCCATCACGCAGCTACAGTTGGCGAAGGTCATGGCGGTGATAATATCAGCCAAGTTTCCACAGAGGTTCATGCGCTGGCGGTTGGTACTGGTCGGAATTAGTTGAGCTACGGCGAAGCACGCTGTGCTGATGGCCGTGTTCCAAGACTGGCTGTGCCAGGCTTACGTCACAGCGCCTTCGAATGGGCGCCATTTTTAAACGCCGATCTTGAAACTCTTGGTCCGCAGTGGCACGTCTATCTCCCCCCCCCCCCCCACCCACCCTCCCCCCAGAACAAACACAAATCTAGCTGCAAAACGCCTCAAGCCCGGCAGATCCATGCCACCCATTCCTGTGCGCAAGTGCCGGGCCAGCAGGCCCACACGAACGTCAATACGACCGCCCCTATTTGCACAGCTGGGTGGCACCTGCGACGTCATGCTGAAGACGGAGTCAGAAATATGGGCCAAACTCAATGTACGGTTTGCCTACTTCTCGTCCCACCTGCCTTATGCATCTCCCGAATGCACCGTTTTACTTCCGTAACTGGAACAGGGTCGCGTTTACCGCTGCACCACACCAGGCAGACGGTTTCGCCCATTCAGCGCAATACTTTTCCGACACCCACGGGATTTTGACGAATTTAATCATCGCAGCTCACATGGCGAAGCCACCAGACCGTCCCGACACTGCTGTTGTCAGCGGCTTTTGCCCGCACAACCCTAAACACTCCGATGGTAACGCCCCGAGCTGAACGCGTCACGCTGGAGCTTGAGCCACGAGCACATCTCCGCTGCATGCGCCGCTGAGCACCCAGGAGCAGCGGCGGCGGCTCGAGCGGGACAACGGCAGGAAATATCGTCAGCACTCAGCGCGCCCTGCTCGCCCGAGCCCACCGGCGGCCGCCGCGGCGCGACCACAGGAAAATCCCGCCCGCCGCCGCGGCAGCGGCCGCTCGCAGCCGGCGCTCAGACCGGCCGTGCTAACGGGCCCGGTGCAGGCTTCTCGGAGGGCTTGACCGCGGCCGGGCGGCCCAGGCGCCGTCGCCGGCCGCCGCGCCCCGTGACGCGTCACGTGCTGGCGCTGTACTGCAGGCCACCGCGCGTCCTCCCAGCAGGCTCGCCGTGCAGGGGTCCCTGTTCCGATCACGCCCGACGGGACACCGCGGGAAGATCGCCAGGGGACAGCGCAGCGGTGCCATCATTGTCATGTCGTCCCGACAGCATCCCCAGTCCTCTTCAACATTCTCGGCGAACAGATGGCTGCAACGGCCCGTTGTGTGCGACGTTTTGACGGCGCGCTAGACAGCAGCCTTTCCAGCATGCTCAACAGGCGACACTCCCACCAAGTGGGACAGGATCGCTGGCGAGTGTTCTCGGCGCGCTCCCGCTGCCGCCCCGACAGGATCGCATGCCGCGCTGCTACCACGCCCCACTGGAGCAGTGCCAACATTCCAACACCGTTCCGACAGGATCCCCTGCAACATTCTCAGCGCTCCCCTATGCGCAACAGCCAGTGACGTGTCACATTCTGAGGCGGCCCGACAGAACCCCGTGCAACGCTATGCACGTGTGAGTGACACAGTCAATGAAAACCGTACACACATCAACCGGCTTCATTGGCGAACCATCGTCAAAACAACAAGCGTCAAATGACAACCCAAGGCCAAGGGTTTAAAAACCCAAAGCTCAGGAAGTGCCACCGAATACAACCCTTACGTGCAAACACTATACCCTGACGCATGGCAGTCAGGAGCTATTGTTTGCACGTGGCCCGTTAAGCCCCTGTAAGTAGCGCTGATGCCTGACCTCCTCGCCACCGGCTGCGCTGCCCCACTCAACAATGACATCAGCAGCGTGCGAATGAGGAAAGCGATGACCTCACAATTGTTTATGCAGATGGAAGCGCCAGCGCCGGGCAAGGTCGGAGCCCGACCCGGCGCCGTCGGCCGGCGTCGGTACCGTCGCGGCCGGCCGGGTGTCGTCAGCGCCACGTGTGCGCCGAGCAATGCCGGCCCCCGAGCCAACACACCGACTGGGGGGCCGACGGGACCCGGGGCAGACGCGCGCCACCGGGCGCCCTCGACCTGACCGCGCCACCCCAATACTGGGAACGTGCCCCCGGTCGGCCAAACACGCCCCGCTCGCCGGAGCAGCGGCGCGGTGCCCGTAACCCGGCGGCGCACGTGCTCCACGACGATAGTGGCGCCCGCGACCGGGACCCGCCGGCCTGCAACGCGATAGGCGGCCGCCGCCGCACCTTCCGCTGCGGGCGGCGCGCCCCGCGGCACCCACTCATGCCCGCCGGGCGTCAGAGCGTTCCCAGAACGGCTCCCACACGGCTGCCGCGGCGGCGCCGGCGGCGGCAGCGGCAGTGGCAGGGCGGTGACGGAGGGTGGAGCCGGCCGAGGCGACTGGCGGAGGCGACAGTGGCGGCAGCGGCCCGGAGGCGAGCCGGGATCAACGACAGTAACGAGACCCCCCCCCCCCCCCTCCCACGGCTGGCGTACAGCCGCTTCAGAGGTGACGTAGGACCGACGGGAGCGGCGGAGCTCTCCCTCCCCCCCCTCCACCCGGAAGACGACCCAGGACCGGGTCGCGGCGAGATCACCCAGCGGAACTGGACACATCTGACCGTGAGTAAAGCCCATCGTGCGTTCAAAGGCCATCGCGCATTCAGAAACATAACGGTGTTGCCACACGGCATTCCACTGCATGCGCGTGTGCGATCGTGCGCGGACGTTGTGCTGGTCTACGCGTCGAGTGAACGCACCGCATGCCACGGTTTCTGTTCAGGCCCAGCATGCATGTGTGAAAGAGCATTTGCAACGCACGAGGTCTATCTAACAAGCGAGGGGCCCCGAGAACGGTCTATCAAACAATGCTTTCACCGTTGGTGTGAGGCGCAATCGCTTGGCACCTGTCGGCATTTCTTGCCTTGCTCGGGGTGAGCTTCACCTCCATCTGAGCGCGACGCGCCGGTCGACGGCGGGCACATACCTGGATCTGAGTGCAGTTGGCATTGCTGGCGCGGCAGGCCAGCTTGACCTCCTCCCAGGCCTTCTTGCGGTGCTGCAGCCTCTCGTGCGACTGCAGATCCATCACGCACACCACCTGAAACGGCGGGCGAGGCCCGGTCAGCCGCGGGGCACAGGGCGCTGCCGCTGCCGCCGGCGCCATGTGCTCGCTCCCACTGCGCGCGCCCGCCGCGTCCGCGTCCGTCTGATCCGTGTCGGCGCCGGGTCGGTCCCGGGAACGGCGCGCCCCAGACCGCGTCAGCCCGGTCTGTCGACGGCGCCCAGCTGGCGTCCACTGGCCCGGCCGCGCGGCCGGCGCCGCTGGAGTGGCGGTCGACGGTCCACCGGCCCCTCAGGCGCGGCGAGCCTGACCGGTGGCCGCCTCTGAGCGGTGGGTGGAGTATCGGCCGCCAGTGATTCACACCGGCCGCCAGGGATAATCCGGGCGATCGCACTGATAACGATAGCCGTCCGCCCCGCCCGGACGGCACAGCCGCCCGACGCAAACGGCAGCGCGAAGGCAGCGCACGCCCAGTCAGCAACGGAGTGAACATTATCGCGACGTGTTTCAACAAATAGCCCTTTGCCGTGGTAGCTCTGAGCGCGACGCAAACGCGGTCACCAGCCGACAAATGAAGAAACCACAAAAGAATCGATGGGAAGGCCAGCCGCGGCAGAAGGAAGGGGCCTGGCAGGAAACCGGCCCATCATCAACACCTGCATTCGTCCACGGCATTGCTAAGGTTCACTGAATCCCCGACTTATCCCACCGCCCCATGCCAGTGACCCGGGAGCTGGCCGTTCAGAACAGAGCCAATAATCCGGAGTCATGTGATCCGCTTCTCCACCCATCTGTCCCGTCCCGGTCACTGGTTACGTGTCACCCCTGCGTCAATGGCGGCGATACGTCACGCCCCGCTCGGGATCCTAGCGCCGCGTCGGCCCAGCGGATGACGCCATTTCCGGAGAATCGCTGGGACGTGCGGCGGCGTGTCGGCAGTAACCGGTCCTGGGGCCAGGCCGGGCCGGCTGGGCACGACACAGCCTGGCCAGGTGCGAGACGGACCTTCAACACGGCTCCTGGCCGGAGAGCGCCGACCAGTCCCGCCCTGGTCACCGCCGCCGGATGGCAGCGCGGGTCACACCCGACCGGCGCCAGGGGAGCCCCTCCCCGTCCCGCCTTGCTCCTACCTTGACGGCGGGCGGCGGCGGCGGCGCGGTCCGCGGCTCCTCATGGCCCGACCTGGCCGTCGTGGAGCCGCCCATGACGCCGACGCCGACGCCGACGCCGACACTGGCACTGACGCGCGCGCGCGGCGGCGGCGCAGCGGCCGAGGAGCGCGGCACGTCCGCGGCGGCCGCCGAGCCGGCACTATCTGGCGGAGCCGGCCGCCGCTGCAGCCGTGCAGCGGCGGCCGGCGCCGCGTGCGCAACGTCAGCGGACCGCACGGCCGAGCGACGACGACCCGGCGCCGGCCCCGGCTCAGGCACGCAGCACGGCAGGCGCGGCCGCTGCTGGGGCACCGGGGACGGCAGGGGTGAACTGCTTGGGTCTCTCAGTGACGCGCCGACCGGGGAGCGACCGCGGGCTCGGGTCCCTCTGTGCCGCGCCGACCGGGGAGCGACCGCGGGCTCGGGTCTCTCTGTGCCGCGCCAACCGGGGAGCGACCGCGGGCTCGGGGTGATTGCGTGGCGGTGTGCGGAGAAGACGGGGTGTCCGGATGGCATGCACAAGGTGGCAGCTCCATTTCACGGAGACGACACCGGTCGACGGGTGAAACAGAGCGACACTCACCGCCATCCACTTGGCCGGGAGGCCGTCGCTCCAAGAAGCGAGAGCTCGGGGCGCGAATGGTTGTTTATTGGGGGTTTTACGGCGCGCCGACTGCTGGGGTCATATTACGCTCACGACACTCGGGGCACGCTGACACTGAGGACAGAGGGCATCCGGATCGATGGAAGGCTGAAAGCGGACTGGAGGCGGAGGGAGGCTGTAGACGGAGAGGGGTGTAGAGCCGGGAGGTGACGGGGGGGCGCATACGGAGCGAGGTGTGGAGTCGGCAGGCAGCTACGTCAGTCCTCACTTGAGCAGAAAGGGACTCAGACTAGTGCGGAACTCCGTACAGAAAGACATTTGATGATGATGACGATTATCCGTGTCTTTGGCGGTCTAACAGCTCGGATCATTTTGAACTCGTGAAAAAGTTTTAGTCAATTAATGAGGTACCTACGACCTTCGCGACCTTCTTTTCCGTCATCGCAACCATGCTCGAAGCTGGTGCACCCAATGGCTGTAAGATAACGACAGGCATGGAGGCTACCAATTACGGCAGTAGGGCAGTTCAATTCAGCGTGATCGCCAAGCCCGCGCAAGATCTGCACGCCTGTGAGCTATTTCTGCCCAGCACTCTGCCTTCACAATGCACCCGAACAAATTCGGTAAATTTCAGGTCCACCCGACGCGTTCAGTTATGGCTGTACTGACGACACACTGGTTCACGTGACAGTTTCTCAAGATGCGCATGTAGAGCTACCACTGCAAACGCTCGGCACCATAAAGAGAGGTGCGCCATTTGCGAAGCACAAATAAAACTGTTGCCGTCGTAAGGTGTGACAGCACGAATCTCGCATGCCACAAAATAAATCCAAATTAAGTATCTCTTAATACCTATGTGGAGCATCGTCAGCAGCTCGTCCGAAAAAAACAGGCTGGACGTAAGGGTCAATGAAGTACAGTGCAGTACCAATGCCCTAACCAAATGCCGCTCGATGAAGTGCTAAAAAATCCCGAAGTATCGTTGTGAGCAACCTCGAGCCCCTGTACTCAAGATTACCCTGAGCTTGAGCTCGAGACTATCTCATCGACACCTCCCTCCTCCCTCCAGCACGAGTAGGGTCAAAGGTGACGCCTCCTCGCCGCCTCGCCTGCAGCCAGCCAGCGATCACGAAGTACCGTTGTGATCAACCTCAAGCCATACGCTCCAGATTATCCTGTGCTTGAGCTCGAGACGATCTCACCAAAACCTCCCAGCACGAGCGGGGCCAACGGTTACGCTTCCTCGCCACCTCGCCTGCAGCCAGCGTGATTTGGTTAGAGATCAGAGCGTGAGTCGTCGTCAAACCTCGCAATTGACGAAAGGATTAACGTGGAACAATTAGACCAACGAGCAGTGACTGAAACTTGGGCGTTTCTTGGTGTTTTTAGCCTCGAGACATGTTGTTCTCCACAAATATACACTGGAAAGCATACAAAAATTGTTCTCTGTGGGCAACGCGAGATGAAGGCAAGCTGTTCCTGAAACTTCGACATCATCGCGCGCCACACTCACACGACTAAACGAGAGTTTAGTACTTGTTAGTAAATACTTGCGGGTTTCAGCCGAATCTTTCTACCATATCACACACAATCTGTCCTTTCACTGCATTCAGTGCCCAGGTCCGTCGCTGCTCACCAGCACACGTTTGACCCACCTGCCGTCCACCAACCACACCAACGCGGCCAAACACCGGGCACGAGCCCCCACTCAAAACAACAGCGCCTCTTGACGGGCCAGGGAGACGTGAAAGAACAGACAACATCTCGTATACGTCACGATTCAACGTTTCTGGACTGCGCGGGGAAATCACTGCAACACAACAAAAATTGATAGGGAAGTACGTGATGTCACACCAACATATATCCGTAAATGTGGCGTGAATTGATCATATATTGGTGGAAAACATTTTAAATCCTTTTTTGAATAGCATCCTCATCAAATTTGCATTCGAAGCTATTAAAAATGGAGATTGTACCGAAGGTGTAATGGTGATGTCAAATACCATCCCACACGCTCGCTTGAGCACGCGGAAATCCACGGCTCCGCGAGTCTCCGGCTCTTGGGGAGGATTGGGCTTTGGAGAGAAAGCATATTATCCACCAATAAAGGCATGTAATTTTTATATCGATCTACAGAACGCCGCAACAGAATCATGATTGGAGTATGAAGCTATAGCAGGGTTTCTTGTTCTCCGTTGAGCAGAACTTTTGATTTTGAATACTTTTTCAGAGAATCATTTTTTTATTTTTTTCACATAATTATTTTTTCACAGGATCATTATGGTCCTAAAAAGCAATATCAAAGCCAACGAATAACTTACAGTGGCTCTGTCGTTGAAGACTGCCATGCCATGCGCGCCATTTATGTAGCCTTCCGTTTTTTCGTTTTTTTTGGGGAGCCACGTGCGCGGCCGTGGTGGGCGGTGATGACGCGACTGGTTGATAGCACAGATAAAGGCAATATATCAATTCAGCACAGTGGTATATACTGAGGAAAGTATTGTATCAGACTCAACGTCGGTGAGTACATGTAGCGATGCTAACTTTGCACGGCCAGCTTGCACTATGAGAAGGAAATAATTCCTCCGCTGCATTGACCTCCGAGCCCCGATCACGCAGCAGCCTGACGTCCCAGATGGTGTAGTTTTGTACATAACTTTGAGGAGCGGGTGAGCATAGAAATCTTAAATCCCAAATACATGGTGCAAACCACGTTCCGCCTGATTTTGACTAAGTTTATTCTCAAAGTTGACGGAGGGACTAGCATCCCATCCAAGCAAACCCCTGGTCCCAAATTAAGCGTATCTAGGCTAGTAAAAGCCTAGGCGGGTATCACATTGCCCCAGAATCATTCCCTTAGGCGAGAAAGATTGCACCTCGGCTCTAACATAGCTGCACTTACTACCATGCCCCAGATGTTCCTATTTATATAATCCCAGATGCTCCTATATTTATGCCTACAGACGCTCCTTGCATGACATTTCAATCATAAATTTGTTCTAATGTGCCCTGGGGAATTGCTCAACAGGTGCACAATATTTTAAGAACTGGTTTCTATCAGCCTTAATTAAGACTCACACCTTTACAACAGAATTGTCAATATCAACAACTTTCTATCATCTCCATAGCTTCAAAACACACCGTAGGTGTGAGCATAGACTTAGCACTTACTTAGGAGCTAGAAAATTTTAGAATTGCAAGCAGCCAATCTCGAATGGTCTTTGGTCATCACTGAGACGAGCTAAAGCATGGTGTTTACTGTCATCTCCTGTCAAAGAATGTCCTTCAATGCCAGCTGTGAATACCGTGCGAATTCACCTGTTTTTTTCTTCTTCTTACAAGTCGCTCTTTTAGAATCTGTGTTCTCTTCCCCAAAAAACAAACCAAATTTGAGATACTGCCATCGAGTATCACAAAACGCTCTCGGATGATCACATCCCCATAAAAACCGAGGCCTGCGTGCAATTGGTTAGCAGCCGAAAGTGTTTGAACGTCACCAAAATAGGCTACAGGTTGCACAGTTGGCACGACTGATTTTTTGAAGCGCGTTGGTTCGCTCAGAAGAAGCGACCTGGCACCGAAAACACGTGGGCACTGCTGCAGCGCGAAATCTGCTTGCGGTAGTGTCGAACAATGACGTCGTGTGGAGTTTGGGTGAGGATACGCCATATTTGGTCGTGTTAATTACAAACGTGATGCAATAGCTATGAGACATACGCGATCCGCCCGGAGTGTCGAGAAACGGTCCAGATTATGGAGAGCCCCATTGTCTCTCAGAATCATCGACCGTTTGCCGGTTTCGTGAAAGCTCGGGTCGCCATCGAATATCACACCAAGGGGACGAGGAAACAAAAGGCAAACGAAGGGTCGCGGCGCCCCAAATACCGCGTTCGTTCTTCGCTACAATGTTGGTATGAAACTGAACATGAAGAGCAGAGCATCACTCCAAGATGGGAGAGGGTCGGGGCAGCGCGGCACTTGGAACGGGGTGGCACGGGACTCGGAGCGGGGTAGCACGGGACTCGGAGCGGGGCAGCGCGGCACTTGGAGAAAGGTAGCACGAGATCCGGAGCGGGGCAGTGCGACACTTGGAGCGGGGTGGCACGGGACTCGGAGCGGGGTAGCACGGGACTCGGAGCGGGGCAGCGCGGCACTTGGGGAGCCACGGGACTCGGAGCGGGGTAGCGAGACACTTGGAGCGGGGCAGCGCGGCACTCGGAGCGGAGTAATGAGGCACTCGGAGCAGGGAGGCCAGGGGCTGCACGACACTCACAGTAAGAAGGGGACAGGGGGACAGGACACTACACGACATTCCGAGAAACGACACTCATATTCCCTGCTAGACGAGATGCTGCCCCTGATCCTCCTCCGGAGGGTTATGAGTGGCTGTCACCGGTTCATTCTATTAGAAACCTCGGTCAAGATGAAATCGGTGACCTCCCGGAACCAAGAACTTCACATTTATTTATATCACTGCTCCGCAACAAATTGCGTACGAACGAATTAGCTTCAACATAGGTGATGAGCTGCAAACATTTGCGGCAAACCCAGATTGTATGTGAAACTGCCTAAGTTTTCGCTTTTTTCGCCGTAATTTGCCAAGCGTAGCCACTTCCAATATTCTCTCAAATACGACAGTGTGCCAGAGTCTCCAGCAACCCTTGACCTTTTGCCCACGTGAGCCTCGCATCTGGACACATTCCTCAGACGCACGTGATCAGAGAGTGCGCGAGCAGCTCGCTACGGCTGGTGAGAAAGCTGTATATGGAGTCTCTGGCAGCGCAATGCTTCGCTGAGCCCTGGTTTAAGGCAAAATGTAACAAACCGGGACGTCCTGGCATGGGTGGCGGACACTCACCTCCATCCCGGGCCGGGCGGCGGGTACTCGCCTCCACCTCGGGCCGGGCAGCAGGCATTCTTTTCTACCCCGGGCCGGGTGGCGGGCGCTCACCACCTCGGGCCGGATAGCGGGCACTCACCTCCACCTCGGGCCGGGCGGCGGGCACTCACCACCTCGGGCCGGGTAGCGGGCACTCACCTCCACCTCGGGCCGGGCGGCGGGCACTCACCTCCACCTCGGGCCGGGCGGCGGGCACTCACCTCCACCTCGGGCCGGGTAGCGGGCACTCACCTCCACCTCGGGCCGGGCGGCGGGCACTCACCTCCACCTCGGGCCGGGTAGCGGGCACACACATCCACCTCGGGCCGGGTAGCGGGCACTCACCTCCACCTCGGGCCGGGTAGCGGGCACTCACCTCCACCTCGGGCCGGGCGGCGGACACTCACCACCTCGGGCCGGGTAGCGGGCACTCACCTCCACCTCGGGCCGGGTAGCGGGCACTCACCACCTCGGGCCGGGTAGCGGGCACTCACCTCCACCTCGGGCCGGGCGGCGGACACTCACCACCTCGGGCCGGGCGGCGGACACTCACCACCTCGGGCCGGGTAGCGGGCACTCACCTCCACCTCGGGCCGGGCGGCGGGCACTCACCTCCACCTCGGGCCGGGCGACGGACACTCACCTCCATTCTAGGCCGGGCAGCGGCCGTGCTGGCCGAGTGGACCGAGCCCTCACTGAGCCGGCTGCAGACGCTGTCCGTCATCCCCGCTGAAACGGCGCCGTACAAATGTCAACAGCAGGGCTCCACGCCCGGCCCCTCCGCGTGCGTCAGCGGCCGGCCGCCGTATCGTTGCTGTCCACCACGGGGCGGCTGCGGGCCCGGGCGGCGGGCACCAGCACAATGTCAGGTCCAACAGCCTGAGTCATAGTCCGAACCTGAGCCCCTGTGTTTTCACGCCGAGTCCGAGTCCTACGCTCATTCCAGGCTGAGCCTGATGTGCAACGTTGCGTTGCAAAGCCGAACCATTTTGTGTCTGTTGAAACCGCATGGGGACGAAATATCGTTCAGGTCTTGTGGAATGACTGAAGCGAGATACCAACATCACGGGCGGAATATCTGTTTTAGGACAACCGTCCCAGTTTGATGGGTTAATATGTGCAATGCTTCCTACAGTATAAGAAAAGCCACGACCAACAATCATTAATAAGTCGTGAAAGTCGTGAAAATACCCGGCCGTCTTTTGGTTTCCAGCCATGCATGTCGCGCCGCTTCGAAAAGTTGTGATGCACGCTGGGGTGGCAGGACGGGCATAACAGTGAAGTTAAGTCGCAACTGCAAGGAAAAACGACCGGGGCAAAGTCAGATAAAATCGCATGACGTCGGAGCCACAAACAAAACAGCTGCCGAGCTCTCAGCAACGTTGAATGAAAACAGCAGCTCCGCAAAGCCCAAGCCGGAGCAAACTCGTCCCCATGCCTGACTACGAATCTGAGATTAAGCCAAAGCTCAGCTCCTTATCGTCTCGTTCGGAATGAGGATAGTTTCGCCGGACCGTCACGAACAGATCGTCAGAGATGGGAATTTCTGTAATTTGTACGCATGCATCTTCCTGAGCACATCAAAACTCAGCCCGGGCTTTGCTACTTCACATCTTGCCTGGCCCGCATCAGGCAGTGATTGTACTGTAGTTGCAGACGACTGAGTATTGAACCTTTGTTTTCGTGAACAAAGAGCCCCATGGGCCCATGCTGGAACTGAACCCTTACATGCAAAAAGTGCACGCAATGGCAAAAACATTCATCACACATGCACTGCAAGTACACTCAGGGCAAAAAAAAAACAGCTTAGCAATGAATAAATTATGACCAGCTTAGTAACAGCACATGACACCGCGCAGCAATGTCACACAAGAAGACGATTGCAAACATCGAGATAAAAAGCGCATGGAACACTTCGCAGCGGCACAGTGGGACGGAGCTGAAACGACGTAGGGCGGCACGGTGGGACGGAACTGGAATGACGTCCAGCGGCACAGTGGGACGGAAATGGAACGACGTCAAGCGCATCAGTCTATCTCCGAGTCGGACATCGGATTTGGATGTGGGCGGTTCAGCCTGTTTGAAAATAACGTTCCTTTTGGTTCAGTGGCGATCAAGACTTGCTTTAAATGAGTGGCAAAAAGCACTTTTCACAAGTTCAGAAGGAAGCTTACTAAAGACATAAGGATATAAAGACATCATGCCAACAAAGAGCCACAAAGGCCCATTGAGGTTGGCCCATCCTAGGTTCCTCACCCATTCCTGAACTAATCTTACCACCTGACCTGCCTGAATTTAGCTATAAATAAGATTATTAGACCTAAAGAACTTGTGCCATCGATTTTTAATGCTGCTTCCTACAACTTCGCTTCGCAGTCCACTTCAATGATTCACTGCTCTTTGACCAAGTGACATCTGTCTCTTCATAGCTCTACTCCCTCCTTTTGCTAATTGAAACTGGTTTTCTCTAAGTCTCGGCCTAATATCCCATGCTCCTTGTAGATCTTCCTTGCCTATCCCTTTCATAATCATGAAAACCTCTATCAAATTCCTTCTAAGCACACTCACAGCAAAAAAAACAAACAATAACTTAGCAATGAATAAGTTATGGCCAGCTTAGTAACAGCACATGATACCGCATAGCAATGTCACGCATTCTAAAGCTTATATTCTATTTAAAGCTTTTCCTTATTCTAAAACTTAAGAATCCTGACACTGGCTGATTTTGTAGCAAACAAAACTTACACAAGCGAGGTTCAGTCCAACGCCCTCCGTATTTTGGATTAAATCAATGCCCTCTTGTTCGGTTCCCAACAATGTTGAAAAAGTGTTGTTATTGGCCGTATCCAAGCACTGAGTCATACGGTACACGTGAGTCATTACGATACCGTCCATTGGGACAGTGCGTACGGCCCAATCAGACGTCATTGCAGGAAACTGATATACCCTTTGCATTTTATGATATCAATTCAGTGTAACTGCGCATTCGCACAAGCAGCGTTGGTAACCGAATTCCTCCCTCCCCCTTCCCGAACGGTACAAACCATGGGCATTAGGTATAAGCTGCACCCACGGCGGTAGTTTCAGCGATAGCCCACACCTGTATTCGTGCTGTGGCAAATATTCACGCTAGCACGTGACGTCCCTTCAGGGAATCCGTCCAGATCAGTTTTTGGGGCATCGCTCGACATCAGCGTTACACACCAGGGGGGGGGGGGGGGGGGGGACTACAAAAGGAAAATAACGGAACGGTGATCACACGTTACAGTGTTTCCTACTGCTATTTTTGCGCCACATGCGATCACCGCTAATTAACTTTTTCTATTCGGTTTAGATATACGTTGAAGCAGGGTGATGTATTAACCGGGACAACTGTATCCTACCTATGGGATCAGATCGTCTCTTATTAATTCAGATCAATTCTAGCACGCCTATCTTGCGATATGATGACGACGCGGGGAGCAGAACGCCTCACCCACAAAATATATCACGTATCCCCATGATGTATTTGCTTCTTGTAAATGTGCTTGGACTTACTTGCTTCCAAGCTAGCATAACGCATGTACTTTTTGTCAAGTACATGACCTTACAATCCGAGTTTTGAGGGCCTTCAACAGTTTGTAGCAACAGCATCCGTGTATGACTGCACTTTGTGTCACTCCCGTTAACACCGCTCCAACCGAATGTCGAGGCCAGCGGGCGACTCAGTTGCGCAACACCAATCCCTGATACCATCTGGGAGCGCGCCAGCTCCGGCGCGTGAGTAGCACGGCAGGCCGCGTCCCAGGCCGGTTATCGTGGGAAGCGGGCCCGGCTCCTGCCACGGCTAGCGGTGGCGACGCGACGGCCGGCGTCAGCGGCGGCGACGCTGCTGGCCGTGGCAGAAGCAGGCGCAAATCACTGACTTTCCGAACGCTGCGCTGTAACTGACGGACAGCGCTGGGACATTCGGCAAGAATGCTGGACGGAATACAACTAGCACACCACATATCTGACAGTGGAGTGATACTGGATGGGCCGACCAGGATACCGTTATGTTCGCTTCTATCCTAGAATGAGCGAACAGTTCTGATTCAGAAGCTGCTTTTCAATGCTAATATATTTTCTGAGCACCTTCAATGGTAGGACTTTATGGCTTGTGGCCACCATGAACCCGAACACTGGCAAGATCATGGTGCGACTGTCGCATACTTGCCTCCCTCCTCCGGTATTCTGGTATCCTATGGTAATCCTATTATGATACCCACACTAAGCACAACATTTGTATTTATGATGGCAAAGGCTGCTGAGAGTCCCTAGCAAAATTAATGACATCCAATCGATGTGGAGTGTGCCACAAGGTTCTAACCGTTAAACTAAAAGGTATCGTCATGCCATGTCATTGGGGCTTTACGTCGCACCCAGCTGCTGAGGCTATATGGCGTCGCCTGCCTCCCACCCTGGCAGGAAGGGCGGGTGCCGCGGGGAATCGAACCCCGTACCTCTGGTTTCCCAGACGCGCAGTGGTTTACGCAGACGAGCTAACCACTACCCTACCAGCACCCCACTAAAAGGTATCTTTGGTCCTCCGGATCAAAAATCAATGCTCGCATAGGGCTTCCCGTGCAAGCCCAGCTTAACATTCTCCCATATTCTGCGCAAAGTCAAGAATGCCAGCAACGATGAGACACGCCACCATTTGATGCATGCATGAATTGAAACATCAGCCGTGTCTGCATGCTGTTTGTTTGCATACCGTTTGTATACTGTATCGTCCTTGTCGATACTGTTCACCCGCAATGGATATCAAACTGGACCGACAACGTCACGACATTCAGTGTCTCACCATAGCACGCTGCAAGTCAAATTAAGGCTAAACTTAACGATAAGCACATGTAGCTAGAAAACGTTGCCTTTCTTCTGGGCCGAAATGCAAAGAACGTGTCAGATCTGATGCTCCGTAACAAAACATCTCCGAAAATAATCAAGCCAGCTCAAGCTCCCAGCGAGCTACGGTGTTCGGAGGTTTCGTGAGCGCATCGGCTACCGAGGCCATATCGCGCTCGGTTGCACTACTTGCTGAGCGTTACACAGCTGAACAGGCGAGCATTTGCCACGCAGCCCGGTAGTGCCCGCCGCCAGCTAAACATTAGCGCGTCTACAGAAGGCCAGCGAGGGGACGTCTTCAGAAAAACCCGTCTGCGGACTGCGGTCGCTGAACAACTCGAAAATGCCAGAACACATCGCCGAATGTCGCGCAATATGCGGCAAACAACGGCAAGACGGCCTCCATGGCCGGACAGATACGTCCACCTCTGCTGAGATGAACGAGTAAACAGAGGTCCGAGCCGCACAAAGATGAGTCACAGGCGACCAGCCAACCATAACGCCTCCGGCAGACACCGGCCCGCCGCGGGCCAGGCCCTGCCCCGGGCGCTCAGCACGGCGGGATGACTGCCGGACGAGGCCAGGAGGGATTTAAACACATTGCGTCATCCTGCTTCGCGTAGTGCGCGTCCACCACGTGCCGTCGCTCCCAGGAGGCATGCGTTCCATTCAAACGAGAGCTGACCGGTCGGAAAACACGCGAGGAAAACCCACATAAATAGCTCTCCGGAAACCGCGGTCAACGCGGGCGGACTGACCGCAACGCCCGCCGGGCACATTTTGTTTTGTGGATGCCTTTGCCGAAACGACCGCACGCCAGCCATGTGATCTACGGTGACATAGGGCACACTACAATGCCTCTTCTCTCAAGTTTGATGTATTTGAATATTACGCCCCTGGTCAGACGATACTTTTGGCCGGCACGAATGCCTGGCAAAACATCCCCTCATCTCTCATGCCAAACTACACACGAGACACGAAAGTAGGCGGCTCGGCAGTGATGTGCGGACATTACCTGCGCGGCTGAACCCGACGCCGCGCACTGTTCACACCACATCCACGGCACGGCGTCAAGCCACTGGCGAAGTGTCTGGGAGGCTCTCTCGCGCACCACACACCCGCGCACGGTCGGCGTCACCGGGAGGAACGCGCCGAACACCCGGCGCCAGCACGCGCACACGCTGCAGTCGGCTGCGGCGGGCCGCGCCGTCTCCGCCGCTGGAGCAGCGGGCCTGCCTCGCCTGTCCGGGCCAGTGCCACCCCACCAGTCGTGCCACATTGCCGGAACCCCCGCGTATAAACACGGTACCGTCCCGCGGCGGCCCGTGACGGCCGTACACCGGGGCCCAGGATCGCGGGCGGCTGTACTCCGGCGCAGGACTCGCAGCGGACTGTACCCCGGCGCAAGACTCGCGGCGGACCGTACCCGGGACCAGGGTCGCAGCGGACTGTACCCCGGCGCAGGGCTTGCAGCGGACTGAACCCCAGCGCAGGGCTCGCAGCGGACCGTACCCCGGGACCCCGTTCGCAACGGACCGTACCCCGGGACCAGGGTCGCAGCGGACTGTACCCAGGAACAGGACCGCAATAGACTGTACTCCGGGACCAGGACCGCAGCAGACTGTACCCCGGGGACCAGGGTCGCAGCGGACTGTACCCGGGACCGGGACCGCAGCGGACTTGACCCCGGGACCAGGACCGCAGCAGACTGTACCCCGGGACCAGGACCGGAGCGGACTGTACCCCGGGACCAGGACCGCAGCGGACCGTGCCCCGGGACCAGGCTCGCAGCGGACCGTACCTCGGGACCAGGCTAGCAGCGGACTGTACCCCGGGACCAGGACCGCAATAGACTGTACTCCGGGACCAGGACCACAGCAGACTGTACCCCGGGGACCAGGGTCACAGCGGACCGTACCCCGGGACCCCGTTCGCAGCGGACCGTACCCCGGGACCAGGGTCGCAGCGGACTGTACCCGGGAACAGGGCCGCAGCACTGTACCCCGGGGACCAGGGTCGCAGCGGACTGTACCTGGGACCAGGACCGCAGCGGACTGTACCCCGGGACCAGGCTCGCAGCGGACTGTACCTCCGGAGCAGGCTCGCAGAAGACCGTACCTCGGGACCAGGCTCGCAGCGGACCGTGCCCCGGGACCCCGTTCGCAGCGGACCGTACCCCGGGACCAGGGTCGCAGCGGACTGTACCCGGGACCAGGACCGCAATAGACTGTACTCCGGGACCAGGACCGCAGCAGACTGTACCCCGGGGACCAGGGTCGCAGCGGACTGTACCTGGGACCAGGACCGCAGCGGGCTTGACCCCGGGACCAGGACCGCAGCAGACTGTATCCGGGGATCAGGACCGCAGCGGACTGTACCCCGGGGCCAGGCTCGCAGCGGACTGTACCCCGGGACCAGGCTCGCAGCGGACTGTACCTTCCGGAGCAGGCTCGCAGAAGACCGTACCTCGGGACCAGGCTCGCAGCGGACTGTACCTCAGAACCAGGCTCGCAGCGGACTGTACCATGTGACCAGGCTCGCAGCGGACTGTATCTCGGGACCAGAACCGCAGAGGACTGTACCTCGGGACCAGGCTCGCAGCGGACTGTACCTCCGGAGCAGGCTCGCAGAAGACCGTACCACGGGACCAGGCTCGCAGCGGACTGTATCTCGGGACCAGAACCGCAGAGGACTGTACCACGGGACCAGGCTCGCAGTGCACTGTACCACGGGACCAGGCGCGCAGCGGACTGTATCTCGGGACCAGGACGGCGGTGGGGCGTATCCCGGGACCAGACTTGCTGAACACCCTCGGGCCTTACTCCTGCGTCAAGTCAAGTCAAGCCAAGTGGATCATCATAATGTATCCCCAGCCCACATCCCACAAAGCGCCACAGAACTGTATCCCCGAGTCATGTCCCACAGTGGACGAACAGCTCGTGCCCAAGGGTCACAGGCCACAGGCGGCCATCAGCCTGCGCCTCCGGTCGCATGCCACAGAGCAGCCCCAGACCGTGCCCCGGACAAAAACCCGCAATGGGCCATCTGACTGGGCCCCAGGCCACGTCACACGGCGGCCACAGCGGGTACGGGCATGTCGACCGCACGCGCCACCGCACGGCCAGGAGTGAAGGAAGTAGAGGAAGGGGGAGCGAAGCAGACGGAGCCTTCGTCCTCCCCTCCCCTCCATATCTGAAGTATTGCCGGCGGCGTTGCGTGGAAAGAAACGAAGTTGACATCGCGCGTACTCCGCCCCAATGCCTCGCAGGTGTAGCCGCCGCTTCGGACAGCATATGACGAGACGTCATCACGCCGTCAACAACGCAGCTGGCGAAGCTGCAGTCAGACAGATCCTGGCGAGACCACTTACGCATAGTGCCCGACACTTCTGCGTCAACAGGGTCCCGCTGAACCCCGGCACAGGTCCGCATAAGGTACGCTGCAGACTCCGGTGGTGATCAGAGCGACACGGAGGCTCTCGACCCCAGGGTATCACAACAAGCAGACCGGTTTCCGGCAACAATGGGTTGTTGTGTGATGTGTCGGACGAGCAGTGTCGTGTTATGGCTAGCGGGCACTACCGTTCACTGTCAGAGGCCGTACTAACGCCGGCACAAAAGACCAAGTGGTGCTATGTGATGGTTCAGTTGAAGCTGTTACTCATGTCCCAGACATATCCAAAACATGCACTGAAAGTGCAACAGCTCCTATGTGTCCCATACTCAAGCTGTAGCCAAATCCATCATCTGTGCCACATAGAAGGTCAACACCAAAAAATATTGGCTGTATATCCACCACTATTTGTGTACCTGTCAGTTAAATGAACTTAAACAGCATGTAATGCTATTTTAACCATTACAACCAAGCACTGAAAACAGAGGGAAAAGGATCCTGGAGTTAAACAAATGAATTCACTTGGGAGTAACCTGATTGTCAAAACCAAACTAAATGAAATGTAACATAAACTGTAAAAATGCAAAAATGAAAGCATGAATACCCATACAATATAAATGTTATACTATCCAAGCGTGTGATAAAAATACATCAAATTCAACCACCCACACTGGCTTGCAATTCAATTTAGCTTGAGGGAAGGACAAAGCCCTTCTCAAGCTGAATATAAGGTTGCAAGGATGAAGTCCTTCCAACTTTAGTCCCCCCACCCAAGCTTGCAACTCAGCTCTCCCAACTTCAGCATTATGTTCTATCTAACCAAATAGCATGTGCCAAATTAGGAGCAGCATGCGGGTGTACCCTCCTCTACCCATGCTGATTGAGAGCAGGCAGAAACCTCCCCTACCACCAAAAACTATATTTACAAAACTGCATGCTGGTCATTTGAATGTGTAGTCAGGTAGCAACATAACCAAATATGTTGATAATCCTAACAATAGCCAGAGGTGTTTATGATTGAATATCCAGATATCATTGCTGAATGTGTGCTCTACAAACTGATAAATGTTGTTTCAGGCCCCTTGGCTGTGTACAATGTGTTAACATGGTGTGGCATTAGATACAAAAATCAACAAATGAGCAAATGTCATCTAACATATCACCTGGAACAATGTATGTTATGCACCAAGTACTTACCTGAAGCCCATTATTTATATCTTATATCATTTTCTACTCCTGCCCCCTACTGATACATCTAGATTAGTTTCAACTCTTGTTTCTCTCTGGTTAGTGTTTGATCAATGTCATGCCAGAAGGTAACTTAAATTTGTAAGCACTAGAGGATGGACTTAAGGCACATACAGAACTGTCTTTATTGTTCTATACATAAAAAGGATCACCTAAGATTACTGTCAGTAAAGCATGAGATATATACCATATCTTCTACACAGAATTTCTGCAGTGGTCCTAGTATCTTAAATAGCTTGGTCTGTGGTCTAAAACCAACCAAATTTTGTATGAGGTACATGAGCTAATATCATGGTCCTGGGTACATCATGCATAAAAATTTAGGCTAGCTGGGAGTAAACATGCATAATATTGTTGGGACTTATATAATGTGTATTTTACTAGGTAGATAGAATATTATAATAACTTTGCATAACCAAACTGAACAAAAACCCCTGCATGAGGAAATCTTCTGATCAAAATGACATTTCATGATGATCAAGAATACTTAAACCTTATCATGCAGTGTGAAAGTCATGGCACAGATTGCAGTATGGCAGACAAATTCCAAACTGTCTACCTGCTTGTTCTTTATAATTAAGGTCATCTCCATGATTCTGTGCATATTATTATACTGAACTAGAATCATACACCATGCAAATCCCGCCCATATAAATCGCTGTAAGAGCCATAGTATGACTCCTACAGGGATTCACATGAGCAGGTATTTGCATGGTTTAGGTATCTGCATGGTTGGACTCCTAAAGGGACATTGAGATATGACATAAGATTTGACCAGCCAATCAGTTTCACAAGCAAAATAGGTTATGATGTGCATACAGAGAACCAAAGTTCTCACCAATATTCTGCCCAATGTTCAGTTGAAGATTTGTCCATCTTGAACATGAGTGGACTGTCTATACACCCTCTAATTTGCAAAGAAACATGGGTATGGTGGTTATATGGCTGAAAAGGTGTGAATAGGGATATGGTTATGAAAAATCATTTTCTTTACAATTAGCTGCCAGTGGCAAACATCACATGTGTTGTAATTCAGACCATCCAAGAGAGGTGCATATCATTCGTGTCATCACGACTAACAGATTGGATACTATCGGAACGGGTAGGCACCAGGGCAAGCGAACCAATCCAATGTTCGTGGGCAGAAAACAGCAGCCGTGTTCACATGCTCCATTTAAACCCTTGCTGGCCTTTCATTGCCGGTATCTAGATGACTTACCATGCTACGTCCTTGGAAACAAGAATATGTCACACAGACAATTCTGAAATGACGCAGGAATTACACAGTATCCATGTACATAATCAAGAAAACCACATCCGACGTCCACGCGACGAAAAACCGTGGGACCTGTTGACGGTCGTCGTGCTGCCAGATAGCCATAAAAGAACCAGATATGGCGGTATACCTTCACATCTGGTGATTGTTTAGGCCAAAGCCACTAGGAATTTGGAAAAATGCATGCTGTCCTTGAACAGGTAAAAATATCAACGTTCACAATTGCACTGTCAAGCGCATACATTAGATGTGGAAGACTTTGCTGCATCAGAAGATGGCACGCTGATGTCGCTTTTGCATGCATACACTGCACACAATACACGCCGACTCAGTCACTAATTGGGCTTCCCAACTGTTCACGCCTTCGGGATTTACTCCGTTTATATTTAGCTTGTGGAGGTACAGAAATGCCACTGCAATAATACTTGCGTGTTTTTCTTCCCCAAAAAGGCTTCGCGGCACTTGAAAACTTAACACAGGAGGTGTCATAACGGCGAGTGAATAAGCATGCGACCGAGCTGTGCAGGCACCGGATCTTCCAACCAATTGGGCTGGTGCCGGGCACGGCGCCTCTCACGAGCTTCAAGGCATGCCAGGTGAACTTGAACATTCTATAAATCAGTTGTATTTTTAGTCGCGGCGGGGATGGGAGCCGCCCTGGTCAACCTGAACTCTATGTTATTGTCGCGCCCTATGTGCTCGCGGACAGCTCCCGGCTTGGAGATTACATGGCTCAGAATCGGGACCAGCGTTTCTGCGTTTTCACGTCCGCTTTGCCCGCTGATGCCTTTACCTGCAGTCCAGTGGGAACGCTCCACAGAGAATCCATTTCCAAGTCGGCCGAGACATCCGACTCTCATCGTTGAGACAAACACAAGGCAGCTGGGCCCCCTCGGCCCTGACGCGGGGGTCCCGTGTCAATCGTTGCTCAGCACCAGACGCTAACGGAGCGGGAACACCGTCGCGCCGGCTTCCTGCCCGGAGGCCGGCCCGCGATACCTCCTGGCGCCACCCTGCTGACCGAGTGACAGCACTGTCGGACCGCCAGCCCGCTGCTGGGCTCCCTCGCGCAGACATGCGCTCTGTCGTGCGTGCTCCGCGGTGTGCTAAAACGGTCAACAACGGCATGCTTTCTGGCGTGAAATGTCCTTTCGCTTGTAATGTCCAGAGCCATGGCGCAAGCTGTCTGAATGATGCGCGTGGCGGCTTCGCACGCGTGCTGCGTCGGCGCACCACCGAAGCCGTGAGTTGCTCGCTCCAGATCGCAGGCACGCGAGGTCGACAGCCGCCTGTGGGATGCCACCTTGCGGAGACGCCCGGGAGCCACGGAAACGGCAGCGCGGTGCGGCGACAGCGGAGATACTGTGCGCCGCCGCGTAGCCGCAGGACAGGAAGGCGCGGCGGACCGCAACCCCGCTGTGGCGGACCCTCCACACCGTAATCGGTCCGGCGCCGCCGCGTCCGGCCAGGTCAGTGGTCAGCTGGTGTTCCGGCCGCCTCTCCAGATGCGGGTCAGGAGCAGACCAGGCGCCGTCAAAGCCAACCGCAGCCGCCGGTCAGCTCGGGTACCGTCAGATTCCGTTACTACGGTTCGCGTTGAGTCAGGTGCTGTCGACTTCTCTCGAGACCCCCGCTAGGGTCAGGTCAGTGTCGTCGGAGGCCAGCGGGCTACGGGTCAGGTCATATACTACACTGTATCCCTTGGATTGCGGGTTAAATCGAGTCAGGTGTTACCCGATGCCCCTCGAATCGCGGATCAGAGTCCGGCCAGAGACCCGATGTTGCCAAGACGACGGCTCAGGTGGTATGCTGCCAACGGTTCCCGAGCCCGCGGGTCAGGGTCAGTTCGGAAGTCATCAGAAGTCTCCGAGATGCGGGTCTTCATAGGGCCAGGTACCGCCAAATCTTCCAGAGACAACAGGTCAGGTGTTGGCATTTTTCCCCAACCTCAGGTCATGGACAACTCATGTGCCGTCGCAGATTTCCGGAGACTCAGGCCAAGGTTCGGGCCAGGTCAGGATCAGATCAAATTCCGTCAGAGGCCAGCGGATCCGACAGGGATAACCGTCCAGACACCGGATCAGGGTCATACCCTGGCACCGCGTCCGGGTCGGATTCTCGACCGTCAGCGTGTCGACTGCCGGCCGGCGCCGCCGCACGAGCCGGTCCCAGCTGTGGCCCCGCCCCGAGCGCCGGCATGCTCCCCGCTCGACGCTGGACGTGTGCAGTCCGAGCTTTGGCCGCCGGAGAGGCTGCGCTCTCCCTGGCCGGCCGGGTCCGCCGCCGGCAGCGGTGCGCCGGGCCGCACAACGCGCTGAAAAGCGCCGCAGGGCGAACGGCAGGACCCGAGGCAGGAGCGGGGGGAGGGGCGGGTCAGGACATGGTCAGAACATTGCATTCTAGTCTGAGGCTGCACGATTATTGCATGTCGGTGAGCAACATATGACTTCGACAGAACACTGCGGCACTGTCGGTGAGCAGCATATGACTTCGACAGAACACTGCGGCACTGTCGGTGAGCAGCATATGACTTCGACGGAACTCTGCGGCACTGTCGGTGAGCAGCATATGACTTCGACGGAACTCTGCGGCACTGGTAGCTGCTACCTGAGACGTGACGTCTGCGGAGAGTGGCATGGCGCCATCAGCAGAAACGGATGAGCGAGCACTCATAAAAGACGCGCTTTAAATTTAGCTCGGAACTCCAGCGATTTTGTCTTCGAGCAGCTTTTACTCGTTAATGCGAGCCATTAAATTTACCGATTTACTTCTACGTTTTTGCGTGAAATAGCTGTAATGTTTGATCTCATGTCAATCACGTATTCCGTGTCTCATCACGGTAGCGGTTGCGGCAGGCGACACTACCGGCTCTCCATGTAATGGGTGATAGCCATTGAAACCAAAACACGCGGCCGCCAAACAGTGATGCATCAGCGCTGGGATGCGGTGCACAGCGTACGCACGGAAGCATCGCAGCGCGCTGCAGTCCCTGTCCAGAGCGGCCATAAACCTTCCAAGACGGGTTCGGCATCAGCTCCTTTTTATTGCGGCCGCCCGTTGAACTACGCATCAGCGACGTCAGACGGGCTCACGATCACCACTCGCCGCGACGTGCCGCGGTCGCCAGACGCCGCGTGCAGCCGCGGCCGTCGCCGCCCCGGAGCGAGTAAGAGTCGGCACGGCACTGCACGCGAACACGGATGTTACGACAACTGGCGGGATCGGATCACAGCTGAATCACTGTCTGTCGCCGGCCACCTCCGGTACGCGGCGCTCGCCCAAACCGCTGAGTCATCAGTGTCGGGTGCAAGCGTCTTGGAACGGCGTGGTCGCCCACAGGCGCCAAGGGTGGGCGAAACCGATGCAAACACGCTGCACCCGACGGCTTCTTAGGCCGTGGGCGCCGGCACGACGCAAGCGGGGGTGTGGGCTATCTGAGCTCACGCAAGTGCAAGCGCAAACGGCAGCGGTGATCACAGCACGAAGGGTGCGACCGGTACATGGTCACGGCGCCTAGCCACAAAGTCACAGGTAGCCACGGACAGTTACAGATAGTTACGGAGTCGAGTACACGGAGTGCAGACGTTCGGGTCGCGGGTCACGAGGCTGCCCGCCGCCGCGTCCCACTCTTGTCAGTGGCTGGTGTTCAGCTAGCCACCACCTCTAGCCTCGTTCAGAGCTCACGCCACCTGCTGGGTCACACCCCTCGGCACACGAACAGCTGGGAATTCCAGTTTAAATGTCCTTGGTTGCAGCGGAGAAACGCATGTTCACAGCATGATCCGCAGCAGACACCCAGGCCGCGGCTAGCCAGCCATGCGTTGCGGCCGGCTAAACAGAACAGCACACACGGCTGAGCAGCACAGCAAACGTCACGCTGCTCTTGCTGAAACGCGTGCGACTGCTCAGCGATTCTCACAGATCACGGCTGTCATCCAGTAACAGCCTCGTTAAAAGGCGGCTAACGCAGCCACCAACGCCGCCTCGCAGCCAAGCATGCCCCGGCAGTCTCGCCCGGGTGACTGATATGTCAATATTGGAGAACGCAAGTGATCCGGGGTCTTCCGATCCAACGCCTTGCCGCATTCGAGCCTTGCCGACGGGCCGTGCCGGTTTACATGAACATGTTGTCGTAGCCGGGCATCCGCAGGTGGTCCGGGTCGGGCTCGCCGGGCACGCGCGGTCCGGGTCCGCCCCTCGGCCGCGGCCCCAGCCCAGGCGGGCCGAACGGGTCGAACCGGGCGCCGGGCGGGACACCAGGCCTGCCGGGTACATCAAGGTTCACGCGGTCGCTCCGATACAGGGCCCAGGCAGCGGCACGAAGGGCGTGTGGGCCAAACACTTTTTGGGTCAACTCGTTGCATGCATTGTCATAGGGTTGACGTCAACCACTGAAGACAATCTGGTTGACCATGACGGTCTTCAGAAGAAGCGAGAATAGCAAGACAGTACGAAGATAGCTCGCCCAAGGGGTTCAGCGAGTGTGCCAATGAAAACGCAGCTCACACCGGGTAGACTTGGTCTGGCCACGAGGCCAGGAGTCCCACGTGGCACCCTGATTCGGCCAGCCAGTAGTGAACATTGTTCAGAGTATGCATACAACTTCCGAACAGTGCAAAGCCACACAAGCCGGGGCTCACTGTCGGCCAACCAAAGCCGAGCTCACACACGTGACAGGAAACACCGTCGGGGCTCACATACGGGACAGGAAACACAGCCGAGCTCACACACGGGACAGGAAACACCGCCGGAGCTCGCCACAAACTTGACCCAAACCAAAACCAGCACCGCAATCCACCCACGCGCGCCATGCCCACCGCCGCGTGCAGAGGCCAGTGCGGTGCGGGCGGGGGCGGCGGCCAGAGACGCGTCCCCCGCCGGGGCGGCCGGCGGGCTCCATCGGCGGCAGCCGGCGCCTGCCCCCGGCCCGACTCACGGCAGGTTGCTGACGGGCGGCCGGCGGGGGTCCATGAGCATACCGCCGCCGATGCCGCGGCCCAGCGGGTCCAGGTCGGCCCCGCCCACCGCCAGCGGCCCGGTCTGTCCGGCCACCCTGCGGACCAGACCACACGCGGGTGACGACAGCGCGCGGGGTGTGCCGGCCTGTGGTCCGCACTGCAGGATGTCATGCCCACGCCCGCCCGCCCGCCGTGAGCTCACGCCCACGCACTGCGTGCGCATGAAGTGGTCGGCTTTCGCGCCACAAGAGGACCACTTGACACGCGTGGACCAGCAAACGTGGCCACGCACGAGCTCATTCATTTCATTGATTGGCTCATTCATCCGCGTTCGTTCGAAGCAATCCTTCACGCGCTCATAGTACATGATCATGTCGTCAGGTGAGGATGGCGCACCGCCGGTGGACAACATCCAGATGTTGGCGATTAATGGGATCCGTTAGTTCGCATCAACACATAGCGAACAGCACCACAAAGACCAGAGAAGTGAAGAGACGCTGAATAATTGAGAGCTTCCTAACTACCATTAATATACACCCAAGGTCAGTGTGACCAGAACCAGTATCACGTGCATGCCACCTGAAGCATGCATAGATTTCTAACAGTTACCAGCAGGCCACGAGCCAAGGCGCCCAGCAACAGGTACCAGCTAAATGAAGAATACAGACACCCACCCACAGAAGGTTGCCGCCATAGTGATCAAACAATCAGCAAAGCAAACAGCTTTCAGTTACGAGCTTGCATAACCTAAAGTACCTAACCTAAACCATAACCATAACCTAAAGTATGAGCAATCTTAAGCATCCAGACACCACACCACAGACAGCTGGTTCCAACCAGGTACCAAGAAATACATAAGACCACATCAACTGCATGTACCACATTACAAAACACATCAAACTTATTTTGAACAAGAGCGTCCTTTAATGCCACACTGAGTCACACCGAGAGGCACAGCGTCCTCCCGCTCCCCCCTGCAGCCAGTGTGTGGGCCGGCAGTGGCCGGTTACCTGCCGTAGCCGGGCACCCTCAGAGGGTCGGCGGCCGGCTCGCGGCTCTGCCGATCGCGGGCAGCGGAGCCGGTCGGCGCCAGGGCCGCGTCGGCCGGCCGCTGGCTGCGGAAGCCCGGCGCCATCGCCTCCACCAGACTCTTCACCACCTGCGGCACGACGGCGGCGGCGGCGGGGACGCGTCAGCACGAGCAGCGGTCATGCGGGGTCGGCCGGCGCCGCAGTGTCGGCAGCGAGTGAGCACCACGCGACCGCGGTGCTCACTCCGCCCGCCGGCCGAACACGGTCGACTGGCGGGGGCACACCGCGAGAACACACGATGGGTAAGCAGCACACGTGGTGAGAGAGAGGCATAGAGGCGCACGACTAAATCAAGGTCATGAATGATGACACAGGGCTACTTACCCTCTGCATGGGATGCCACACTAACCAACACATCGCAGGCGAAAACAGCACACCAAGGGTCGGATTCAACCGCGCATGAATGAATGGTACACATTACGACACTGCCAAACTTGCAGGCCGAGTAAAAATTGCGAATCAACTTCAAAATAATGCACGTGATTGATGGCGATTTACACGTTCGCATTAAAAACAAGATAGTTAAAGCAGATCGATCGATCATACACCAGCGAAGCCCGCCAGCCAATCTACGCTTCTTCCCCACACCAATAGACACTGGGTTAGCTCAAGGTGACCTGGTCTAACCCAGTAGCGAGCTGGGAAGTTGCGCAGCTGACCACATCGTATTGCACACAGCGAGGAGGTCAAGGCACTCGGTGAGCTTGCCGACGAGGCTAAATCGTCCTGAAATCAATCAAATCAATCAGCTAGAATGCCCAAATCAGTCAACTAGATGTCTTGGATCTCATATGCTCTTAAGCACGCACCTCATCCTTGATGTTCTTGATGTCTTTGAAGACAGAGACGTAATCTTGCAGGTCATCTCCTGCCATCTCCGCGATGGGCTTGTTGAACACAGCCGTGATGTCGCTGTCTATCTTCTGAAAAGCAGATCACACCGTTGAGCAAACAAGCGTCTGAAGCTGAAAAAGAATGTCCACACGTCACACCACCAGGAATACCCAAGCCAAAGGATCGATCAAAACGATGGTACTATGCCTCCTGGATCCACCACTGCAAAACACACCGCGCACGACCCTCATCGTAATGACCTAAACAGCCACCAGGAGACAGCCCTGACAAAAAGTGCCGTGATCTCCTCGTCACTCCCATGTCTGGATCGGCCGGTCATGATTTATCGCCAGTGGGGCGACCAGACTGGGCCGCCACACCGTGGCCTCAGACGTCCCTCCCATGGGCCGCCACACCGTGGCCTCAGACGTCCCTCCCATGGGCCGCCACACCGCGGCCTCAGACGTCCCTCCTATGGGCCACCACACCATGGCCTCGGACGTCCCTCCTATGGGCCGACACACCGTGGCCTCAGACGTCCCTCCCATGGGCCGCCACACCTTGGTCTCAGACATCCCTCCCATGGACCGCCACACCGTGGCCTCAGACGTCCCTCCTATGGGCCGCCACACCATGGCCTCGGACGTCCCTCCTATGGGCCGACACACCGTGGCCTCAGACGTCCCTCCCATGGGCCGCCACACCGTGGTCTCAGACTCCCATGGCCGCCACACCGTGGCCTCAGACGTACACTCATGTTGACGATCAGCTGGCCCTCCACCACCAGTGCCTTCATCAGGTAGCGGGAGCGGTCGCGGCCAACGTAGGTGAGCTCGTAGATGCCGTCCTGGCTGCTCCAATTGTCTGGCAGCCGCTCCGAGCTGGGGCTCTGATTGGAGGTGTCCTGTGTCACATGCCCACGTCAGTGCATCTACAGCACTGGAAGATACCTAGGTCCTAAATAGCCACTTAACATCTGGAAAGTACGACTTCGGCAAACTACGTGAGCAGATCGAGACTTCACGCCACGCACCCACATTCATAACGAAGCTGGCACATCTGGAAGTCAAAAGACCAGTGAGAGAGCATGTTCCTTGTTTCTGCCCTTCTGGTATTCGCTGAGACGTCGACTGGGAGTCCGGTACTGTACCGCAGGACAAGTGGTACCTTAGGGGGCAGGCTGATTAAGACATTGCCAGTGACACGCCTTGCAGGCTAGACGAGTCGTGAGAGCCGACGCAACGTTTAGCTCCAATGTGAACCAAGACGGGTTCAACGTACCAAAGCAGTGTTTTATGCGTGGCTATTGCACACCATACGTCGCTCATTTCCGACATGATCACTTTCCAGGGCTGTGAGCGGGGATCAGACATTCATCGGGGCGGGCTGACCCACTGAAACTACGTCGAGCTGGGAGCTACCATAACACAGTGACCGGGCATGGCTGGGGTGAAACCTACGATCCGGTGATAATAAGCACGCTTTGGATAAATAGAGACGTGTGTTTGGATGTGGAATGTGGGGACACGATCCGCAATGGGGAAACAATCCAACATTGCGGTTGGAACACCGTCTGGGGTCGGGTGCTTAGTTCAAGACGCTGGCTTGGAGCGTGGTTGTGTTCAGGCACTGACCGGCGTCGGGATTTACATTCAAGACACTGATTGGGCCGGGCGTTGCATGCTCGTCAGGGCAGGCTGTTACGTTCAAGAAACTGGTCGGACAACGCGTTACGTGCACGGACAACGTGTTACGTTCAAGACATTGATCGGGCAACATGATGCGCTCAAGACATTGATGAGGCAACGTGGTAAGTTTCAGACACTGCCTAGCGACAGGGGTTACATTCCGGACACTGACCGGGGTCGGGTGTTCCGTTCACGACACCGATCGGGTCGGACGTCACGCCGCCGACACTGACCGGGGCTGGGGGCCATTTCGTCAAGACACTGCCTAGGGACAGTGGTTACAATCCGGACACTGACCGGGGCCGGGTGTTCCATCCGCGACACCGATCGGGCCGGACGTCACGCCGCCGGCACTGACCGGGGCTGGGTGTGCCGTTCACGACACCGATCGGGTCGGACGTCATGCCGCCGACATTGACCGGGGCTGGGTGTGCCGTTCACGACACCGATCGGGCTGGACGCCCCGCCGCCGACACTGACCAGGGCTGGGTGTGCCGTTCACGACACCGATCGGGTCGGACGTCATGCCGCCGACATTGACCGGGACTGGGTGTTCCGTTCACGACACTGACCGGGGCCGGATGCTCGGCCTGAAGTCCGGACGAGGCCAGTGTCCAGTGGACGAACAGCAGGGCGGCGTCCGCCGGGGTCCGCAGGTCGGATTTATGCGCATAGTGAGTCAGCTCCAGGCCGAAGAACGGGTCAGTCATGGCGACAGCAAGGTCACGCGCAGCCTGCTCAGGTCAGACACCTCCCTGCAGATCTGCAACACAGAGAGAGCCTGTTACAAATGGTCTGCATGTTTGGAAAGCGTTTCGGAGATGGTGAGAGGCATTCCTGGGGACGTGCGTCTTCACCGAAAGAAGTACGACAACCTTGCATGCTTGGATGATATACAATCATAAATTGCTGTAAATGTTTGTGAATGTCCAGCTTGGTTGCATTTATCTGCACATAATCCAGACCATTAACTTTTTACTTCTAAAATAACATTTCTTTGAGGATATCATTGCATCTTGGTGCTCGCATTTTCCCATAACAGTCAACAGTATGTCCGTGTTGTATAGGTGTGATATCCAAATGCATTCAACTGAAGTACTGGTTTGAGCTTGCCAAAACTTAGAACAAGATTGATGAAATTTCATAAATGAACACACCCTTAAATTCATCCTGTAAGCAGGACTTCTCCTAGCATCTTATCACCTTGTGTTCTGAATGCAGGTATCTATGCTGGCACACAAATAAGAATATTTAAGTTTTCAATTCAGATATTCTCCTGCTTGCCAGTGTCATAACATGCACAACAGACAGCAGAGGCATGCAAATTTAGGTAATTTTAAGTAGTTTGTATCTGACATGTTGTTACATAATGACCCCAAAACAGGTTGCAGGTATCAGATAATATTGACAGTATTGATAAGTTGGTGTAGCTAAGCACTGAAATGCATCATCACATGTATGGGAAAAAATTTAGAAAATGTGTTGCATGAATATGGATCACACAGATTATGTTTAACCATAATTTGATTCTGCATGCTACGAATGTTTGTCCACAGACATGTTATTTCTGACAGATTCAGCCTGAGCCTTTTAAATGGATGGATCCCTGGGATAAGAATTTATGGTAAACAGTACTTGCCACAAGACCTCTGATTCCCACTATCCAATCATTGAATTTCATGACATAGGCGGAATTTGGTGGTGAAAGTTAAACATACTGCATTGCTTGGCAAGCTCCATCCTGCCTTATGATGACATGTAACCTTTAGTGCCCAGTCAAGGACATTAAGTCAACACTTAAAGCAACACAAACCCAACTTGTCACTGGTGGGTGAATCGGAAGGCAGGCAGTGTAACCGACTGAACCGTCCTAATAAAGAACTGTACAAACACAAATGCATGCTCCAATGCATGCAAACTATAGAATGCATCATGATGCCTCTAGGGAGGCTTGGAATATATCCCAAGGCCCACATCAAGCTACTTTATATAAGCACATGTGTTGCCTTGAGCAGCATGCACCAACTTACTCTTACTGGTAGTGCCAATAATCCAAGAGCCAATTGTATGATGCTCAGGGAAAGTATCTGGTTGTAAAGCACTATCAACAGCACAACTACTGTGGCAGGTAGCTCTGAAGTACATAACTAGCTACTACTACTAATTAGAGTGAATTATTTTGAAACACACTGAGTTGCCTACTTGCTTTCAAAGTACTATCTACATTTACATACTTTTTACATAATAACACTAGTGGTTAACACATAGCACCAGGTTTAACTGAGAAAAGCAGGAATGTATCACCATATGTTTTGAATAAAATCATCCAAACACACACACAAACACAAACACTGACCACCACAGGTGGATGTACTTGGGGGAGGCAACCTGGTGAAGGGTGCCAGGCCACTTCCACTGTCTGAAAGTTAAACTAGCAATATCCACAAGAACTAGACAGAAGTAACCAAACATGACATTTGGCAATAAATTTGGAATATTTATCCCCTATGCTCAGCACCATCACCTACTTTATAAGAGTTAGCACACATGTGTCCATTCCAGTACCTCAGATGCTAGTGCCTATCCACATATTCACCAGCCCTATAAAACTGGTGGAATTCATTTAGAAAAATCACTTTTTGATTTCTCGTTGAATAAATGAGACAGAACATTAATGAGAACAAATGAGATTAGCTGAACAGATGAGTGCAACGCATTCATCTTTTGTACCTATTTGACACCATTGAGAAGTAAAACTTTCAAATTAGTTACCTAAAATGAGTAAAGGCAGACTGCTTTATTTCCTTGCCACACTATGCACCCTCGAGCACCTGCACTCCCGTCTCCCGCGTCCCAACCAATCAGACACACATCCTCATAGCCAGAATTCTGCCCGCGCCATTTCCTGCATCAGTTGCGTCTATTTCACATTGACTATTATCGTCGAAGAATATTGATACCATATTGGGCTACGTGATAAAAAAACCTTGAAATGTGGCTGTTTTTGCAATATTTTGTAATGTTTATGGGATGCCTTTACCGTGCTCAGATACTAATTTTTGAAAATTTTTAATGTTATATTGAAGCAATTCTTAGTAAAGCACGAATACTTTTGGAATGGGCTAATAGGTAAAAAATTAAGTGGTTTTCCTTTTTCTCCACTTCGGCAGTTTTCGTAGGAAGTCCGCTTGTCCCGTTCGTCCGTTGTTGGGAGGTGGGTTGGATGGGGAGTGTCTCCGTGACATTTGGCGAAATTACTGTTGTGTATATCGTGTGATGTCCTCGTACACATGGGAAAACAAAGGTGTTCTTTGTGATCATTTGATATGGGATAAGATGCGGACGGAAGTGTTGAAGGGCCGGTATATATTTTTTATTTCGGAGCGACGGCACATCGTTTGGACGTGGGTTGTGGGGGTCGTGATGAATGCCACCTCAGGTCTTTTGGTTGGAGTGTTGTGTCAGTCTCTTCTGAACGCAGCTCTCTGGTCTCCAGTACTTGTTCTTAGACTTCCCACTGCAGGAATAAGCTGGAAACTCCCAAGGAGCTGTGTGCTGCATGTTTCCTTCTGCCTGATCATATGGTAGTAATATTTCTGACAATGCTTCTCCTTTTTAGGTTCATTGATGACAACCAAGGTAGATGCTGGGCTGTCCTAAGCATACATAGTGGTTCTGCATAGGCTGTTTTAAAGCAAAATCATCATGCAGCTCATCACTAGCATCCTGTTCCCATTGCTACTGGTAACATGTAATGGTAAGTACCTGGTCAACCACGGTTTTTCCATTGTGCATATATATTTTTCTGATTGTTGAAATATTGATTGTACAAAATGCAGCTGCTGCAGCTTAAGCACAATGTATCAATGACATCTTGCTTTGTCACCTAGATTGTGCCTTCATGTTCATAGGCTTTCAGCATGGTACAAATTTGAGCAGTAATCCTTAGTTCTGTCAGTTATGAAAGGGTAACATGTTAATATGCACTGTGTTATGTATGGAAAAAATATCAGCATTTCTTGAGATAATCATCACAGTATTTATGACAATATGGCTAAATGTGATGGCTTTGGCAAAATAAGACATGGATTCCTAGACAGATATTTTTTATTATGACAGTAGTTTATAGTTGTTGCTAACCATGTGCTCATGGGTGCTTTTTTCATTGGCTAAGATCTTGCTTTTTCACATTAAAAATGGCATTGTCACAGAAGTGGGTTCTCTATTAACAGAATAGGTATGCAAGGCAACTTTTTGTTGTTTCATATGAATTTGCATACTGGACACATAGAGCATATCATTCCTGTTACACATAGATGTATTGGATGCTAGTCTTTTAATTTGCATCAGAATATTGCCATGAAAAATGTGCTTAAAAGGCAGTTTAAAAGTATAAGTTAATTGCTTTCTGGCATCTAGGCTGTGGGCTCTAACCTTCAGTGAAAATCAAAATGCATATGCCTATAGCATGATATTTGTGCAGCAAAGTTAAAAGAGGAAATTAAGCATGATATGTCATGACAACTGTCATCAAGGTGGGTAGATGCATTTGCTTGCCATGAAACAATAATTATACCTAATTGGGAGTGCTGCCATTAAGCTCGCTTTGAGTATCCATCCACACATGATGTAAAGGACCTGATATATGATGAATATCAGTCATTCAGTAATATATATATATATATATATATATATATATATATATATATATATTCACCCCTAATCACCATTCTGAGGCATGGCAACTGCCTGGGCCAAAGGCTGCAGCTGATGCGGGCCCACGGCATCACCAGAATCGCGCGCCAAGTGCGGCGAAGGGGACTGTGGGCGCGGGCCGACGGCCTCCCGCCGGGGGAAGGTTACCCTGTGAGCGGGCGCCGGCACGGGCCGTGACCTGGCCCGGACGGCCGCTGGTCCGCAGGCGCCGACGTGGCCGACTACGCCGGCTCGGGCCCGGCGTTCGTGCTGGAGGGCGAGCGCCTGTTTGTGGCGTGCCGCGTGGTGGCCTTCAGCCAGATCAAGTGGCACTTGAACGGCCGGCCGGTGCCGCCGGACGGGGCCGAGTTCGCGGTGAGCACGGTGGAGGCCGACGGCTACCTGCAGTCGAACCTGACTGTGGCGCGCGCCAGACATGAACACTCCGGACGGTACCGCTGCACCTCGTTCGTCGATAACTGGTACACGGTGCAGGTGCTCAGCGGTAAGGCGAGACTAGCGACATCTGTGTGCGACCCACGCAACTAACAGTTGGCCCGCGAGCCGGGCGAGGCTGGCGTGACGTCCCGCGCTATTAATCAGCTCGGCTGAATGCTTTTGATCTGGCCCCGCGTTGGCCGCGCGCCCGCGCGTTCCAGCGGCTCGGTCTGGCTCTGATTCCGTGTTTCGTGTCCCCGTGGGTGCCGCTCTGCATGCGATGCAGCCATCTGGCCCGGATTCCGTGCCCGCGGGAGGCGGCCGATCGAGCAGTTACGTGTGACCGCCCGGCCCACCGCAGCCCGGCGAAACAACCGCGTCATGTTCGCGTGGGGAAGGCGCTCCCACCTGCGGCTATAAGTGTTTCCTTCTGAGACGCCTGTTGGTTGGCGCCGACGCAGCCACGCCTAGCTACCACTAGCGGAACGACTGACTCTCGCCCGAGCGGGCGAAAAGGCGGTAACGTGGGAGAGTTCCGGCTACCGCGGTCCCCCCGGCGCCCGCTGTCGCGGAGGACCCCACGGAACCGACCGGCGGCCACGCTCGGCCAGGTCCGGCGGTGGCGGCGCAGTTCCGCCTCGTTCCTAGTCACGTCAGCACGTGCCCCTCGAGTGGAATCAGGGGGCCGTCCGAAGCGCTCGTCTTCAGCAGCAGCTTGTCCAGGGCGGATGGCACGAATGGATAATGGCTTGGGACAAGATGTGCTGAGCACGATTGGCCGGTCTGTGGTGGTTGGCTATCGTGGCCTGTTTCCAACTCGTGTTTGGTGGCCGGTCGAGCACAGCATTGTGCATTGCTTGTTTTCTCAAAGTCGAATCTACAGCCCCCGGATCTGGAGACTCAGAATCCTCTCCGAAGTCGCGGCAGCAGATCTGGCGCGATGCCTACGGCAACGTCAGGGAAAATCACAGCAGCTGTCGGTGGCCAGCAGTTCCCAGTACTGACAGCTGCTGCTCGTTCTGGGATGACTTCTGCATTGCTGCAGACTGATTTTGGCCCGGCCGGATTGAGCGGTTCTAGCATCGCCCCGACCCAGCGGTGGAACTTGGCGTGACCCCGCCGGGTGCCCGCCGGCGGGGTCGGGGTCGGCCGGCGCGCTGTCGCCCCTGGCCGGCGGCGGCGGTGGGGCGGACAGCGCGCTGGCACCGCCGTGGTCCGGCCGGCACTAATAATAGGCGCTGGAAGCCGGGCCGGCCGCACTGTCAGCGGCGCGGTCGGCCCACGCGGCGGCCACTGTTGTCGCGCGACTCGAGCGCGGCCGACGCTCCCGGACGGACGATGCCTGCGCGCTCGCGCTGGCCGATGAGGGGAGGCGCTTCGACCGCTAGCGGGCCCAGTGCGGCTCCTCCCGGGGCCGCTTTCAGTGGCTGCTTCAGTGCAAACCGTGACCGATGCACTGGTCAATGACAGTGCCGGATATGTGAGGTCTGAAGAGACGCCGGCTGGTTCAGAAGCCGGGAGCGGGACCGTGGGAAGCGGGAGGCAGCTGTGGAATCCTCTCTGCTGCGCTGTCCACGCGGCATGTGGACGCTTGCCATGCTTGTCCACTACAGGACGCCACCGCTGGCCGCTGGGGGAAGGGGGGGGGGGGGCCGAGCGGCCTTGCCCCGCAGGTCGGCTAGGCACGCACTGACTGCCGGCAGGTTGCGGGTACAGTCAGAGGGCGTGCTAGCCCGGCAGAATCTTGGATGGCTATCTGGGCCGCGCTCACCATAGGCAGAGTGCCTGCCTAAGCTGCAACGTATGGCGTCGCATGTGGCTACATCATAGTCGCTTGTGTATGCCTACGTCATACACAAGCGACTTTTCTCCAAGCCGTAGGAACGGGTGTGAGGCACTGGCCTCTGACGCCATAGGCTGCGACTTATGGACGGCGTTTTGTAATGGGGCACGCGGCCCAGATGGGGGTCTTAGGAGTCGTCTTCGCAGGTCTCATTTCCCGTGCACGGGGAGGGAGTCAGGGAAGGGTTTGGTAAGGAAGCTTGCCAATTGCCTGCGTGGATCATAAAGGTCCGTTTTCGAAGCACATCGTTTTGTGTATCATGCACCAGATTGCAGACTGCTGAAAAGGGCTGTTGCATGAAGCACGTGAATCACACTGACACCACCGCCAAAAATATACTTGAATAGATTAGTTGAAATTCTCAGGGGATAGCAGAATATTATAGTAATATAAGATGGTGAAGTTTTTATAGTATGTGTCAAGCTATAGTCACTAAAGGCGGTAAATGAACAAACTGCGTCAGATGCGTTGGTGTTAGATGGTATGGACTCTGTCGTGTCTGCTGTAACTCGGCTCTCGGAAAAACAGTCACTGACGGTGTGTCCGGCGCAGTTCTGTTGCCCAGCTCATTGGGCAATGTTTGACTATGTGCGGTGACGAGACGTATAAAATGTTTGCTTATGGAGTTAATGGCTCGAGTTTTCACAACCTCTCGCATTTATACACAAATGTGAACAAGCGGTCACACGCATCGCGTGTTAGTCCTGTTCGCGGAGGCCATAAGCTTAAAAGACAAATGTGGTTGTTGTGCGCTTCCTGGCGCAAGTAACCGCCGCATCCTCTGGAAACTTACTGTAATAATCGCGTGGCGTGCAGTTGTGTCTGAGTGATTTGTTAAGTTATAACTTTGCATGCTATGTCAGCTCTGATGCCCACAAGTCCGGAATGTGATGGCCAAGTCGATAATGTCTTGTCATCTCATTAACAATTCAATGACACTTTGGCTCATTCTTGCGATTAATCAGACATCAGACAAACTGCGATCACTTCCCGGCAACACTGATGTTATTTCATAGTTTTTATTATGTATGCAAACACCGAGGCATTTTGGCAGCACTTGTCGGAATAGCATGATCCGGTCTCGCAGTAACTGGCGCGTTGTTTATTCCCGAGCCTCCCACTGTGTCCTACCCTGATCAGGCACTATAAGCAATGCTTTTTACCTCAGCTTCTCATTTTTGAATCAACACACCAGGACTGCTGCGTGGCTGTCGTGCTTGTTTACTTCCGTCGCGTCCACTAGTTTTGCGTTGAGCATCCTGTCCATCCCTTAAAGCCGCCCCATACCTACCACTTTTGGTTGTATAGCGTTGCGGTGCGATGCGAGGCAAAATGAAACTGAAAAGCAAAAAGAACGGAACCGTTTGACTTTACTTCCACATGGTGGGCCGGTCGTTTGGAGTCCGACCGGACATCCGTTCTGTCCGGCCGTTTAACGCCCGTCCTTCTGGCCGTTCAACGCTTCCTTCCGGCCGTTTAACGCCCGTTCTGTCCGGCTGTCAGGCATCCGTTCTGTCCGGCCGTTTAACGCCCGTTCTGTCCAGCCGTTTGACGACCGTTCCGTGCGTCCGATTGACGTGCGGTGCGTCGGCCCGTTGCAGCCGACATGATCAAGACAAACGCCGACGACACGAACGGCTTGGTGGTGCTGGACGGCAAAGACGACCTGATGCTGGAGTGCAACGCCACGCAGGTGGATGGCGGCAACGTCTCCTGGTATGTGGGCGGCGGAAGGCGTGCGGCCGGGCGCGGGAGAGAGCGCGTTACGGCAGTCCGGAGCGTGTTACGTGGCAGCGGCGGTGTTCGGGAGGGGGGAGGGGGGGGGGGGGGGTGCAGTACACGTCAGGCCACGACTGGACTCGTCCGGATGCGTGATAGTGCGTGGGTCGCGCGGCAGGATGGGCGTGCTGTGTGCTTGGCTCACGGTTCGCTGTCGTGTCAGCAGGGGTTCGGAGAAGTCTGCCTCCCCCCCCCCCCCCGAGTGTTGTGACCACTCACAGTCAACCCTCGTACTCGTGATGTGGCGATGTGTTGGTGTGCAGTGTTGTACCGTCACGGTCGCTGGGCGGTTGAAAGTTGGGAGACTTGGGAGGCGGCGTGCTTAAATTACAGCGAACACCATACCAATTAGAACATTGCATCAATTGAAATTTAAACATCCGCACCCACCCTGGGCTGGAAATGGCAACCCAGCCATGGCGACGGTGGTTTTTACTGGCCTTTGTCTCATGATTTCTTATTATTTTTAGGCACAATGAAAAGATGGTTTCCTGATGTCCCTAAAAGTTCTTTCGCTTGTATGATTGTGAGGTCTGGATGCCGAAGAGTCGTATTCGTTCCACTGGCACAGACTTGTCAGGCGTATGCACAGTTACGTACGCACCCAGACACGGAGCCTGAACACAGGTAAAAAAACGTGGTAGGTGGCCGGTGACGACCGAAAATCTGTCTTCCTTTGTTATGGAAGCTTCTTAAGCGGATGGGGTCTTCTGCGTGGGATCAGCAGCTGAGCTCTGGAGTAAAGTCTGGCCCAGCGCCGTGCACCTCCCTTGACCCACCCGCACCCCGATGTTGCACACTTAAATTGGTAACAGATTGTGGTGGTATGAGAGTCGGAAGAAAACGTGGCACCATAGCAGAATCCACACTTAGTACGGCGAACGTAATTACCAATCGTAATTCGACGTGCTGTTGTTAGGGGTGCGTCATCGTCAAGGTCATGTGCAGCGCGGGGTCTGACCCCGCCAGTCAGTCCGCTACCGCTACCGTCACTGCCGCAAATCAGCATCGGAGGTCGGAACAGAAAAGCTGCGACCTCAGTTGAGACCAAGCGTGGCAAGTGATTCCCGCACGGTGACAGCTCTCCGCCGGGGAAGGCCACTGTGGGAGACCTCGCAACTTGGCCAGTGTCGGACGGCGCGCCGGCAGCGGCTGCTCACGGCGGCCGGCCGGAGGGCGGAGGCGCCGACACGCGCCGCCCGCTGGTGAAAGCGCGCCGCCCAGTCGCACGGCCACGACCTCCGGCGCCGGCCGCAGGCGGGGCGCCGCCGCCCAGGGCCGACCCGCGCCTAGCTGGGGCGCTGAAACACGACCGCGCCCGGAGGATCGCAGTGGACTGGGCGCTGGTCGGATGTGCTTCCGTACGATGTTTCAAAACCCTGGCGGCGGAGTCTCGTGTTCAAGCTCTGGAAAATCTGATCTAAAATGGGTGCTTTGAACCGCTGAAAAATGCGCCAGCTTCATTTAAAGGCCATTCGAAACGTTTATATAGGCGTTTTACAAAGCACGCATTACGACTAACCCGCTTGTGAAGAACGGTTTCTGCCGTTGTTGGAAAAAGGACCGACAAGCGATCTCGGCCGTACCGTGAAAATGGCTGCCGTTTTCGTGTTCATTACGTAAGCGTAATGTGCTATATCGTCGATCTTGTTATCTCTAAATTAATTCGTCTTTTACCCTCCACCCTCAATTGGGCTTCATCATGCAATAAGCGGCGCTGCACGCAACGGCTTGTGCCGTCGGTCGTCTCTTGGCTCAGGGATTACCGTGTGAGAATGATCCGCCCGGCTGCGCGGCTGGCCGGCAGCCAACATGGTGCCTCTGCACGTGGCCCGATCAGTTGAGCGCCTCACGTGACGTCACGGACCCCCTCGGCGGGGAGTGCACGAGTGGCCACCTGGGGCGGTCTGTCCGGGCGTGCTGATAGCCGGCCGTCGCGCTGCTCGAGAGCGTTGGTGAGCCGCCGTGGTGACTGAGCTCTGCGCTCGGCTGGGAGGCGGCAGGTACCGGCGCGGGGTCCGCCTGCCGTCGCCCCCGCTGGCCGCCCGCAGCTGCCGATGCAGTTGTGTCCACGATTCCGCCTACTGAGTAAACACAGCCGCACAGCGAGCCGGGCACGTCCCCCCAGCGGGCGGGGAGCGGTCACGCCGCGGGGCCGTCACAGTGGCCTGCTAGAGGGCCGTGGAGGGACGGCCTTGCCGCCGTTCGGGACGCGTTGGGGGTCACCCTGACCGATGCGACGCCGGCTTAAAACAATACACAGACCTGAGGATGATGGGTGTGGTGGGCTCCACAACGCTCGCCAGAGAACAGCGCCGATTTGACAACACTGGATTCGGCTCAGGTCAACAGCTTGCAATGCGCATCCTCATCGCGAGGCCGTCATGGGTTCATTAAAGAAGGTCAGCCCGCAAAGAACGTTGGCCGTATTTCTCACCACGTTCCTTTCACCACTCGTCCGCGTTTGGGAACGTTGCGGACGTACCTCGCAATTGTATGCTTTGTTCTGAGCTATGGTCGGTTCAGAGGTAACCAGGCAAAAGCGCTCAGCAAGAAGTGCCACGCTGAAAGCCCCTTGCGCGTCTGCACTTAAACTCGTATCCAACGTACCATGCCTCTCGCCTATACTTCCGCTTTTGAGTTTCATTTTTCGGGAAATAAAATGTGTGCTGCGGCACTGCACCCGCAACACATGCAGTCGGGAGGAGCACAGAGGAGGCAGACCGAGGACTGGTGACGCTCAGCGAGGAGGGCTGACACCTCTGCATACGGGAAAGAACAGGCCATCTATCTCCGTCACGCACGAGGACACACATTTAGGAGTTTAGCGGGCTGGTTCTGAACACGCAGGGGAGTCTGGGCTGCGTATTGCGCACTCCGCACGATTGCAAACGACCTTGTTTGGAAGAGGTAGCTTCGGAGGTTGTGGGCTACTGCGAAGCCCTGTCTCACCACCAGCATGACCCCACCCCCGTGACGTATCCCTCGCGGTCACTGTCCGCATAGGCGAGGGCGTCAGCTGTAGGTGAAGGTGAAATGTTTCCAAAATCTGGGCTGATGATTTATGGTAAGGGTTCACGGACTAACACGTTGTGCGTGCCAAAGATTTGTCGGACATTGCAGTAGGCAGTGTCCCTTGTTTCCACGCGTGTCATCGTAAGACCAGTGGCGCAGCGGATGTTGTCCGCCGTGTATATCAGACTGGTGAGCTACCGGGTTCACTATGACCACCGGCGGGCCGGACGCCTCGCCAGGGACGCCGCTGACTGCTCGCGCCGTCTGCGCAGGTTCAAGTCGACTGAGGGCGCGCCGCGCCAGCCTATCAAGGCCGACAAAAGGATCGTCGTCGAGCAGGGAAAGCTGACCATCAAGGGCCCGCGCGAGGAGGACGCCGGCAACTACACCTGCGTGTTCGCCACCCGCGCCATCAGCGGCCAGGACCTGGAGGAGACGCTGCACGTCGTCAGTGAGTGCGCCGGCGCCGCGCGCGGACCTGGCCGCTGCTCCGCTCCACGGGGCACGTCGGGCAGCTGAGCCCGCAGCCCGCCCCGGCTGGGCTGATGCCGCTGGGGGTCACACGTGCGTTACCAGGGTATGCCAAGCGTCTGCACCAAGGAGGGGAAACTCAGCGTCGGAAATAGGGGCCGTCGTTACGACGTGTCGTCAGAACCGTTGTCGCCGTTCGTTGCTCGGGGACGTCACGTCGTGGCATGAGCTGTTGTGGTGCGCTCTCCGCTGGGTGATGGCGGCTTGTTCGTCCGTCTGGTATCTACTGACGCCGTTGTGGTGCGCTTTCCGCTGGGTGATGGCGGCTTGTTCGTCCGTCTGGTGTCTGGTGACGCCGTTGCTCCGGCTGCCGCGCTCTGTGCCGGTGCGCGTGGTCTCCTGGTGAGAGGCGTGACGGCTGCGTCGTGTTGCAGCGAACGTGACGGTGCGCCACGTGGCCAAGTCCATCAACAAGCAGGAGGACGAAGACCTCTCGATCAAGTGCCGCGTGTTCGGCAAGCCGACGCCCACCATCACCTGGACCAAAAGTGAGCCAGCGCCGGCTTCCAGGCCGCCGCACTCGCCGGGGTTCGGGCTGAACCGAGGCTACAGGGGCTGTTGGCTTGGTCAGGTGTGACAGAGTCAGTTGAATAAACCTAGTCAAGGTTAGCCCAGGGTAACTTTGTTTGGATGCTTGGAGGGGGATTCTAACTCCCTTGATGTGTTTTTCTTGGAGACAAATGAACGCGAAACAAGTGTGTGTATGGTAGACGCGTGAGGGGACCGTGGCGGGTGAACCGAGACGTGTTTTTGTGCTGTCTCGCCGTGTTCTTGTCCGTAGAGGTGTAATTGTGTCAGAGCGGGCGGTGACAGATCCCAGGGCTATTCCCGCCAAAGCTGACGGTCGGCGTGTGGCTGTGTGCCGGACTGGTGCACTGCAGCATCCCGGTGGACGCCTCTCCGTGTCCCGTGTGTTGTCGATTCAGTTGAGTCGGGCCGCCAGGCCGGTGGGATCAGTGGCCACCTGCCCGCCGGGGCCGGAGCGCCACTGACCAGAGCCCACGTCCACGTGCAGACAGGTGGCGTGCGCCACTTTTGTCGGGAGCAATGTCGGCCTGGCTGGCGCACGGCAGCCGGCCCGCCCCGACTGGAGGACGTCCGTGGTCAGAAACGGGGCCCCTGCTTACATAGGAGGACTGTCGGTTATCTGTTAACATGTCAGACCGAGCTACGCTTCTTAGTGAAAATACCGACCTTGATATACTGCCTGGGACAGAATAACAGACCCTTGTTTGTTGGACTTGGCGGAACCGCAGTCGTTCTTCGTTAGCGGGTCCCCATTAGTGATGTTCGGTAGTGTAGAAATCGGTGTTCATTAACCGTCTCACCAAGCCTGCTTCCTTTCGCCTCCATGAGTCCTCTAAATCTCCGCGCTCGGGCGCCTGAGCCTGACCCGGTGGCTTCCGGCTGACCCGCGCCGGCGCGCCGCCGCAGACGGCGAGGACGTGTTCAAGATCAGCAACTCGAGCACGCGGCTCTCTCTGGGGGCGAACGACGATGGCGTGCCTGAGGCCAAGCTGGTGCTGAAGGGGCTGATCCGGCCGGACGACTCGGGCGACTACTGCTGTCACGCTGAGAACATCGCCAACGCCGCCCACGACTGCATCCTCGTCCGCGTCAAAGGTAGTGCCGACGCGGCGGTGGCCTGGCGCCGACCTGCTGGGCCGGGAGTGCTGGGGCGCAGGGGCCCGAGCGCCGACCTGCTGGACCGGGAGTGCCGGGGCGCAGGGGCCCAGGCGCCAACCTGCTAGGTCGGGAGTGCCGGGGCGCAGGGGCCCGGGCGCCGACCTGCTGGGTCGGGAGTGCCGGGGCGCAGGGGCCCGGGCGCCGACCTGCTGGACGGGAGTGCCGGGGCGCAGGGGCCCGGGCGCCGACCTGCTGGACGGGGAGTGCCGGGGCGCCGAGGCCTGAACGGGGGTTGTGGTACCGTGTGTGCTTAGTTTTTTTTTGGGGGGGGGAGCAGTGCTATATGTCATTGTTATAGTGCTTCAAAGGCTGGTTGTGGTATGCTTCAAAGCCCCTACTCGCTACGGATAGTTTACGAGACAAGCAAATGTTAATATGCGACTTGAAACTTTCGAGGGCCTACCCTAAGCCTCTGTCCATGCGTTGTTGAGGGACCATTTTCTGCGCCAAATTCCCGGCGACGGCTGGCTTTGGAGGCACCGGCGAGCAGCGGCATGCCCCGATTTCACACGGCCGCTTTGGCATCACCCACAGTAGACGGCACCCGCCAGACCCGCGCTTTGCTGCTTCATAGAATGGTGCCTCCTCATCAGCCTAGGACACTGGGAGAACGATGGTTGTTCCCATGGCTGGTGTGATGGTGCTTGAACTGACCGGCGCTTCTTTTTAATCCCTCCGTCGTTCTCGCACGCAACGGTGTGCTCTAGGACGCCGCACTGGTCGTGAACCTGTTGCGGGGCGAGCGTGACACCCAGTGCCGGTCCAGTGACTGCGCGTGCCGTGTATGTGCCATCTGTCGTGACAGCGTAATAGCCGACGGGTGGCGCTCGCCGCAGACAAGTACGCCGCGTTGTGGCCCTTCATCGGCATCGTGGCCGAGGTAGTGCTGCTGACGGCCATCATCTACATCTACGAGAAGAAGAAGAGCAAGCCGGACATGGACGACAGCGATACCGACCACGGCAACGACAGGTGAGCGCGGCGGCGGCGGCTGGTTGGCGAGGGGCGTGGCGCGTGTAGGATGGGCGGCGGTCGGCGCCGTGGGTTCAACTGGTTGACCGTACAGTCAGCCGGCACCTTCCTACAGTCACTCAAATGTGTTTACACTGACCAGTTTCCAGCCGGCGTGTGGTGCATGGTTATATGCCCATGCGCATACATGCGAAGAGACGTTCATTGGTAAGGCATGGCGAGTGTTCTGGCTGACGGCAATGGGAGTGCTCTGACTCACGTTCATCGCCACAGATGCGTTACGGTGGTCGGCTGTTTCGCACCAAGCGCTTGGTGTAACCGAATGCGCAGCCCCCCGGTGTCTCGTGTTCTCCTCACCCGGAGGACGGGGCAGCACCTGCCGCTAGCATGTCTCGGTGGGACCGCTGGCAACTTCTCCCTGTCCCCAGGCCGGAGTCGAAGGGCGACGTCCGCCAGCGGAAGTAGCGGCGCCGTGCTGTCGCTGCCAGCGAGGCATCCGTTAGTTGAGTGCGGCGCGCCAGGGCGCGGTCGGCCGGCGAGCTGAGGCCGAGCAAGGTTCAGCGCCCGCCGATCACGCTGCGGACGACTGGCGGGTGGGGCTCGCCCAGTAGTCGGCGCCCGCGGCCTGGGCTCCGTAGAACGGGGGTCGGCAGTAGACTAGTCATAGGTCCTCCTCGCGCGCGCGTGCGTGCGGTGATTCGGTTCTGGGTGGTGTCCGTGTCCGTTCGAGGGCGCTTGTGTTGCGCGCGTGCCGTCCACCGGTGGCGGAGTGTCCGGCAGCGCGCCGCCTGTAGAGTGCGGGGGAGGCGTGTTCTCTCGGTGTTGGGACTGCGCAGTGCTCGAGATCCGGCTGGTCCGTCGCCGGGCGGCTAGTCATGGGGGGCACGAGGGGGTGGCCGGCCCCGCTCCGGCAGTCGGCCAGGTCACATCACGGCACCAGTCGGTGCCCCCTCCCCGTCCCGCCACTAACGGGGCTCGGTACACGTCGCGCCGGCTCCGCGCCTCAGGCGAGTGGCCGGCCGGCGGCACCCGTCAGGCCTCTAGCCGCCGGAGAGCCGGCCCCGCGCCTCAGGCGAGTGGCCGGCCAGCGGCACCCGTCAGGCCTCCAGCCGCCGGAGGGCCGGCCCCGCGCCTCAGGCGAGTGGCCGGCCGGCGGCACCCGTCAGGCCTCCAGCCACCGGAGAGCCGGCCCCCGGCGCCTCAGGCGAGTGGCCGGCCAGCGGCAACCGTCAGGCCTCCAGCCACCGGAGAGCCGGACCCCGCGCCTAGGCGATGGATGGCCGGCGCGGTACCTGGTAGGCCTCCAGCCACCGGAGAGCCGGCCGCGCGCCTCAGGCGAGTGGCCGGCCCAGGCTCAGGCGAGGCCCGTCAGGCTGGCCGGCGGTACCGTCAGGCCTCCAGCCACCGGAGAGCCGACCGCGCGCCTCAGGCGAGTGGCTGGCCGGCGGTACCGGTCAGGCCTCCAGCCGCCGGAGAGCCGGCCGCGCGCCTCAGGCGAGTGGCTGGCCGGCGGCACCCGTCAGGCCTCCAGCCACCGGAGAGCCGGCCGCGCGATGACCAGGGGCGTGTCTGCGCGACCTGTCGGATGGCATAGGGCTCGGCCGCGTGTTACGTTACAGTACCGCCTTCCCAGCGGCGGCACAAGCAAGCTGATCACACCATGGCTCGGGGCGTTGCCTTCTGACCCTTGCGAAATCCTCCTCCTAGACCCGTCTGCGCAATATTTGTTAATGATGTAGGCTTTTATCGCACGTTAGCCTCGGCGGACACCGCGCCGGCGCCGACCTGATGCCGATGGCCGGATTATTACTGTGTCGTGGACTTTTATTTATCTGCATGCTCATGCTGTATTTGTTCCAGTCTCAATAAATGGTTCCAAATCTTATCGTGCGCTCGACTAGCCCGTCACCTATGATCTGTAGTGCCGCGCGTTCTTCACACCGGGATTGGGAGTCAGCGATCCCCGTGGGTTGCCTGCCTGACTGCCCGCGGGTCATGAAGGGCAGTCTCGCCGTCGCTCTGGAGGCCGCGCGCTCGTACACTCGACGGTGGGGATGGGTTGGAAGTGGTCGCATCCCGATGTCACGTGCCTCAGCGGTGCCTGCTGAAATGCCAGACATGTCGATAACACGCGAGTGATCCACGCTGTTATGCGTCTCCGGTGCCCGACTCGTGAGCAGCATGTCATAACATGAAACGCTGTCATTAGCCGGAAGCGCTTGCTAAAACCGAGGACACTAAAGACACCGGTCACAACAGGGGCAGATCCAGGATTTGGTCAAGCGGGGGGGGGGGGGAGGCACGAAACACAGTGGGCCCCCTTGAGTTTGGAGCCCCCCTCTAAAATATCCTCGCAGTGCGACCATTTAATTTGTAGATGAATAGTATAAAACACACACACACACACCACACACACACACACACACCACACACACACACACACACACACACACACACACACACACACACACACACACACACACACACACACACACACACACACACACCCACACACACACCACACACACACACCCCACACACACACACACACACACACACACACACACACACACACACACACACACACACACACACACCCACACACACACACACACACACACACACACACACACACACACACACATATATATATATATATATATATATATATATATATATATATATATATATATATATATATATATATATATATATATATATATATATATATATATATATATATATATTAGTAAAACGGAAGCCCATCTCAGTGCGCAGCATTACAAAGCTAGGCATGCTACACATGCACATAGATCAAGCCCACTCGTTTTCTACAGATCATGTTAGATCCTGTGATTCTGACGCTGACTTTCGGAAAAACAAGCAATGTAAACTCAAGTTGGTTGCTAAATACCATCAAAACCAAGAACAAACTTCATTTCTAGCTTACTCACGGATAGCCCGCTGGGCGATGTAATCAGCTGATGGTTGATGACCAATGCAGAAATTTTCCATTGTGGGAAAGGAGTGCACAATATCCTGACATTCAAAATGTCTTACGAACGTGATGCATTAGTATAACAAGCCACCGCCCAATAGCCAAGGGAAACAGCACATACGACGTCGGCGGCACGTCAAATTACGTTCGGCGATGGCGAGCAAAACTTCATCGGCGCACATCCGACTGCTGCTCAAAGGCTAAGGCACCAAGGTCAACAGGAACGAAACCTGAGCGATCATAGGTGCCCACAGGAGGCGAACAAACAGGCTCCCGTCAGCAAATTTAGGGTACTCAGAGCAAGCAAGAAGAACCCAAGACCAACGTGGTGCCCCTAAACGACCAGTAGTGCCCTGGCGGGTCGGCATATAAGGCCCCGGCCGGAGCACAGGACCCTTGCAAAGGGGAATTACCCAAGACCATGAATTAATACCCCTGTACGATCAAGAGCGCCCGGGCAAGTTAACAGCAAGGGCCTTGACAAGAGCGGAGAGCCCTCAGAAAATGAGGTTAAAGGGAAAGAGCCCTTGATCAAAGTGGAGGGTCCCTGAGCATCGAGTGTCTCGGTGCCTCACTATGAGCCCGACAAACTGAAACCGAAACCAACGTAAAGGGGTCCCGAGCAACTGAGAATACCCGGCGGGTTGACATATGGGTCCCTGGCTATAGCCCACAGAGCCTTTCTGGCGAATGGAAAGAGTCTGTGGAATGACCTGCCTGACAAGAGCGCCCCGGCGCGCTAACAGGAAGGGCCCGATCAACAGCGCAGGGCCCTCCGAGCAAATGCAAAGAAATGAAGGGCAACGTGGAATGCCCCTTAATGATTGAAATCATCCTGCTGGTGGGCATATAGGTCCCGCGAAACAGCATAGGACCCCTGGACAGCGTAATAAGGCTGAAATTTCTCAATGAACACATTTTTCAGTCATTGAAGTTTTTTTCTCTCTTCTCGTTGGCCCTTCACTTTTGCTTGCAACTGTTCCTGGCAGCCTGGAAATCCAAAGATGTCCAATTTTGTTGCGTTTTGTGTTGAGAAAACTGCATATATTCGGTCGACTATGGGCCCCCCGGAGCCTGTGGCCCCGGGACCAACCCCTCTGGATCCGCCCCTGGGTCACAATAACGAGCTTTTTGGACTTCCGAGAAGATAGACCCCAAACTTCGAGAGGTTGATGAGCCCAGGCCACTATTATCAGTAATGCGCCTTGTATGGCGTGGGACGAAAGAGGCGGTAACAGTTGTATGGGTATGGGGTAGATGATGACAATAGCTAAAAAGCGCAGCCAGACACCAGCAACCGATGTCGATAGCTCGATCAATTCGTCACAAAATACCTTTTGTGATAACTGAATAGGTGCACTAATGGAATTCAATGATACGTAGGATGTATGCAATCTTTAAACTTATAAAACATGCTTTGCGTAACCAGTTCAAAGTTCGAGATTGCGTACTACTAACAGTGAATAATGACTGGATATGAGACCGGGCATGCTTGGTAACTCAACGACAGCAGCTAATGTAGTTCATTTACGGTTTCGGCAGCGGTAACCAAAATGTAAGGAAAAGGTTTTGGATGTATTTTTTTTGACAGTCGTAATCACCTTTTACTGTGTGCGACTACTCTCTTGATTTCGGCCGTCTTTTACTTGGGTTTGGTTTTACACATTGCGTGTTTTCCGGCCGATGCTGGCACACCGGACGGTGTGAGACGGTGGTTGGCTGAAGTTTGTACTGGGTGCTAATTGTCTCCAGCTTGTCACCCCCCCCCCCCAAAAAAAAACGTGGCTCGGCTAGGCCGTGAAGTTGGTTTTCGTCTATTATCATTTAATAGCGTCGTGTCGCTGCGACGCCGGCTCGCCGAGATCTGGACCAGCCTCGGTCAGTTGTTCATCTTAATCGCAATCCGGAAGTCTTTGCACTTCTTTCGCTCATCAAGTGGTAAGCGGGTGGCCAAGTTTTCGTGATGCTGCAATGCTGAAAAAACGACTCGCCAAGCAGTACTCATGCAAATGCGTAACGTCTTATGCGACATTTTAAGGCACTATGTTCCTAACTGTTGGAAACTGCGTGGTCCTGCGCCCTGAGGCTCACAGGACATGACCTGGTGGGAAGCGGGGCGGCCGGACCGGGCTCCAAGTGAACTTACGCTTCAAACGGGAGCACAGAACCTCATCTGGCCTGCGGACTGTTCACAAAAAAGCGAAATGCCGTCACCACACACATCTTCCTCACCCAAGTAACACTATCGCGAACAAACATAAAGCAAATTTGCTGCTTAATTACAATTCTGAACTATTTCCTACGATGTTTTTGCCTCCACGCCCTATGATGGCCTGCCAGGGGTCGTGGCAAAACAGCGCAGTTGACAACGGCATTTACTTTACAATAAGGGGCTCTGGAGGCAAAGCCAGCAGGTAACTGTCGGCAATACCGGAAATTTATTGAAAAACCACGATAAACTATGGAACTGATCCTAAAAAGAACATGCACAAACGGTACTACAGTATCCAGACTACATGACTAAGCGCCGCAGAACGCAGTGCCGTTTACAACACTCGCCTCTGAAATATACTTCCAACGGCCCCTAGACCGGCGGAGCGTCGGCGCCCATAGACCACGGGTCAGCAGCAAACACAGGCCTCAGAACTCCGCCTCGCAGTGCGTCCGCCAGCGCTACTCCAGCGTAATCGTCTCCACGCCCGGGGTAACGGCGGCCGCCGGCGTCCCAGCGGCGGCGACCGCCCGACCTCGGCCGGCGGCGGGCTGCGACGGGCCGGTACGTGGCGCGCCGAGTGGCACCGACACGAGCGCCACCTTGCGGCGCGGCGCTGCCGGGCCGGCCACGGGTGTGGGCACCAGGCGGCGGGCGGGCGGCACGGCTGAGCACGCTCCGACCGGCGTCGGCGCCAGGCGGCGCTTGGGGGTGCCGGCGTCCGAGCCAGTGGCGCTGGCAGCACTGGAGGTTCCAGGTGCAGGGGCGGGGAGCACAGGGGCGGCGCCGGAGCGTCCAGGAGTGCCGGAGGGACCGGCGGCGGCCACCGGGCTGGCCTTGAAGAACTTGGAGATGCCGTGCTGGGCGGGCCGGCCGGCGGGCGGTGTGGCCGGCGAATCTGGCGCGCTGAGCTTGGTCGGCATGATCTTCCGCTTTGCTGGCGGGCTGAGCAGCTCACGGCGCGCCTCCTCGGGCGTCACAACCTTGGCGAACTTGGTGATGAGCGCCACACCGGGGCGCGGCCGCTCGGCGGCCGTCGGCGCATCGGCGGCGGCCGCCGTCGCCGCCCGCTTGGCGCACGTCTTGGTGGTCCACTTCCACTCGCTGGGCAGTGGCAGCTCGGTCGGCAGCGCCGCCAGCACGTCCGGCTTCACCAGCCAGCAGCAGCGGCCCAGCAGCGGGCCTTCCGTCGTGCAGCGACCGTACAGCGCAATCTCGGTCAGCTTGGTCTCGATCTTCTTCTTGGAGAGGAGGCTGCTGGAGCCGGCCGGGGTGTCAGCCACCGCATCCGACTTGCGCGGCGAGAGAGGGCTGACGCGGCGCTTCCAATAGTTGGCGAACTCGCGCACCAGCATGGGCTTGGCGCGGGTGCTGCCGTGCACCAGCTGGGCCAGCGGCAGCAGCGCTGTCGGGGCGGGCAGACGTCAGTGGACTGTCGACAGGCGGGCAGCGGGCAGCGGGCAGCGGGCAGCGACGGTCCGGCGCAGAAGCACGCTCGACCAGTTACATGGTGAACATGATCCGCAGCTCAAGCGAGGTGTCACGAGTGAGACCAGCGCAACCCCAGCATAAGCGGCGGTCCGGGGCACTGCACTTGCCAGCCCCCGGCGCGAATACCGCGGCTCCTCCTAACAAAGGTCGCCGCGGCCGAAGTCCAGCCCCTCCGCCATGCACCGACACCGGCCGCAGAGCCACGACAACCCACCTTCGTCGGGGAACTTCTTGAGGAACTTGCAGCTAGACTGAGCGGAGCCGGGCGTGGCGGCCGGCGACGGCTCGGCCAGCAGCGGGTCGGCCACCCCGCCGCTGATCCGCGTCGGCACCGGCAGCTGCGACAGCGGCCGCACGGCGAACGGCCGCAGCAGCTTCACCAGCTGCTGGTACACTGCCGGCGGACGGCGCCGGTCAGCGGCTGGCGAGCACGCCTCAGGGTCCGAGCACACGCATGCAGCAGAACTGTTCGCATGCTGCAGTCGTTGGCGTGGGGGAAAGTCGGCGATAACGCATGCCATCGCGGCAAATGCAGAGCATGCCAAATGTCGACCTGTTTCCCAGCGGACGAAACATGCGGATGGCACCAAGTGGAAGGATTAATGATGCCGCCCCTGGCCAATTGAACAGCCGTCATTTATTTGGGCCTAGGGACGCTTCGGCACTGCGCGGACGCGCCATGCCCTGAAAGGTAAGTCCTGTGTCCGTTGCCGGTCACCCCAGTTCGGCAGACCAAACGACAGACGCGCCATGCCCTGAAAGGTAAGTCCTGTGTCCGTTGCCGGTCACCCAAGTTCGGCAGACCAAACGACAGACGCGCCATGCCCTGAAAGGTAAGTCCTGTGTCCGTTGCCGGTCATCCAAGTTCGGCAGACCAAACGACATAGAAAGAGGACGATTAACGCACTCGGATCGACGTTGGTGTCGTCCTGCCACACGCAGCCGATCAAACGGGGCTTCAGGGCCGTCGTCTTCTTCTTCATCTGCTTCTCAAACTCCTCTCCCTTTTCTTTCAACTTCATTTTCTGCGTCTCTGGCGACTGAACGCGGACAGACGTCGGACGTGCACGACAGTGGCGGAATCGAGACAACCACACATATACAGCAGGCGATCTTATCGAAACCTTTAACACAGCAAACACTCTGGGAGCGCTTGAATGCATTTCATTGATCATGAACGCTATAGCCACACAAGACGCAGGTGCACATTCGATGACAAAAACGCATACACGCGCCTGACATTTCTTTTCCGCCTACTGCAAGGCCAGTACTTTCAACTAGTCGTGGAAAGGATGTCTGACATGTTTACTTGTGTTCGCATCTTATTAACGTCATAACAACTAGGGTTATCGGTCTCAAACGCTATCGTCTCACCATTATCTCTTCCTCATCCTTCACTTCTTCGTCGCTGAGGTATCCGTGTGGCACGAAAAACTCGTTGTCTACCTCATATTCGTCTTCAGACTCCACTTCCTGGAGAATTGAGTCGAATGTCAGCACTTTCAGCAGATTCCCCAAAACGAAGCCCCAACATTTCCGATCACGACTTCATACTTCGCTCCATTCAGCAGTGCTTGCGAACATAACACCATTTCCGATTGTCAACCACCCGGCAACAATTTGCTAACGACAGAGACCCTCGACCAACGGTGGGAGTATTTTAACAGCGGCATAGTCTTGACTCCTTGATTAATCAGAGGTTCAGAACGCCAGTCGATGCAGTTGTAACATGTTAACTGTGCGGGCGTCCGTATGCAGGCATGCCACGACGCCAGGTTTGTCATCACCTCCACCGCTCGGCAACCGCACGAGCTTCGCACGGCTCGCCGCCGCAACCTACCTTCTCCGACCCGCTGAGACTCTCGCCATTCGGATCCTCCTCCTCCCAGTCGTCGTCCGAATCCTCGTCATAGTTCAGGTTCTGGACAGAGGACGCCGCGTCACTACACCGCGGACGCGCATCGCTCGTGGTTCGATCCCCTCAACACCGCACACGACAGGGCACGGTCGCGCGGCGCCCGGCCCGTCGGGCTCACCTGATCCCGGCCGAGCGGGCGGCGGCCCCGCACGTGGCCGCTGCGCTTGCTCCAGGTGCCCCAGTACGCCGGCCGGCGGTTCTCGTGGAACATGAGCAGCTTGAAGCGCAGCCGATGGCTGGCCGCCGCCGACGAGAGAACGATGTCGGTGCCGAGGCCGTCCAGCTCCCGGTCCTCCTCGTCCTCCTCTGAGGACGGGGTGTGGTCAGACACTGAGGAGAGCGCGGTGTGGTCCAAGGCCGTCTAGCTTCTCGTCCTCCTCTGAGGACGGGCTGTGGTCGAACAAACTGAGGAGAGCGCGATGCGGTCCGAAGCTGTCCAGCTCCCGGTCCTCCTCTAAGGACAGGGTGGTGGTCACGCGCGCTGAGGAGCGCGTGACGCCGGTGCCCAAGCCGTCCAGGTAGTCCCTGGCGTGGCCTCCTGAGGACGGGGAGTGGCCCAGCGTGCCATCGCCACACAACATCAGCACTCCGTGCACAACGGTCCAGTGACGGTACCCAGGCATATGGCTGACACACGAGATCGGCCACAGGGCCCCGCCACCCACCTATGACCTCTACGTCCTTCTCGAGCGGCGGCAGGGTGCGGCCGCGCGTGAGCGGCCGCCGCCGCCCGGCGCTCAGCTCGGCCAGGTACAGCTGGGCCGGCGGCTCGCTGGCCGGCGCCGCCACGGCCGCCTCCAGCTGGCTGCGCTGGCACCGGCTCAGCGCCGTCCGCGCGCCCGGTGCCAGCACCATGTCCTCCTTCACCTGGCGGTCAGGGGCGACGGTCAGCCCGCCGTCCTCCCCCGACTGAAGGGGGCAAAGGACGGCCAGACTACCGTTCCTGGCTTCGTGAGGACGTTTGGAGTTGACCTTATCCTGCTTCACGCGTCGCCAACTATGTCCCTGTCCCGGCGGAAAATGTCATGTGGGACTGCTCCTCCGCTGGGAACAGCAAGTGCCCTTCATTGTTTATGCCCGTTGCCCGTTTTTATTGAGAGAATGGGTCTGCAGATGGGACGGCACATCGTGGCAGTAGGCCACACCTTTTTACAACACACAGCAGGGCCGCACTGACGAGTGACCTACATCCCTCGATGACGAGTACCGGCGCTGTCAAGGCTCGCTCTATTACTTTACAACAGAACGCTTGTCACGGTTTTAAATCTTATCAAGGATGTTGACTGAACTTAACTGATGTGAGCAGTTTCCTACTTCGATGAGCACTACAATGTGTGCTTAACATAAAATACGTGCTAAGCATCAAATATGTGCTTAACATTAAATATGTGCTAAACATAAAATATGGACTTAACATGAAAATAGCATGCTTAATAATACACATACCGCTGACACAAACACTTGTAAAGGCTGGGCTAATATTACCGACTTCACAATGAAACAGGACGCATACCCTGAACTGCTGGAAGGCTTTGTTTTCTTCTTCATCCACCCCTTCCTGTTCTGCACCGGGCTCTTTTGGCTTCTTCACAAAGAAACTGGAGAACATCGACTTGGCCTTCTCCAGCTTCCTCTGCTCCTCTTCCTCTGCCTTGCGCTTCTCTTCTTCCTTGCGATTCTTTTCTTCTTCCTTTTGTTTCCTCTCTTCCTCCTTAAGCCGCTTCTTCTCGTCCTCGCGCTTCTGCTTTTCAGCCTCCTTCTGCAGCCTTTCCGTCTCTTTTTGTCTGTAAGGCGCCAAAAACCTTGACTGCAGATACCTTCCTTTCCAAAAGCTCAGATACACATCCTTCCTTCAGCTCCACCAGCCAGCCTAATCCATGTTGTAAAAAATGCACCTGAAGGTTGATAAAGGAAACGATCGTCCACCGACAATCGCCTATCCGGAGGATGCAGCCAAACGTCGACGCACTAGACGCTGGAAGCAGGCTTTGGCTCAAGCCTAGCATCCATCAGGAAACTGGTACAAACTCTGGTGCTCGACAAGTCTAGATAAACAGACAAGTAATTGCACAACGTCTGCATAGTTACGAGCCGGGCCAGAGGCATTTAAAGCCGCGTCCATTGCGTGAAAATGAAAACTTACTTCTGTTTCTCCTGCTTTTCTTTTTCTTTATCTTGACGCTCTTTCTCTTTCTTCTCTTCCTTTTCTTTGCGCTCTTTTTCTTTTTGCTCTTGCTTTTCTTTCTTAATCCTCTCCCTCTCTTCTTCCTTTCGCTGTTTCTCTTCCTGTAAAACCAGCGATCGTGAGCAAAATACGACGGAAAGTTCAGTCATTCGAAAGGAAATGAGCCGGAAGAAAGAAGTGAAACAGATGCACTGATAACAACTAAAAGCACCATTCCATCGCAATTATCGGCGCCTCCGCTGCCGAGTGCGTCGTAAAGCCCTCACGACGAAGACAGCGTACATCCTATGCATACTCTGTACGCCTGAAAGCGATATGCGAACGAAAGTACCTCAAGTTACTACCAGAAACAGGACCTGAGCAAGATTCTGGTCGCCAAACTCATATAGGAGACGCGAATCAGGAATCCTCCACATGTGTTTCGTGCGCAGAGTTTGTACGGTACTGTGTGCAAACTTCACGTCACAGAGCACAAACAGGGATGTGGTGAGGTATTCTGTATCGCTGACCTGTCTCTCCTGCTCCCTCTTGGCCCGGACCTTCTCTCTTTCTATCTGCTTCGGTGTCTTCTTCCTCTCCAAGGACGCCAGCTTGGCGCTTGGTGCTGTGAGCGTTGTGTCCTTCCTGCCGGCTTTATCGCCGGGTGATCCACCCTTTCGCTCGGCCTCATTGTCCAGCAGGACGACCTCCTCGCCGTCACTCTCGCCATCGGCCTCCCCGTCCGAGTCTGGCGCGCTCGCCGGTCCGTCCGGACCCCGCTCCGGCTCTGCTGGTTCGGCGGAGGCGCGCCGCTGGCTCGTCTTCAGCTCCGATCCTTTCGCCGGCGAGCCCGAGACGCCGTCCGCGCGCTTCTCCGGCTCCGGCGCGCGGCACGGCTCGTCGCGGGCCGGCTTCGCGTCCGCCGGGTCAGAGGTCGGCTTCGGGGCCACCGGCGGCGCGGCGTGGTTCTCCTTGTCCTCGCCGGTGAGGTCGACCAGGTCGCAAGAGGTGGAGACCTCGGGCGGCGGCCGCTCCACACTCACGAACTGGTCGAGCAGGGCGCGCGGCCGGCGGCGCGGCGAGCCCGGCCGGGGCTCGTCCGAGCTCGACGACACCTCGCCGCAGTCGGAGCCGGAGCCCGACTTCTTCGCCTTCTTGGTCTGTGCCGTCTTGGCGTTGCCAGCCTCCTCCCGGGAGAAGTGTCGCTTCTTGGCCGGCTGGGCCGCCTTGTTCGGCCCGGCCGGCCGAGACGCGGCAGGACTACTGACCTTGAACGGCAACTGGGCTGGAGCGGATACATCAGTTACCACAATTTGGGGCAAGCTGGAGAGACAGTGTGTTCAAATAAAAACTACAACGAAGCAACAACCACTACATTTGCAACATACAACATTCTAGGAAACCGAAATTTGGCACACAACCGACGGTAATTTCAATATTCATTTATAGGAAAAAATTCAGGAGACGGTTGATTGCATACCCATGTAGCAGTGTAATTATGATGGCGCACTGAGACAAGGCATTTGCCAAAGGAACTTGTGATGTTGAAGTCCACTGAATTTTGTTGTCATGCAAACAGTGTAATCCAACTTTATCAGCAAGCATGCCTACTTGAGCCAAGTCACAGTTGTTGCCTAGAAGAGGTTTAGTGCATATGGTTATTGACAGTACGGCAGCATTACATTCAAGCCTGATGTTAAGTGCCTTTGTTGGTTCAGTCACTGCACAAGAGACAAGAGCAGCTGGCCAACAATGACCATTCTGACACACGGGGTATTTCAACAATGCATTGCACGACACGCAGTCATTGGTAGGCCAACCATATATCAGGCGCGATGGGACCAGACCAGACAGGTCTTCTTCCGGAGAGGTTTATGGGCGAAAATGTGCGGCTAATTATCGACACAATTCGGTGTGCAAAAATCCACGATACGCCTGGACTGACACTCTTCTGCGATTGGCGCAAGGCATATGATTCGGTGAACTGGGGTTATCTGAAAGGTGCCGTTACAGCACTGGGTTTCGGACCTAATATCCGGAAGTGGGTTAACTTGATGTATGATCAGACCGGAGTCATCCAGAGCAGTGTTCGCGTGCAGATAAACAGCCATCTGTCAAAGCCATACGTGATAGCCAAAGGTCTCCGTCAAAGATGTCCACTCAGCTGGCTGCTATTCCTGATTTCAATTTAGTCTCTGGCACAAAACATCAGGTGCTGTAGCGACATTACCGGGCTTACCATACGCAACGCAGAGATTGAGATCCCAGCCTATGATCCAGCCGATGATACAGCTATTATTATGGATGGTTGCGGTCAATCCTTTAGGGCATGCCTTAAATGTCTGGACGCTTATCGAGATGTGTCCGGGCCTATTCCTGAACAAACAAAAGACGCGAGCGGCATGGATAGGCCAGCACCGAAACCGAGCAGATGCCATTTGTCCAGCGTGAAATATCGTGGGAGCGTAACTCAATAGATTACCTTGGAGTAAAACTTACCCCAACATGCGAAGACCTGGGAAATATTAACTACCCGGAAAAATAGGAATGTCGAAAGCCAACCTTAACCCAGTCCGGTTAAATTTGGTTCGGGCGTGGCTCAACTGCATATGGGAAGGTAAATGTGATAAACTCCCTCTTCCACAGCTTATAAATCTAAACACTGTCGTAGACACGCCAAATCATGCATCTTGTATGAAGACAGAAACAATAATATACCAGTTCATTTGGAACCAATCTCGAGAAAGGATTAAACGGTCGGTGATGAGAAATCCGTCTTTTCGTGGGAGGACTGAGGGTGCCTGATCCATCAGTACGGGCACAGTCTTAAAATGGCCTGCATATAGAAGCTGCTTAATCCAGAGTACAGTGCTAAATGAAAGAAAATGCTGCAAAACAAACTAAAAATAAATGTTGTAACATCATTATTGCACTGTGATTCTGTACCTAAGAAATGTTGCATCTTCTAGATGGATGTAAGTTTTGGTCAGAAGCATTAAACACTTGGATGCACATCACACACTCACTACAGCCCAAACTATCATAAGCAAACATACTGGCCAAAGCCATACAGAACAACACTGATATGAACCTTGAATGGAATGTATCATTGAGCAAGGCACCAACTGATTTACCCCTTGGCGATTCAAGTAAACAACCTTTACAACCACCAGGATTGAAAGCTCCTTAACACAGACCAATTGCAATTGCAATTAGGATATGGACATTTTCTAACATGGCCATCTATTCTGCATGCCACACCTTGTCCTTGGAAGGAAGTGCTCACTCAGGAAATGCCCACTGATGCAGTCCTTCCATGATGGGACCATTAATTACCATTTGCCTGATCTTTGTCATCCTGCTTAGCATTCTTTTTTAAAACAATCTTCATAGAAGGTATGATAGACAAAATCCTTGGTTTTCCATGAGGCATGAGAAAAATATTTCAGCCAAACAGCATAGGCAGACAAACCTTGTTTTAACTTCTTAGCGGATGGAATCTGTTCACTCTTGTCCTCAGGCTGAATATCTGAAAAATATGATGCAGTTTTAAATTGAACACACCAAGCCCTTTACCAGGAGAACACCTGATGAGAACAAATGGTTGCTGAAAATCTGGCTCTCAGACAGCTGAACTACATCCCTCACTTCCACCCCTCATGATTTCCAGGGCTTTGGTCGAGAGCAGCTCATAACAAAAACAAGGAATTTCTTGCACCTGAAATCTGATGTTAATAACCTGGTATGTGTGCCATCTGTGGTCCTTTCTCTACCCATGGGATCATGCCATCATCCTAAAAATTACAATGTTCTCAAATGCCTCAGACATTTTGCACTAAGTGCTTTCAGCATATATTTCCCTGGACTTACATTTGCAACATCATAATTTTAAGAAACACTGGCTATAGCTTTGAGCACTCTGGTTTAACATATATGCACAAAAGTTGCTGCTGTGATACTACTGCTAAACAAGATATGTTTGGTGTAAAAGGATTTTTTTCAGTCTGGGCACCAGCTCTCAGTTTCCTGGCACACCACCTACCAACCCTAGGAGCATAATTTTGCACTTCCACACGTAATAGCAGGGGTGCACGCAACATCCCAAATGATGCACAACTCACCTGGCATTATGTTCTTCGATGGCACAATAAAGGAGCGAATCTCGTACTTGCTGCGAACTTCAGGTCGCTCGATAGTTTCGACGGTATGGATGGAATCACAGTATTGACACTACAGAAATACAGGCCTGAGCAATATACAGCGTACAGTACGAGCGTACACACCGCATAAGGTTTAAAAATATTGTGAGGGTGACGCCTCGAACATCGATACGCGCGACGTTAATACCCTGAGCACACCCTCGCTTACACAACACGCATACGTACGCAAGCAGCTGATCTTGGCGCTTGTTTTTCGCGGGAACCCGCGTTCAGAAATTACAAATACACAAACTGTGACAATATTCTAAAATAGTTGCATTGTTGATAGATTCATAATAAAATAGAAACAACAAGATTCAGGCAGTTGAATATGGCCCAATGCCTACCACTGCTCTTAGAAATGCCTCATGGTTTACGGGTTGTCAACAAGATATGTTTATGAAATACTGGATAATAGTACGTTGCTGACGCACCTGCTACAAGCGGTCGATCTTGATATTCCAGAAAAATATGGATGTTGTGGGCGCGTGGAACTGGACGTTGAGGTTGTTTCCGGTTTTTTGTCTGTATTGTCTTGCTTGTACCTAGAAGTTGATATATATCCACCGCCGAAAATTGAGAGATAAAGAACATCGCCAGGCTGGTGGGTTTGGTCCACGAAAGGTACATTGTGCCTTGTAAGCTACCCGGTTTTACTAATTTGTGGTATCTTAGAGGCAGTGAACGCATCAGTGAGCAAAGCCGTGGGTATACTTTACACTTTGGTAAGAAGCTTGCATAACTTGTTTCTTGCCAGATGTTCACTTGTGTGCCTCATTTCATCAACACATAATATGAGATGTCTTCTCTGTAGCACACAATTGTGGCAATCAGGGGTGAAGTTTCATTTTCTATTGGGCTTCACCCCATTGTTTTGAGCAGAAAATTGGCTTAATCTGCGTAGAAACTTTTCTGGGGAAGATAAAGCCACCTTTCACTATGCAACCAGCCATATATTAAGTTCAAGTAGTCATGAGCTGGCAATGAATAAGATATATGTATTGTATCATATAACCTTGGGAACACATTATTTTCAATATCGCAGCACACGTGATCTATGTTTTTTACATTGAAGAGTGATGCTGATGCATCAAGGCTAACTTTTTGCTTTTGCATATCTGTGTCTCATTTCTAGATGCAGATTGTTGATTGGTGGACTGCACAGCTTGCTGCTGACATTCATATCAGGGATTTTGAATGATAATCAGTTGCATGACCTTTTCATGCATCCCTTTTACACTAGTCAGCACCGTGTTTCTTAAGTTTGAGATGTTCAGAGTCATCATTGGTTGAAGCCCAATCACTGCTTTTCCTCCTTTGCCATGGAGAATAAAACAAATATAAATTTGAGTAAAATGTGCTTTCTTTTTGTTAATATACAAAATGATATGCTACAATCAAAACAAGTTAAATGTTCAGCAATAGTGAAAATGCATCATAATGCTTTCCAATTACATGCATCATTTACATCTTGAAAGCATGGAGATTACAGAACTGAGCATGCTTTCTGAAACATGGTAAACTGGGTATTTCTTTGTTGTGACACAAAACATCAGACAGACAACATAGCGGCTGGTAGTCTCTGATTTCATTTTAAAGGGACATCTAATGCATTGTTGGCAGTACATTTTCTTGCACTTTTATTGTTGACAAGGTAGTGACATCATTACATATGGGAATGATCAGCTTGTGGTTGCACCATTGCTAATAAGACATTAATGTTCTTGCTTTCTTCATGAAAGCATGGCTCCTGGCATGAGCATGTTACTTCTCAGCTGGAATTTCTTTTTTGGCTATTAATGGTTTATTTGTTATGCAGCTCAGCCAGTGTATGTGATTCTGATATTTAATTTCTGGTGCTTTTCATTGTCACTTAGGCTAGTTGTAGATAATATGTACAGGCCCTTCAAAGTCAAAATATTCAGTCATGCCTGTCAGCAAGGATAAGAAGGTGAATGTATTTAGTTGAGCCTTCAGTGATATGGTTAATGTTATAATCAGTCATGACTACAGAGTAAAATTTGTCATAATTCCCCTCAGTTGCAGTTATTTTGTTTTCTTGTAGGGACAAGCATATTGCTTCTTGGGCATACAGATTATTGATGGTGTATTTATTTTAGTACTTGTTGAATGTAATCCCCATTACACTTGTATAACTACATTGCAAATGAATGCTTGATAACCTGGTGGGTTTTATCATACCATATGAAACATGCTGCAATGCACTCACACCGCCAGTTGTTATGTTCATCATTCTTTGCTTGTTTGTCATATTTTGTGTGCATGGGGCTGGGGATGGGGTGTTGTCACATGAAAGGTTCTGCACCGGGAGGATGTACCTCTCATGTCATGAATATCTGTCTACAGTATAAATGTCAACTACAAATATCTGCTCAAGCTTGGTGAATGATGTGCACTGGGATGATGTGCTGCCTGCTGCTGACTGTCATTTATAATTGCCTCCAAGCAGCATCAGTGTTCGTGACTAGACCAACTGTCTGTTCCAGGAGTGTCTTGCTGCTCCTGTAGGACTGGCAGCTGCAGCTGCATGATGTACTATTACAGCAGGTGGCTGTTGCCATCTGCAACTGCCCTCTGCCGACGGGCGCTCGTCACATCTGCCACACATAATGCCCGTATGTGAAGTAAATATTTGTTGGTGGTTGGTGATATATGGCCTGAGTTGTGTAAAATGGTATTTTGATAGAATTGGTATTGCATGCATGACTTTTACATTCTTGCTGGCCTTTGACTTAACAACTTTTGGGATGGTCTTGTTAACCACGACAGCTTGGAAATGTTGGGCAGGAAAATGTGTAGATACTTTGCCGCCACTTACTCATCTGTTTTATCGTACTGATGGCGGCTAACGTGTTGACGAACTTTTGGCATTAAAGCAGCTTCTTTCACCACTAAATCAGTGTCATCGAAATTTCAATGATTTTGACTTGGATATGAATATTTACTGTTGCGTGCATTTGGTGAGCTCCTGCCCGCATTTGCTGCTCCTATCCAAGGGCGCACTTTGTTGCCCAGACGTGAAGCATAACTTTGCTGCCCGTTCATCTGTTTTTTTTTTCAGTTCCATCTATGACAGCTGGTCAACTTGGAAAAAAGGTTGCTAAGGCTGGCAAGTTGGGATCGCCGACAGAGAAAACGGTACGCTCATCTTTTTGGTGGCTCGTGTACGTGTAATAACCTGTGGTGCACGCAATTCCCCACATTGTTTCTGATTGACGGAGTCCTTACGATTCGCATGTCCGACCTTTTAGTGATCATCTGGCGTGAACCCGCCAGGAATGGGAAATATTTCCCGCATTGGTAGTTGCTCTCGCCTAGCCGCACTAGACTGCTACGTAATTTACTTCGGTGTCAAAAGACCAGAATTTATGCTGCACGCGTAACAGCTATGCTAATCGAATGTCAGTGCGAGCGACACTATACAGATCTGCTTTGGAACATATTAAGGTGAGGGAACGGCAGTCCCACCCAAGCGGTTGTACATTTTGCATGTGATGTTCGTCGGTGAGAATTCTACACGATATTCTACAATGCACGTTATCGGCGTATTACAACCAGATAAGCTAGCGCAGCGCTCCTGTACTTGTGGTTCTCCAGTCTCCCACCGTGTGGCGACTTGAGCCGTGGCCGCGACCGTTTGGCACGCATGTTTCCGCCCCGCCAATGATGTCCAATGCTGGGATCCGTGGTTGCAGACCCTAGGTCCACGCACTCCATGCGGCTGGTGACGTCACACTTGTGACGTTCCGTCTGCCGAGGGGCGTCTGGGTAGCGTCAAGGCGGCTTACGAAACCCTCCCCGCCCGGACAGGTGCTGCCCGTCGAGACGGACCCCCACCGGCTGGTGCAGTACTGCTGCGGCAGTAACATCCTCATCGAGGGCGAGGACATTCAGCTGGCGCCCGACTCAGACTACCCGGACTGGCTCTGGGAGCTGGACACGTCAGGTGGGCAGGGACAGCGTCCCATCACCGCTCCCTCTGACTGGGACTGGCTCTGGGAGCTGGACACGTCAGGTGGGCAGGGACAGCGTCCCATCACCGCTCCCTCTGACCAGGACTGGCTCTGGGAGCTGGGCACGTCTGGTGGGCAGGGACAGCGTCCCATCACCGCTCCCTCTGACCAGGACTGGCTCTGGGAGCTGGACACAGGTGGGCAGGGACAGCGTCCCATCACCGCTCCCTCTGACCGGGACTGGCTCTGGGAGCTGGACACAGGTGGGTCGCGGCAGGGCGGTGTCCCATCACCGCTCCCTCTGACCAGGACTGGCTCTGGGAGCTGGACACAGGTGGGTCGCGGCAGGGCGGTGTCCCATCACCGCTCCCTCTGACCGGGACTGGCTCTGGGAGCTGGACATGTCAGGTGGGTCGCGACAGGGCGGTGTCCCATCACCGCTCCCTCTGACCGGGACTGTCTCCGAAAGCTGGACACGTCAGGTGGGCCACGGCAGGGACGGTGGCCCCGGGCTGGCTCTGGGAGCTGGACACGTCAGGTGGGCAGGGACAGGGACAGCGTCCAATCACCCCTCCCTCTGACCCGAACTGGCTCTGGGAACTGGACACGTCAGGTGGGCCGCGGGAGGGACGGTGCCCCATCACCCCATCCTCTAACCCCGACTATTCAAGTTGGCTCTGGAAGCTGAGCGCCTCAAGTAGAGGAAGCGTTCTCCCCTTAACCTGCGGCCGCGACTACCCAAACTACCCAGGTTTGTGGTCAGTGAACTGTGAACTACCCCTTCGTGACTGACTCCTCGGATCGACTCGGGAAGGTGGACACTTCTAACGAATGGTAAGGGCCCCGTACGCCGGCCTGGTTCCAAGCATCCAGACTGGTTATCTGGACTGGAATTAGTTTCCCAGCAGAAGCCGACTTAAATGTTTGAATTTACAACACGTGCGCAAACCAGGCACTCGTTTGCTGAATCGCTGACCCAGCGCAGCGCTAGAAGAATGCCGCACGCATCTGGCAACATCGGCTGGAGGAGGCACTTTGACATTAATTGGACAAGGTATTGGGGTTCTGACTTTGTCTAAATTTCTCGTACACATCCCTAATTGCTGATGGGGACACTTGATCGTGTGTCGAGGTTACACCCCGGGCATCTACATGTCCAGATGCGTTTAAGGGCATGGCGTATTGTGGGTGCATGCGTCAGCTGTTTGCTATTCCTGTTATGAATGTGGCCGGTAGGTAGGCAACGGCGTCAGTTTAAAGTCGCTGCTGGCGGAATTGCAATGTACATTGTATTGAAATCCTTCATGGGTCACTCTGAAATATGGTTATGACTGTTTTGCTTTGGTGTCATGTCTTGTTTTTGTTTTCTTCTCCATACTCCAGCCGTGAATTATGGCAGTTTGCGGGCGCTTTGCCACAGAGCACGCTGTGTAAACTTCTCGACTGTAGATCCAGGCCTCCATGGTTTGCCGTGAGGAACAAACTTATCATGTGCAAATTAACCTTCACTTGTTAGCTTTTTGCAACATTTTTATTTCTGTGTTTTATTTTCTACTGCGTTCTTCTGACGTCACCGGAGGTCAAGTGGGCTATCGGGAAAATCAAACAACAAAAGCGGGAAAACTTGTGGCTAAAAGGCAGAAATGATTAAGCCCTCAAGTCACGAAAGTGACGTTTTGGTCACAACATACACAACGATTCCTCCCAACTGACAGTGACTGTCCCAGTTTAAACCCAATATTAAAGGTAGATGTCAAAAAAATATTTGCCCCGCCTACTGATTTCCAGAGCGTCCCGCGGGGTGGTACACCGCACTCCGTACCGTTGTGTCTGTGGACAGGACCGGGACTCTCCGACGACGCCGCTGCACTGGCCGCCCTGGATGGCCCCGCTTATCCCAGCGCTCTGCCTCGCGGACAGGCGTGCGCCGCTGCTGCTGGCGCCGGGCGGGGCTGGGTCACTGCCCAGAGGCGCGCGGCTGGCCGGCCGTGTCCCGTTTGGGCTGGCCGGTCGTGTCCCGTCCAGGCTGACCTGCCGTGTCCTGTCCGCCGGCAGGCCGCGCTCCTCCTCTGGAAGTCGCTCTCTCCGGACTCGCTGCAGTACTGGTGGCTCGTCCGCAACAAGGCCATCCGGAGACAGAACCAGCTACTGGCCAAGAAGAAGCTCAAGGGTTAGGCGTTGGTGGTGCGTCGTCTGCGACGAGGGGCGGACTCGCCACTCGCGGGATGTGGATGCGGCGGATTATCGCGGGCCGGTCGACGATGTGGACGCGCCATTGCGAGACTTGTGTTGTGTGTCTGTGTGGCAACGCGGCGTGCTTTTCATAAATAGACAGTGCCGTGTCGGGTGTCTCCATGCAGTGTCTGGTCAGTTTGCTGTGAGTCACTGGCCCGGCTGACCGGTGTACAGGGGCCGCCAGGCGCGCACGCCACCGCACCACACCACGCACGCTTGCACACCAGCCGCACGTGGTGGCAGTGTCTCCGTCCTGTGACCCCGAGACCCCGGATGACCGGATTTTGGGTAGTCTAAGCTTCACTGGTTCAGTTGCGATAACAGCGGTGAAGACTTGATATGGTAACAGCTTCTTCTTCTTCAAGTTAATATCTTCCACGTGCCGGTGTATTTTCTATTTATGTCTTAGCTTGTATTGTATCACAGCCAGCAATGGAAGTTACAAGATGCAGGTTTCTAGCCGTTTCAAGCACGTTTGTCGTGCAGTTTTCCGTGGAATCTGGACATCACGGCGACCATTGATACACTGTTAGCATCTATACAAAGCACACCAGCAGAAAGGCGCTGTTAATCCGTTCACAATAGTGAGGACGAAGCCGTTGGTGAAGCAAATTACCTTAATTCCAAGGTTTGGTCTTCGGCAGTCCTAACAATGGTTATCGTTCACCGTTGTGTAGCATGGGCGTAGTTAAAAAAAAAACAGTTGAGGGGGAGCCTGAACAGTGAAATATGACCCAACCTACCCCTAAAGTATGCCAACAAACAAGTTCCTCACTAGAATTGGCCTACTTTCTTCCCAAACTTAGGGGTTGGGGGCTGTAGCTCACGTTGGGGTAGGGGGCTGGAGTCCAAGTTGGGGGGAGGACTAAAGCCCCTTCAGTCCCCAAACTGAATAAGAAACTACACCCCTGTTGTGGAGGTTTGGTGTACATTGCATTGCTGGATGATCACTGACGTATTACTGATGCTCTCTACGTAAACTTGGCGTTTGTCAAGGCATTGTCCAACGAAACCGATGGCCACACTAAAATCTGTTGCTACCCGTCGCTGGGGCGATGTAAAGCTTCCAAGGCCATTCGGCAACCGGTAAATTTGGTCTCGCTCACTTCTCATCCCAATGCAAATGCACGGCGTGGGTATTTCCTGAATATGATTCGCGTCAGCTTCGTGGTTTTAGGGTGAATCGTTTAGATTGTAAGTAGTCGTGATTTATGTTGTACTGCAAAGACGTGTAATCTTTGCCTGCAAATGTCGGGTGTGTGCTGCCTGAGGTTTGCCGGTGCTGCTGTTTTTTAACTATTGGACAGTCTCGAAGAAACCCTATTACTATTACTATTACTTTTACTTCCTATAGTACTTTTACTATTACTTCCTGTAGTCAGCAGATAAATGGACAGCTCAAAGGTCATGAGGACGAAGACGGTCATTCAAAAACACGCACAGGTACACCAGTCACGACTCCGTCGCACAAACAGGTCATTGCAGCCTCAGATGTCCCACGAGATGTCTCTTCAAATGTCTTGGAAAGAGATAATCGGGGGTTGTCGAAGTTTGGCAGCGAAGTTAAATTTCGTTTTGAAACCTCTACACATTGAGCTCTGAGCCGCAAAAGTCCTTCCCAGAAAATTTACAAAAGCTACAGAACTTCCTTTTCCCCACCAACAACTGCTGACCTTTATACATACGTCTTATTCTACGTGGATCCCTATTTCCTGCTTCCATACGACGGTACGAGAAAACTTTTGAATAGTGTGTTTAGCCATATGTTTTGAACGTTCTTGTGTCTGCGGCCCTGGTTTAAGTGAACTGGAGACGCTCGCTTCCTTTTGACCGTTTTCCAGCGTACCCGTGATACCAGCCGCCGTTGGCCCGCCGGCCTGAAAACAGAGGGCTGGGTGTGCCCGGAGGCGTTGACGCTGCTTTGGTCTGGCCCTCCCCCACTGTCCGGGCTATTCTGGCCGCCGAAGATGCCCCCCGAGCGCTCCACGCCTACCATACCTGAAATGAACCCATTACGTTTCCATTTTCACTTCCCCGGCAATTGTTTTGTTTTCGTCGGCTGCGTAAATCTTGTCTTCAGTGTCCCCAAACAGGCGAACACCTGAGCCCATTTCACAGGGCATTAAGCGCTGAAACTCGGCGATGCGTCTCTGTCCGTTTAACGTCCCCCTTAGTTAGTAAACAACTACAAATGCTGCTAGTAGTCATTTGAATGGCTATGACTCGCTGCACTGTGTGCGTACTCGCTCGCGAGCATTGATTGCTGTCTAGGCACGTTGGAAAGCATTGTTGCGTGATTTTTTCAGGTTCTTTGTCCGGAAACAGCATTGACGACTCCGGCGGACGCGCTCAGTTCGGCCCTCTGTCGGTAGGTGTCGCGGCGGGCGACCGTGGCCGTTGTTCCGGCGTTAATTACGCCATTTGCATCGTGTCGCGCTAATCCTATTGGTGAGCCACGTTCATATATCGCACTGATGGGACAGCGGGTAATGAAACGCGGCGTATAAATCAATTTTTCGCCGTGTAATGGGCCGCTAAATGAGCGGCCTAACACGGCCTCATGATGGGTGGCGCCCCAGGGCCAATAATGGCACCGTCTGCTTAGCGGGCAGCTCGGACCGCACCGGAGCCTCCCCGGGGGCCACGCGGAGCAAGCGACAACCCACCGGGAAGAGGCACTCTGCTCTCCTTATGGGACATGTCGTGCGTAGCACGGCAAGTGAATAGCGTGGTGCATGTACGGCGCCGTTTCGTATCGAAAAGGTGTTCACGCGATGGTGGATCCCATGCTTTATTCACCGGTGGAAAGCCACAGTTTGTCATGTTGTTCAAAAAGACACTTTTGCCTGGCGATACATAAAATCTCAATGTTAGGCTGTACTAAAATCTCAAGGATTCCCCGCGTCACCCAAGCTGTCATGGGACTACAAGTCTCTTGCGCAGCAGTCAAATGTCCGCGGGAATTAGATTACAGGACATAAACATCTCATCTAAGATAAGATCAGATCAGATCACATCACATTTGATCACACCAGATCACATCTCAGAAGCTTAAGACAATTGCATAGAAACCAACACAGTATCGTAAAACCCCGACACAGCACGGCACCACGGACGTGCAAAGAGCAGGTACGAAATCGGTGACGAAAGCACGCATCCTTAAACTTGGGCCACTGAAAACAGTGGCATGAGGCGCGATGCTTGTCTATGCCAGTGGAAGTGCCTTGAGTGGAGAGTGTTGCCTGTTCTCGTGTACTTTGACCTGTCTTAGGGTCACACTACTCCGTATCGTAAGCGGATTCGCACATGCGTGAGAGCAAATGACGAGGTCTAGCAAGCGATCGGTCCCGTCCTCATCAAAGTTAAGTTGGTATATGCTCGATTCATGGTGATTGTCGCTCATCTTCTTTCCGTACTAGCATCCAAGCTTGTGTTCCTTTGGCTACACGTTTCCAATTAGCATAATCAAATGACGCATGCTTTGATCACGGCGTACACTTTGAAGATAACTGTTGCAGACAGGAGACCGAGGAGAGCAGTATTAAACAAAACACTTTCGCTAACCACACTGTTTTCACATGATTCGTCGTAGCTCACCGTCCTGAGGAATTTGCAAAATGAACATTTTAGGACAGGGAACAGTCTAAATATTGTGCCTTATTGTACGTTTATTTTGCTGGCTGTTTGTGGTAGCGAGTAATCGCAAATTAAAGAGAAAATGCTCTTCCGAAAGCTGTTGATCATAGCGGGCACTCGCAAACCAAAGGAAAAAACGCCGTCCGTGACGAATGTTCCCTATATGGTGAGAGTCCCGGTCGACGGTTAGAGATCTCGAGCGCTGTTCTTGGCATGCTCGTAATTAACAGATCTCCAGAGGTATGCCGTTCACGGGGCGATGAGGCACGAGCTGAACTGCAAAGCTTCTTCCAAAATCGATTTAAGCTGCGCGGTCACGAGCGTGACCGGCTCGAAGTCCCGTTTGGCGCCGGGCAAACTGAGCTCCGTAACACAGTCGTGCTGTATTGAAGGTCAGTGTTCCACCGAAGTGTTGGGGATGATGGCCTTGATTTTGATGGGAATGTCGCATGTATCACCGAATGCCCGTAAGCGCAGTGTCTTCTCTATGATTTAAAGATGGTTTTCTGCGTCCTCTACTTCGCCGTGGAAAGATGCCGTCGGTATGATCCAGCGTTTAGAGGCGGCATAACATGCGCTAAGTTATTTGGGTGTTGGGCGGACATGTGCCTGGAGCCCCAAAGGGTCCCAGGATCCCATGTACATGAAGCCCTTTGGGATCCTCTATCCACCCCTGGAATCCATGCACCTATGTAGTAGTGGGGGCATGAGATGTTCTCAGGGGGCACATGCTATTTTATTCTTGGGAAGATGCAGCTGCATGAGAAGGGAATGTGATGCTTTATCGATACCTATATCATCCACATTCCCGTCGCATAAACAATCGCTGTTAAGCACTGCTTAACACAAAGTTCATGAATAGCCGAGAACGTTGTGGTTGGCAGGAATGACAACTGTTGTCAGCTGCTTGCATCATAATGGAGAGGTGTCTGGGAGCTTTGTCTGAGTATCACGCCTCTTTGATACCCTTTTCAAGAGTGTCTGGATCCGACGTGATATTACGCTACCATTTTAGCGCCGGCGTCATAGAGCTGATTCTCACTCGGATCGTCGAGGCAGTCCACTTTTTCATTACGCAAATAACGCGACGCATGTGCCGCGCCGGCCCGTCCCAAATCACCCGATATGAGTGATCGCCGCCGCTCTCCGGCACTAAGCGCCCAGCTGATGGTGAGCAGTAGACAGCTGCATTACCCCTTTCCCCCTATCCGACACCGTCCGCCGCCGGGGCGCGGCTCCTAATGAGATCTAGCGGAGGGGATGGAACGTCGGTCCGGCTCCATCGGACGAGCGCCGGTCCGGCTCCATCGGGCGGGCGCCGGTCCGGCTCCATCGGGCGGGGCCGGTCCGGCTCCATCGGGCGCCGGTCCGGCTCCATCGGGCGGGCGCCGGCCCGGCTCCATCGGGCGGGCGCCGGTCCGGCTCAATCGGGCGCCG